GTTTTTTCTTAGCCCTGCAAAGGTTGGCTCGCTTGAAATGCAACCTGGAGCCAAATTGCAAGCATATCTAGGGGTCATTATTTTGCAGCCACACGCCTGCACGCAGTGTTTTAGACTTCGAATCCTTCGCAGGACGAGGTCATTTCCTGGACGGACGAGGCTAGAGCCCTCAGGTAGAATAGAATCCATTTGGGAAACGCCCTCTAAAGAGAGAGGTTGTCGGCCGCGCTGACGTACATCAACAAGTTGGAGGCCGTGCCCAGCCGGTACCGGCAGCCGAAGGAGTAACGTCTCCCCGGCGTCAGCGTGTAGGTGCGCACAATGTTCCAGGCAAAGGCGCTCAGGGTCATGGCGTAGCCCTCCAGCTGGAAGCCTCCCCAGTGAAGCTGGCCGAGGCCACGGAGCTCTGGCTGTTGGAGCGCACCAGAAAATTGCCTAGCGTGGTGAGCGTGGGCTCCAGCAGCCTCGCCCAGTGGCCAGCGTGACGTCGTGGCCCCTCCGTCGAGGAACTCGTGCTTCAGCAGCGGGCCGAGGCCGCCGTGTCCTCCTCCTCCACCGTGTTGCCGGCCTCCAGGGTTGCGTCCAGGATCTGGAGGCCGTAGACGTCCACCGTTCCTGCCGTCTGGTTGGGCAGGCCCGCCTGGAAGTGCGCCCCGAAGTGCAGCTTCGCCACTCCGTTCGGAGGCACTGTGAAGTACATCTTGGCCGTGCTCCAGGCACCCTGGTCGCCCACGAAGCTGCCGTACAATGGGTCGTAGACGTTGTCGGCCTCGGACATGTAACCACGAAGTTGGAGGTTCGCCGTCAGGGTGTAGCCGTCCACGCTCACTCCCGCGGTGTGCGTGGCCAGGACCACGCTGCAGCCGCTGCTGGGGCGAACGTCCAGTTTGACAGTAAGACGTCTGTGGGGGCCAGGATCTGCTCTCCCATGGCGGCCACCACCTCGTCGGCCCCCCCGTCGTCCGGAAAGCGCGCGGCTATTTGCAGGGCCGAGGCCGCCTCCGTGACTCCGAGCTTGTCGGCAAGGAGACCGTCCACTTGTGCGATGGTGTAGTAGCTGAGCAGCGCGCTGCGATGCTCGAGGCCGTTGCCGTGTCCTGGTCGGCGGCTGAACGGTACGCCGCCAGCGCCGAGGTGATTTGGTTGGTTGTGAACACGTCCTGGTCCGGGCCCGTCCGGTAGGCCAGCAGCGCGCCGCGATGGCCTAGCCTGCGTCTGCGCGTCCTGCGCGCTCGCCGTGCGGTAATCTCCCAACAGCGCGTCCACTTGCGCCGCGGTGTAGTGGCCAGCAGCGCGGCCGTGATGGCGCTGGTCGTCTCCGCGTCCTGCGCTGCCCCTGCGCGGTAGTCTCCCAACAGCGCGTCCACTTGCGCCGGGTGAATAAGCTCCCAAGTTGTGAAGGTCATTTCCTGGACGGACGAGTGCTAGGAGCCTCTCAGGTAGAATAGAATCCATTTGGGAAACGCCCTCTAAAGAGAGAGGCAGGGAATGCAGGGATTCCCTGCATTCCCTGTATTGAACTCCCCCCACGATTTGATTCAGGTAGAATAGAATCCATTTGGGAAATCCCCTCTAAAGAGTGCGCCAGGCCGCTGAACCCCCACAGTCCCCGGGCTCCTTGCTATATGTGCTATATGTGCTATATGGTATAGAAGCCCGGTATCGAAGCCTCCTGCCCGGCATTGAAGCTGCGCCAAGCCGCTGAACCCCCACAGTCTCTGAACCCCCACTCTCCCCCAGCTCCTTGCTATATGTACTATATGTGCTATATTATTCTGTACGCGCGTTAAAATATACTATATGTGCTATACAATGCATATTTGGTACATGTTGGAGATGCTCTGTGTATAGTATACAGGCTTCTATACCATATAGCACATATAGCACATATAGCAAGGACCCGGGGCGAAACCCCTTCTTCTACCCTCTCAAATCTGGAGGACCCTCCCTTTGGCCAGCGCAAAAGGGGGCGGCCTGTGACCTAGTTTTGCTCCTGGGTGTTGGGAGCAACCCCGGCAGAGAATTGGGTCTCTTGCACCATCCAAGGTGTCGGCAGGAGCAGCCGGAGAGCTTCCGAAAGGCGGGAGATTTAGCTTCACGCAACGACCTGTGGGGGGCATGTCCGGTCGACAATTTTCATGCAGGTGCCTCCGGCTTACGGTTGCATTTGTTTTTGTTTTTGGTCGGACAGATGCCTTCTTCCTTCTTGTTTTTGGGGTGGTTGCCCTTCAACATCAACTGCCAGCTGCCACCAAGGGTGCCTTGCCCCCCTTTTGTCCAGGGCCTTTTCGGGGGCTGGGAAGCCACGCCAGATGGGTGGGTCATTTTTGATGAGGTGACGGGAAGCCAAAGGCAAACCGCGATGGGTGGGATCCAAGATGTCGGTGATTGGACTCATCGCCAGACCGAAGCCCTCAACATGAGGGTGGCCTTTCTCGGGCAACGCAGCTGCCGCCAGCAGTTCTGGTTCTAAGGGCTTTTCAGGCGACGTGGTTCTAAACGAGCCTTTTCTTGGGAACCCAGGCTGCTTGAACAAGGAGATTTGGCGGTCAGGTTTCAACAGGTTGCCGATGTTTGATTTTTCTATTGGCTCTTTTCGCAATGTTTAAACTTGTTCAAACCTGCCCCCCCCATAGATGCCTCCCCAATGGCCCCACGACAAAGGCTGAATAAATGTATATGTATACACTCGCAGAGCGAACAGGATCATTGCATTCTCATGGCTCCCCTTTGCTAGGGCTTTTGCATTTGATTCAATATCAAGGCCCAACCCGTCTTGGGCCTGTTAAAGTCCGTTCAGCCCGTTGTGGTTTCGCAATTGGCTGAAACCTGGTGGCTGCCCATTGGCGACTTGTTTTCCCCTCAGAAATCTTGAGACCTCAAGAAGGCCAAGAGCCTTTTTTAAGGTTTGACGCCATTCTTTGATCCAGATTCTTTCATGGAGATCCAACAAAGAGTCCATTTTGGACCCCATGATCATCCAGCCTCCCCCCTCCCCCCCTTGTTTTGAGGTCCGAACCCACTCCCCAGGGAGATCCAGACCTGCCCCCCCCTGACCGCCAGGCGCTGACCGCGCCCATCGGCCCTCGGAAGGTGCGGCCCATCCCCGGGTGCGTGAAGTTCGGGAAGCGCGGGCGCCCGGGGTCCGTGCTTTTATTGTTTTTTTTTTCACCCGGAGCTTGCGGGGTCCCAACTTCCAGAACTAGGTCCCCCAGCAATTGGTGCCCTTGTCAACCTTTTTTTTTTTCTTGGGGTCCAAACTCCTTCCAGGGAAGCCTTGATAAAATGGAATGGATTGGGGTCCAAGCTCCTTTCAGGGAGGGGTCCAAACGCCTGTGGGGTCCAAACGCCTTCCATCACTGTCACTAGTTCCCCCAGCTAGGTGCCCTTGTTAACCTTTTTTTTAGGTTGGAATGGAAACCCCCTGCTGAACCACCAAAGCGCCAATCCAAACCACCAATTGGAGGAAGCTGAATATGAACCCACAACTTTACCCATTTCCATCTTCCGAGGTGAGTGGCGCTTACAATTCTCTCCTTCTTTTCGGGGTTCCTTCACTCCAACCTCCTTCCAGTTGCTTAAGAACATGGGTCTGTCTTGTTTTTGAGGCTCGGTATCCTTATTGGTCGCGGTTTAGAGGGAAACAAAAGGGAAACCAACCATTTCCCCTTAAAAAAACACCCATGAATATGTTCCTTGTTGAGTTAGGGAATCTATCACTGGTCATCAGTTCTCATTTTTTAACCCTGGGACAGCGAACGGAAGTGTGTGTGTGTCTCACAATACGGGGGTTGCACCAACCCGAAAGCGTAGCGAGGGAAGAAGCCGCCCGCTTGGTTGGTGGGAAGCCCCTGCACCCAATGCCCCGCCCAATGGAGCACCGTTGACCCCAGAATCCTCGGGGAGGGGAAGGTGGAGGTTTTTGTAGCCACAAAAGGGTGGGCCAAAGGTAACTCAAGTAACTAGTCAAAGCTAGGTCCCCCAGTACTCCCCTTTTACCCTTTTTCGGGGAAGGTTCCCTACCAAAATAGGCTACAGAAAAAAAGGTACCCTTATTCTAACCTCTCTACTGGAGGACCTAGTAGTCAAAGGGCGCCAAACCTCTCTTAGCACTGGTGCTCTTTGCTTTTGCCGAAGGCTTTCGGCCTCGCCTCCAGGTAGTTTGTGGTTGCGGCTTTGGAGAAGTGAGGCACCACGTGTCAACCGCAAGGAAACCTCAGGTAGGACAAATCGTTTCAACCACAAACAGGACGCACGCCTAAGTCCATGGGATGAATCCCTGATTTTCCCATCATGAACACACAACTCACTAACTGGGGAAAACATATTGTTTCCACAAGCAAAAGCAGGGTACTCGTGCCATCATGTTCCCAGAACAGGGAGGCCACTCCCGCCATCCGCTTAGGTCCATGCTGCACGGGCGCGGGGTCTTCGCGGATGCTGGCTACAAGCGCGGGGAGATCGTGGAGTGAGGGATCCCAGTTGGCGCAAGCTCGCGCCGGGGGAAGAGCTGGGTGCGAACTCGCCCGGAGGTCCAGATGCCCAGATTCCGGAAGGTCTGCGGAACGGCTCCGGGGCTGCGGTTGGGGATACCTTGGCTTGGGTTTTCTCAAGAGGCCAAAAGGAGAAGCGAGCGAGGAGCCTTTTGGCGGCCAATGTGGTATTCTCATCGTGTCATAGTGTATTCAAACAGTTTCCCCTGTCCATGCTGGCTGCTGCCACACTCGAGATGTTATAGCGAGTTTACTTGGGAAGAACATGAGCTCACCCATGAGGAAGGTTGCTTACGGATCCCTGAATTCAGGTTGGTGAGATTTAGTACAGTACGGATTGGTTCGCCTCAAACTGTGGTTTGCAACTCGTGGGAAGACCACGAGCGCGAACAGGAGTGCTAGTTGTGCTGTGAAGTCACTTGTGAAGGTGCTTGCTCGTAAGTAGCGGGACTCCAATTCAAAGAACGAATGACTCAGGTGACAAACTGTCGAGCCTGTTCTTGCCACATGGCGCATGAAAAGGACTCATATAAATGTCGGCTCTGAGAAGGGCATGTTCAGTCAAAGATTCCCCCCACAGACCCCCGGACTCTTAGTTGGGGCTTGTTGACCCGTCATTTTCCTGTTTACCTCAAGGCTCGCATTACTCATACTTGCGGATTTGGGTACAGTGGTGCCCCTTTTTGCTCATTTTTTGACATTAAATCCACCAAGCAAAAACGGGGCGCTCATGGAAATGTTTGGGCTTCGAGTCTCCCTCCGGGGTCCGTGAGGATGTGCCCCTGCCTGATCCTGGACACTAACGGCGCCGAGTGCATGCAGGCGAGTGGGCGTGATATGGCGCCTGTTCAAATTACCCAGTGACTTTTGGTAGAACCCGACATGCCTCTTCTAGCTGTCCATCCAAAGCATGCTTAAAGACCACTCTGTAAATACGTGAGTGCTTTAAAGGGTGAGATGAACCAAATGGTCCAAATGTTGTTCGTGGGCAGTGTGCGACTATATATATATATATATAATATGTATATATATATATATACACACTTGTTATCAGCTTGAGCCAGTAGTAGAACCACCTAGCAACATGGCCAATGGGGGGTTTGGGCCCTGCTAGAGATAGCTGTTTGTTTGTCTGTCTCGTCCTCTGGGTCCTTGCCCAGGAATCAAGAAAATCAACACCCAGCAAACGAAGGACAGTTGTTGGGCTTCTACCAATTTGTCTCTCCAACTCGGCCATCTGACTTCCGAGGGTGGAGGGGGCCGTCAAATCAGACATCGAAAAATCTTATGGCCGGCGGGGTGGCGCGAGTCCAAAACGGCGCACCCACTTAATGGTAAGCCCGCAGAGGAGGCAGAGTTCTCCTCTCATGCCATCATTCAATCTATTGGACCAGCCTACTTTGAGGTGGTTTCCTGGATTAATGCAAAGTCTTATTCTTGGAACACATGAAAGTCCACGAGCTTCCTTCAGCTGAGAGGAGGAAAGCCCCCAAGGAACTCAATGGAATCCGCTCCAGCAAATGCTCCTTCAGAAGTTCCTTGCAGGCATCAATCTTATACTGAATACCAACCGGCATGTCAAAGGCGAAGGAAAAGCGCCCATATTCTTGATTTAGCCCGGGCAAAGCCGGGCCAGCCGTCTTGCGAATCAAGCCAGTGCGCCCAAACAAGGAGGAGGACCCTGAATTGTGTGCCCGGATCTGGTCGGTAACATACAGCCTCAGAGGCTTCCCAAGGTGAAATACTCTTCATTGAGGTAAATCAGCACCTTTAGACCCAAGTTGATACCATCAGACAAAGTAGGCAAAGGAGGCCACGATTGACACAGCTCCAGCATGTCCGGCTCGGCTTCCCTTTCAATATGAATGCGAAGAATACCAATACATACCATTCGGATCTTCCATTGAGTCTCTCTAGCAGTCTTTATTTTCTGCAGAAAGGGCGCTTTGTCCCCAGCAATGAACATGAAGAGCAGTAAGGCCTTCACTGAAGTATGTTTCTGAGGAAGCTGGGCAGCTTTTTCATGGTCGGAAACAAATCAGTCCAACATACCTCTCTCAAAAAGTGAAAGTCGTCCATTGGCGTGGCTCGTGTTTTGTCGAGGTGAAGGGTGGCCGTGTTGTCGAAGGCAAGCCGAAAAAGGAAGCTGCCATCTTTGTGTGGTGCCCTTATTTTGACATGCACCTATATTAGTACAGTACACATATATATATATATATGTTTGGTTTTCCGCGGTTGTCTTACAGTTGTCCAAAAGGTTTTCCATATTTTGAAGAGCCATAACGTCGACCGCGGACATGATTTGAGGGTGTTCCCCTTCCCCGCCCCAGGAAAAAAGACACAGGAAAAGAGTGATCCAGCTTTTGCTCGCATGGGACACCCAAATCGACCGGCGGCTTTCCCTGTGTCAAAATTCTGGAGGACCCGATGGATCGATTCCCGAAGGGCCACCGGCCCTGAGTACGGTGCTCCGGACGAGTGCGAAGTAAATCTTCTGGGGGCCACAAAGGTGGACTGATCCCCCCAAGGAGACATATCTCTTCAACATAGACTGCTGTTAGAGGGCGCACATCAATCTGCAAGAGAGCATCAGGGATTTTATGTACCGTCCAGCAGCCCAAAGACCCCTGCAGTAAGAACAGTTCCCAAAGAACAGGTACTGAACCACTTGGAGGTGAGCTGTGGTTCTCTTGAGGTGAGCAAATCTTTGGACATGACATGCTTCGCTCAGAGCAGATGTTTTCCCTTTTGCTCTTTTTTCCTGGGTATATACTCTTCAAATGCGAGCCACTGAAATGTGTTCTGTTTCTTCGAAGGCCAAAGGCCCCCGCAATGTGTCGTACCTTCAACTCCTTGCAGCCGGCAGGACCACTGCTTCCAGATCCCTGAAGTCAAGCTGGATGTGGAAGGTGGGGATGGGGGGGGGGCAAGGCAGGTCGATCAAAGTTTCACCGAAACAGTCCAAAGCGGGTCAAACAGGTGCCAACATGACTCCAACAAAAAGCTCACAAGGCCCAACACACGCCACAGAAACGGCCCATTGGCACAAAACCAGGCAAAGAGTTGCCGAAACCAACTCCAACGCCTTGTGGCCCAAGAAAGGCGTCTCAAAAACGGCTCCTAAGGGGCCGCGCACAATGTTGCATGGGTCAAATTCCCGTACCCCCAGTGAACATCCCAATCTGCACCTACCCCAAAAGGGGATCCCATTGGTTTTGACCCACGGCCAATTTGGTTCCATTGACCATGCAGGTTGGGACGTCGGATTCCTTCGGAGCTTGACTTCGGCTCCCAGGCCGAAGCGTGGTGAAGCGCCAGAGCCGATACGTGCTGCCCTGCGGCCTGGGACTCATGCGGGGGCTTCGGGGGGGGGGGGGGGGGCTTCGGGGGGGCTTCGGGTCGTGAAGGAAAGACTCAGGCCCTTCTTGAGTCGAGCTCCTTCCTGGATGCTTTTGGGGGAAGTGGCGGACCACAAATTCGTTTGGACTTTTGTTTTGGGGTTGTTGCATCGCCAGTAATATTCATTTGGTGCATCCAGTGCCAGATGTATCAGCATGAGGCATCAAAGTTTAAAATGCAGCCCCTTTCAGCAGTTCAAAACAACTGGCTTATCCATTTGGGGAGAGGGAAGAGCTGGGCTTACACTAAGGAGCATGTTCCATGGAAAATGCGTCATAATGTCCTCTTGCCGGGTGTGGGGTGTATATCGAAACGGGATTTCTACCGAAATTCATCTTTCCAATTTTGACACTAGCTGATGACAAAGGTTCATCAAGTTCAGAATTTGTTATATCTTTTCTGACATCTATTGCTTAAACAAAAAAACTTGATTGAGAATAAACGCAGCAATTGATTCAACCATTTTTTCTCATATACACAAATTCTACCATCCATTGCTCTGCTGACCCCTATTGACCATGACCGGAGGAGCTTTGGCCATGTCTTGAAAGATGAGCCCAAATGGCACCTATGGCGTGATGGGCTCTCTGGACTTCATGCCTACGAATTCCAGGAGCATCCTTTTGGGGATGAAAGGGGTGATTGCTATGCTCAGCGTTCTTGTTGTTGACCTTTTGCCCGTTGTACTTTTGTTCAAAGTGAACTGTTTGCAGTCCATGTTGGCCAAGGAGTCAGAAACCTCCCTTACCTTTTCGCGGGACATGTTCCATAGGTTCGTCCTTATTTTGAGAATTTAGAGCGATCAGTATAGACCACCAACTGCTGGAACAACGTTCAACATGGTCCATCGAAAGAGACACATTCCAGCTAGACCCATTATCATAGAAACCAGCTACAGGAGATTCTACATGAATTTAGTCGAAATGTGTTTGGGTGGCTGGTTGGCTAACTTGACGTGGAATCGCCTGTGGCTGGTTTCTTTGACATTTGTTGCCTTTGGGGGAGACTTGCACCACATCTTCTCTCCTCTAGTTTCTATCCCCTTGGCCGTCGGCCGGCGCCAAGGCTACGGCGGCATGTACAATCACTTGGAGCGGGGCGAAGGCTCGGTGCAGTTGGTTGCTCGATTCGAGGCGTTAGATGAACAAACCTCCAGGGTAGAGCAATCCAATGCCAACTTTCTACATAAGTTTTTTTTTGCGGGGGAGTCTGGAAGAATCAAGCAATGGATCTCGGTTTGTGACCGAGCACTCAAAGGTTCCTTTCTTCAGATCCTTGCAGTGCAGGCCACCCTGGGAGGTGAGTCAGCAACGCAGCGTCAACCTCTCCGCACGGTGTTGCAAATTTCTGGTTTTTGGGGTGGTTTTCTCTTTCTAAACTAGGTAGGTGAGTTATCCTTGTGTTTTTGGGCATTTTGGGAGGGGATGTTTGATAAACTCTGACTTGTCCGAAGCCAAATCTTGAAACCTTTAAACTCTACTTTGGTGTCTTTTGTTCGAAACAATATTTCAACACTCTACGATTCGAGGTTGTGGGAAGCGGCTGGTTCCGTGTGGCTGCGACACAGGAAAATTATCCGTTCGTTTTCGTCCGTTTTCCAGAACACGGGCAGCTGACCTTTTCGGGCACTGTTACTTTGAGGGTTGTCGCCCCAACGAAAGGGCAACGAATCTTAATTGGAGCCCCAAAATGGTTGGTAGACTTCAATTCTGCAAGAGGCCGACACAACCAAGAGGGGGCCCATGTTTGGGTGCTTCACTCACATCACATGCTTGCCATTTTCAGCGCGCAGACTGCCATGTCTTCGAAAGGCATCCTTTCGAACTGTTGAGCCCCATGTTTCCTATGTTTGTGAGGGCCCAATAGGGTGTAACAGCACCTGCTGCTTTTTGTAGGACCCTTCTAGGTGGTCCACCATTGGGCTGCTCTTGACAAGCGCAGGATGATTCACCAACCTGAAGCAATAAGACAATGATTCAATCTCAATAGAGGCATGACTCAATTCACCCAGCAACTTTTTGCCACAAGTCACCAATTGGGTCAATGAATTACATAAGACGGTTGCCATATTATCCAACGAACTCCCTCAAGCCCAGCGCACCCAATCCCCTGTCTCGCGGCAAATAGCCGCGGGCCTCGCAGGCGAGAACGTGCAATGGTTCTTCGTGCAGGGCCCAGAGCTTGTCGTGGAATTTCCCTTGAGAACCTCCAAGAAAGTGGTAGGTTTACGGGCCACCACTCGAACTGCGGTTTTTCTTGCTTTGGAAATCCCGGTGAGCGACCCCTGACAAGGTTTTGTGTGTGTGTTTCTGTCAAAACATGACAGGGGCTCCTTAGTTTGGCAAATCCCACCAGCGTTTGACTCTCTACTTGGTGTTGCGGACCTGAGTTGTTTCTTCATTTTTTACACACCATCCCTACATGCTTTCAGGGGGTCCCGAAACATTCGCCTGCCTATGTTGCCTGTTTTCGGCACATCAGAAGGTCCAAGGCAGCCGCACGGATGTCTTTTGCGCGGTCGGCACTGAGAGGGGGGGTGAGTTTTTCCAATGTACCCACCTGTGGTGGGTTCACCTGGAGCGGGTCCCCTAACAGCGGAAAAAGAGCTGCTATCTTCCATTTGTTTAATATGTTTTATTTTCCCCAGTTGGTTTGAAAAGGAATCGATCACTGGACATATGTTTCTTTTTTGCCAGAGGGCTTAAGCAAATGGAAGCTAACAACGAAAGCAGCAATTTTGTCATGGGCTAACAACGAAAACGGCTAACATAAACATTTTACCAGTGACTCCATGTGAAGCAAACAATAAAATATACATTCTACAACTGGGCCTAACTCTAATCATGATGCTTAAAAAAAAGCGAAAGAACAACGACTAGTTCAATGAGGGGTCCCCGGTCGAGGGGTGCCCGAGATTCGAGAAGCTGGTAATTCTGGCATAGGGAATGTTCAGTCCGAGCATTCTGGCACGGCGGTGTCTTGAAATAGGGGGAGCCCCCCGAATTGGGCCGAATTGGGCTGTTAGCTTCTGTTTGAAACCACCCCAAAAGGATATCTTCAACAAAAGGCACACCCTTGGTGTTGGTTACCGTTATTTGCAGACTTTCAAGAGGAGAGCTACGCCTTTTCGATGAGGTGGCTCCAAAACGACACACCTATCCCTTCAATTCCTTGTTTTCAACGCCACCCAAAGATATCCTCGAAAAGCCACAGAATCTTTGGCTGAGGATGAAACCACTCAATGCTGTGTCTGGGTGGCTCAGCCAAAGGACGGGCTGCTCGACCTTTTTCTTGCCGCGCCGGAGGCTTTCTGTGATGCCATCCCCGACGTCTTGAGTCTTGAACCTCTTTTATGGAAGACCTAAATGATGGGGGTCATGTTTGCTTTCTCTTTAAACTTTAACTAGGACCTTTTTTTGGAGGGAGGGTTCCCCTACTTAAAATCGACTACAGAAAAAAGTTGGTACCCTTATTCTAACCTCTGTACTGGAGGACCTAGTTGAGCCAACCTCAAAAGGGCATCCTTAAAAAAACATTCCCACAGAAAGGATCACTTTTCCACCACCACGATGCAGGCCTGCGAGCTCTCCGGGTGCGATTTTCTTCCAAAATTGCGCAATGGCGGTGGTGTTTTCCTAGTTGAACAAACAGCTATCAATAGCTGATTCACGGCTCTCGCCGTGATTTTGTTTTTGGCCACTTTGGTAGTCAAGAAAAAGGCCGGAGGGGGCAGCCCCCCTCCCCATACTTGTAGCCACTTTGGGAGGTCCATGTGGTTGCGTCTCTTTTGAACCCTCTCTTGGATTGGTTTAAAGAGGACAAATCTGGGAACCGCCAATTTGGAAGCTTCCCTTTGAGACAGACCCATGTTGTGGGGCTGCTTCCCGAGCCCTTTTCCCGGGGCTCAAGGAAATCAAAGCCGCTGCAGGAGGGGGTGGATTCGATCCAGCGGAACGAGGAGCTTTGCTTCGATTATGGAGAGGCACGAACCCCTCGGCGGATGGTAGGGGAATGATGTCGTGACCGGCGATTTTTTGCCGGGAAGAGAAAAAGCAATGGGATCAGCATGTCCCCCACTAGTGAATCAGCATCGTTTTTTTGCGTCTGGGAAATGTTCCGGGGATATTTTCTCACTCATATATTATCCCGTAGGGTACGGTTGGGTGTGCGATCCTGCCGTTCCAGTTGAGAGGGTCGGAGCAGCTCACACAGGGCTGCAGCCTCAACTGCACCAGGGAGTGCGACTTTGAACCATCGCCGGTGGTTTCGTTTCTTACCTGTTGAGTTGGCAATATATGTTTTTGGCAGTTTCATCATCTTCGTCAAGTGGCTGTGGGTCAAAACCAATGGTACCATTTTGGGGTAGGTGCACCACCCATTTTAGTCCATTTTAGTGGGGATTGGGATGTTCACTGGGTACGGGCTGCTGACTCATGACCAAGTGGCAAAGGGGTTGAACTTTTTGTGGCCAGTCAACTCAGCTCAGACGGGAACTACATTACCCCAAATGTTCGTTCGGCGATGGCTCCACCGAGTGGCCACGGCTTTTCCAGGCCTACTGGGATGCCCCCCACCGGCGTTTCCAACGACCCAAGGCAGGGAGGGGGGGAGGGGGGAGACTCAGATCTGGGAGCAGACTAAGGTGCCACATGCGAGGTTTAGGAGACTTCGGGGGTCGAGCCAAAGCCGGAACATGCTGACTCGAACCTGACCAGATTTGCCCAATGTCCACGCAGACCCTTCCAGTTGAAATCTTCTTGTACACGAAGTGGTATTCCACAACCTGCCAGAGTGCACTATACAAGGCTCAAGGACCAAAAGCAAGGCAAGCTGAAAGCAAGAGAAAGGGCCAAACGTGATCCCAAGACACTGAGTCATCCTGAGCCATGCTCTATCACTTGCCGCAAGGCTCAGACCCAGAAATTCAACGCGAGCACCTGGGTTGCCACAAGACAAAGCGAGGCTCGTTTGATTCTTTTGCGCATCTCGGCCTCTCGGCCTACTTGAACCTCGGAATCGGGGATCTTTCTTTGGGCCTCATTTACACATATCAGACTTCTAGACCTTGCAGCGAGCTTGCATTGCCAATACATAAGCATATGTCTCTTATTCTTTCGTGCTTTTGGCTCCATTTTCTTTGTTGTCTCGAAGTCGCCCTTCGGTGCATTTGCTCGACATCATGGCCCAGATGGGCCGTGCATGTTTGCAGCATCAGGGACCCCGGGTTGCATGTCGGAAGCGACATTTTTGCTGGAGTTTTCGTGAAGTTGATACATTCCCAACATTTCCCAACCACATTCTCCACTTCTCTCCTTTTGGGGGATCTCCTTTTTGGGTAGAGACCTGGAAAACGCAAGCCTGAGCACACGAGCTGTCGATTCGGATGTGTGCATGAAAGGTTGTTAGATGGGGCCGGGAGTTTGAAGGATGAGCCGCCCGGTCGCTCCTGAGAACCATTGTGCGAAGTTCCTCAGCAACCAAGATAGCCACATCCCCACAGTCCAGTCGTGCATTGAACACCTCCCCTCTTGTATGCAGCAGGAACAACCACATGTTGCGGCCACCCTTGATTTAGATAGATCTTCACGGATTGATACTTTTTGTTTTCCTCCACATTGAAGGACACCCTCTAAGATTTGACACCCTTTCATCAACCACGGGTTTATTCAAAAAATGCTCAAACTTGCGTTGAAGGGCGGTCGGATTTGACTTCAATCGGGCGTGCTATGGGCAAGCCTTGCGGCGAGGCTCGTGTTGCTGAAGCTGGTGCTTAGAGCGCGGCGGACCGCAGTCTCCGCCCACTTGCTTGACTTGACCCCTAGATCTGCGAAGTTCAAGGGTCCACCACTCCGAGGCTGTCTCTTTTGAACGTAGCCTTGTTTGACTTGTTTCAAACTCATCTTTGCGGAGGGCCTCTCATGGTTCCAGGCCTGAGGCAGGTCGCGGTTGTGTGCCACAGCTGCTTCCAGTGCAGCCTCTCTAGGTCTTCCGTTAGTGCCACATCGCGAAAAGTGCGGAGGCCGAAAACAAAAACGGCTCGCGGTTTCCGGTAGGGATTCGGAGCCCCAAGATGACAGCTTTCCTTTGGGTAGCAACTTGGAAAGGGGTGAGTGTGCTTGTGAGGGTGCCTTTTTTTGTGGGGGTGACGCGGCCTTGGCTATGGTGCATGTGGTTCCCTTTGTCTAGTGAGCTGAAGGCTGATAGCCAAGTGGCGCGGTGCAGATTGTCAACAGTAGAACCATTTGCGGACAGCGTTAGTTTTATGAAAACACCATGATAGCAGTTCATTCTGGGCGGTTGATAGTTAGTTCGTTGCTGCACTCGCACCTTTTGGCTGCGCAGTGAACAGTTCTGCACCATCAGCAAAAATATCCTTTCAACTCATCAGATCCACGAGTGAGGGGGGGCATCAACACTCTCAGCACCGCAGCAAGAGATGAGATGAGACATGGTTGCAGCAGTCAAACGGCCTCTCGGGGATGCCATAGTGCCTGAAACGATCAGATCATGCTGGCCATCGCGTGGTATTCACATGAGCCCGGGCCCCATTTGATCCAGGGCTGTCCAAGCGAGTTGAGACCATAGGTGTGCTTTTAGGCAGCTTGGCTGAACGTAGATGGCACTGTTTTGTTTTGCTTGGTTCGAGTCATCCAAGAGGGTGTTCACTCTCTCCAAGAGGGTGTGCACTCTCCATAAAACACTACAAAGAAAAAGAACTTGCGTGATACATATATATATATATATATGGGAGTCGTTCTAAAGGTCCTTGTAAGGAGTTTCGTATTCGGTGACCATCGGTGTTGGTTGAGGTAGCTCCGCGAAAGATTCGCGATGGAGTTGCGACAGTATTTTTTCTCGCGGAAGTTTTGCGTAACTGGATCTGGTAAATCAATGATATGTGAAACCATTCATCTTTTCTGCTGAGCCTTCCTTCTAAGCTGATTAAAAACACTTTGTTGACGTTTCGAAAAACAAAGCCTGGTGAGGCTACAGTTTGATACCCTGCTTGGTTGGTTAGTGCTCCAAGCCTGTGTAATTATGTGTGTCTGTGGGTGTTAGTCGGTGGCTTTCCGCTCTGAAACTTGGGTGATTTTTCGCGAAAGTTCCGCGAAAGATCCGCGAAAGCCCGCGCGAAAGCGCAGGCTTCGATTGCAAGGGGAGGGAGGTACTTTCTGAGCGCCGATCTAGTCAGTATACTAGCTTGGTGCTGGAAAGTTGCGACTTCAAGCTGGAGCTGCGCGGCCTACGAGAAGCTGCGACTGTCCAGCCGGCGCATGTCATGTACTACCCCTGTGATGAAAAGTTGCGACTTTACAGCTGGAGTTGGGAAATCGCATTTCGCGCACTACGCTGGCACTTAAAAGCTGCGTGAGAAATGAAAAGAGCACGGCGATGAATCCGCGAAAGATTCGCGAAAGTAACTTTTCTGTATGCGGAGAATGGCCGTTTCGAGACAAAGGAATTTAGAACAACCACCATATATATACATATATACACATATTGCACCCTATATATATATATATGTTCAAGGCCCCCTCCCCCCCCCCAAGGTGGGGGGGGGGGGGTTGGGTGGTTGGGTGGTTGGTGGTTGGGTGGTTGGGTGGCTGGTTGGGGTGTGGTTTGGCTTGTTTATGGTTCGTTTAGGGTGGGTATAGGGTTGTTGGTTTAGGGTTGGTTTAGGGAAAGGGTGGGTTTAGGGCTGGCTTAGGGTTGGTTTGGGGCTGATTTAGGTTTGGTTTAGGGTTGGTTTAGGGTGGGTATAGGGTTAGAATAGGGTTGGTGTAGGGAAGGGTTGGTTTGCAGCGGGGATAGTGTGCGTTTTGGATGGGTTTTGGGTTTGCTTGGGGTTGGTTTGGGGTTGATTTGGGGTTGGTTTCGGGTTAGGGCTAAGGCTTAAGGGTGTAGGATTGGTTTATGGTTGGGGTTTAAGGTTGGTTGCGGGTTGAGTTGTCCTGTTGGGATGCAAGGGTGGGAGTTCAGGGCCTTGAGTGGCAGGGTTGGGGCGGGGGGGACCCTTGGGGGGGGGGGTTGGTGGCCTGGGGACTGGAACTTTTGTGTATAGTGTGTGTACAGCTTTTGGAAGAAGTGATTAGTGGAGATTTTCTCTAAACTCCTTTACTACTGCCATCTATGTTTTAAAAAGGACACCTCGGCTTCTGACTGTCAGCTGCGTTATGCCAGCCCCATGCCCGGTACCTTTGTGCAAGCTGGCAAAGTGTTTTTGTTCCTTGGTTTACCAGGTGTCCACTTTCGATTTGTGTGTTCCTTTTTGGCAATCCCTTCCTTTCTTGACCTACCTGGTGTTTAGCTTTGTGGTTTCGGGATTCGAACCTCCAACCCACCGAGAAGGTCTCCAAAGCACCAATTCGAGGGAAGCTGACCTCCGGTTTTGCGGATATCAAGGGCCCGTTTTGCTATCTCCAAGCCTTCCCTTGAGGCCCCTGCCAGATGCTGTGCCAGAGCAGGTGCTCGGGGGGGTTCGATGGGCAGGGGGTATGTTCTACCTGGGTTCTCAGCCGTCCAGGCGGTCCTTAGCTTTCTTAGGGTTTCAGTCGGTTTAGTGGTTGGGTTTCCATGAACTTCACCCACTAAAAGTTGTCAACTTTTTGCAGGGGATCTGAGAAGGGACAGCCCGGTGACTGGATTTCCCTAGGGAAATTAAGGAGTGGTGTGAGCAAAAACAACATATTCCCCAAAAAACCCTATTGGCAATTTCAGAAGGTAGTGCCACGTACCCGGTTCAAGGGAGTTCATATAGAAAGGCTGAAACCAATCTGACCGTAGAACAAAAAGTCAGCGGCGAGCGGGTTTTCGTGGCTCATGTAGACTTGATGGGTGGCAAGCTTCGACTCGGATGACTAGTTCTTCGCGCAAGGGTGGCAGCTCCACTTCGAGTCTTACTTGCCCAAACGTAACCTTTGAACCTTTTGGTTTGCTAGTATGTTGGTCTAGTCAAGGCAAGCCAACAGGTTCAGGGAGTCCACTTCGGGTGGGTTGCTGGGATGAAGTTTTTTCGTGTGTTTTTTTGAGGGTACTGTGTGTGGTGAACTTCTATCTGGTGACAGGACCTAGAATGCCCGTGCGAATTGACAGTTCACGGTGAGCGTATCCCAACTCAAAAAGATGTCTCTTTCTGTTTTGGGGGTTTAAATGGACAATCATTTTTGAGGGTACGGTTTTTCTGCTTTGGGGTTTTAAATGGAAACCAATGGGAAGCCACCTATTGTGGGGGTCCCCTAAGAAGAGACAAGCCCATGCCTTTCGCCAGCCGCGGCTCATCCCCACGGAGCTGTCGCAGCGGCTGTCCCGCACTTTCGACGCAGGACAACCGCGGGGCGAGACGCCGACGGTCCGAGTTTGGTTCAGGGGTCACCCATACTGTGGGTGGTTGCGAAATCCTGCACCACTTTGAAACCATGGGAAACCAATGTTTGTTGGCATTTACAGGGAATCATCATTCCAGGGTTTCTTAGGTGCCAAAGGGGGGAGTGACCTACTGTGGATGGTTGCGAAATCCATTTCGCACCGTTCAGAAACCCAACGGAATGATTCGATTACCCTGTAAATGCCAACAAGCAACGGCTGCCCATGGTTTCAAAATGGTGCAGTATTCCGTCCACACAAAATTTTCCCTTCGAAAGGTGGGTTCTTGCAACAAGCTTACTTCAACGCCTCCGACTCAGACCGCCAACATTACAGGCCTGCTTGCTTGTACGTTTCGATGTTGATGGTTGTCTGGGCTAATGGTTTGGCCGTTTCTGTACTTCCCACAAATCTGGCTGAGTCTGGCTGGCTTGTGGCATTTCGCTTCAGTCAGGGCCCCTTAGCTGGAGGGGGAATTCCCGATCGGGACCCGGGCACTTACGCCGACCCTAGAGGCCTGCCTAACCCCGACAGAAAAAAACAAACAAAATACAAAAAGGCATTAAACCAAGCACGAGAAGGGGTGCCAAAGTCACGATGAGCTATATAGACCGTCTAGGCTGCAGTGAGTTTGTGTGCCTGTCACGGGTCTTTGCGAGCTCGAATTCCCACGACCCGTCTGGTGCGGACTTGTCCAAGCCTTTCTCAGCCAAAGTGTACTTCGCGTGCTACACTTGTACTGAAAGGTTGCGACTTTCAAGCTGGAGCTGCCAAAGTGTGCTTCGTACTTTGTGTACTGCACTTGTACTGAAAGGTTGCGATTTTCAAGCTGGAGCTGCCAAAGTGTACTTCGCGTGCTACACGTGAAAGGTTGCGATTTTCAAGCTGGAGCTGCCAAAGTGTACTTCACGTTCCACACTTGTACTAAAAGGTCGCGTTTTGAGGTTAAAAGCGCAGAAAGCTCCAATCGGCAGAGCGATAAGGTTTTTTTTTATAAAAAAAAAGGTGGCCCCAGAAAAGTAAGCCCAAAAACGCCGAGCTTTTGATACAACTTCACTTACAACTTCACTTACTGAGCACGCTCGTTGCTAGAAACAACTTCAGTGTGCCACACCCCTCTTTGTCTATGGCAAGGAATTCAGGTCTGTCAAAAAGGGAGATTGGGATGATGGAGCAGATGTTTGCCCTGATCAAGTGGAAAGCAGCCTGTCGGGAACGCTTCATGTTTGCAATTTTTGTCAGCAGGCTTCCACGCCTTTCGCCCACAAACTGCGGCCTCGCTTTTGGCTGTTCGCAGAAGGAGCAAAAAACCCTGACCCTCCAACAGCAAGAGCTGTCTTGGCGCTTTTGTCTTCCTATCGTTCCCATGGATCGTTTGTCGCAGCAGTCTTTTTTGAAAACACTGCGCTTTGGGGAATCTGAAAATGAGTGGCACCCAAAGCACACAAACGCCCCAAGACCGTTTAGTAAGCTGATGCACCCCACACATTGACTGCCTTCCGTGTACTTGCGGCGACCTTCTCCACGGACCAAGCCGGGACGCCCAGCTCGAGCCGTGGACCAGGCAGCACTTTGGGGCTAGAGATGTTGCCACGGAACTAGACTTTGACTCTGCCTGACTCTCCCATTGACCAATTGTACGTTACACCCCACCGTCACCTGGCGTCAAAGCGAGAAAGCTGACGCTTGTACTTAGCCAATGCCTGCCGCATTGTTCGCAATGTGAGACTCATTCCAATCATCCCGCATTAAGCGGCGAGAGGGCAAACCCTGCACCATGGAGTGTTGCACTTCCATCATCAAGTGATGTCTCGGGCGCAGCTAGGTATTGGAAAGATCATATTGATGGTAATATGCCAATGTTCAAGGAAATCACCGCCAAAGGTTTCTCAAAATGGTAGGCCACTTCTTGAAAACCCTTTTAGCGGGAGGTCTCTCAAAATGGTGGACCTCTTTTTTTATCGACAGCCCTTTGGTGGGAGGTTGCTCAAAATGGTGGACACTTTCTACAATATTGCATGGGAGGTTTCTGAAAATGGCAGACCCCCTTTTGGAAAAAGCTTTTGGCGGGATCCCTTGTTTTATCAACCGGCCCTTGTAGTGGCAGCTTGCTCAAAATGGTGGACCCCTTACCCCTTTTTTTACAATGGGAGGTTTCTCAAATTGGTAGACCCCTGTTTAGACCCTTTTGGCGAGAGGTTTCTCAAACTAGTGGATGGGAAGTTTCTGAAAAGGGTTGACCCCGTTTTCGAAAACCCTTTCTGCGACCTGTTGAAAGAGGGGCGTTGACCCAGATTTCTCAGATCCAACATGCCCCACAAGGGCTGATCAAAAAACCACCCATATATTATACACCCTCCATCACCGCATACGCTATTCATTGACATCAAGATATCGAATAGGGGAACTCCCCGGGCCATTAAACAAATGCTAGCATGCAGCGCCAATGTTGAGCCGTAATCAGCCTGAAAGAAGGTCGCGGGCTTTTTTCCCCTCGATTGGTTGATCTGTCAAGGCCACATCCGGCGCTAGCTAAGTGGGCTCGGAGGCGCCGGAGCTTGGCGCGGCCCGGGAGCGGGAAGTATCTGGGGTATATGCCCCCCCGTGAATTTCGAAATGTCCATGTTGTTTTGGTGTTGAGTGGTATTTGCAGTGTTTTCCGCCTTTTCAAGGCTCTGGGGAAAGCAGCAAAAGAAGGCGCATGTCCAAAGACAATCTGGAAGGCTCAAAACTTTCCCAAAAAATATTTATTCTATTTCCCAGGTCACTGCACGAGCTATTTCATTGGCATCAAGATATCGAGCGCTAGGGTGACCCCCCGGGCCCTTTAAGGTGTTTCAGGATGCAGTGCCTGGGGAATATAATATATGTATATAGGATGCGGGATGGCTTATATATATATATGTGTGTATGCATATGTCTATCTCTTTCTCTTTCTTTTCTCTTTTCCTTCTCTGTCTTTTCTTTTTACCCTTTCTTTATCTTTCTCATTCTTTTATCTTTTCTTTCTCTTTCTCTTTCTTGTACCTTTTGAGGATGTATATGAGGGTCAAGATGGGGTCAAAGAACATTCCGACAAGATATACCTGGACCAACGCAAGACTTAATTTGCTTGCAACCATGTTTGGTCGATTCAAGAAGGGAAATCCCGCAGAATGTCCAAATCCCACGAGTCACAGGACAACGGCCGAGATAGGCAGCTTCATTTTGAGCACTAGGGAAGGCTGCTATTTCACACCACCTCGTTTGCAAGTTTTCTGTTCTTCAGCCCATATTTACGGAATCAGCGCAACTTGCTCGCAAATTAGCCATATAGCTAAATATGTAACAATAATGGATTCGGCTTCCCTTTCAGCGTTCAGAGAAGTGAGACACTGGACTGGCGGCTGACGCTCTGGACCGGGCGACGCCCGTGGAAATCGGGGAGCCCAAGGACTACTGCACTGCAGACGCATCCCCGGCTTGCCCGTGCAAAGGTATGCTGTCAGACCGTCACACGGGCACGGGCAAGACTTTTGCCCTCATCACGGTGCTGACGAACCAGTACGCCGAACAAAGGCTAAATTTGCCAGTGTTTTCCTTCAACCTCCAACGCTGTGCGAAGGTGAGGAACCCGTTTAAGATGGCCGTTGCTGCTTTGGTTTTGATGCTACTTCCCTCCAAGTGGCGCCCCATGTGAGCAACTCTGAGTTATTGTTGTTTGAACTGGTGTAACTCAGAGCAGGCCGCTTGGGGTCACCCCCTTGGAATAACCCACTCGCCGCCAGCTCGCGGAGGTACGGCAGCAGCTTGGAGCTGGTTTCACCAGTCGAATCTTCAAAATCTACGCAGCGATCAACGGCTGCGTTGCTCCATGTTTTCCTCAAGATGAACATCTTGATGACAAAAAAAATGTGCGAAGTCACCGACCGAGGTTTTGCGCACACCCCCCCAATGATAACCTCTAACTTCCCAAAGGAACCAAATGCAACCTTGTTGTGTGAGCGTCCCAGCTGTAGCAGCCCTTGTTCTGCATCATCACCCCGAATATTTGAGGTGAGCCCTAGTTTGTTTTTGCCCTGCTTCCTACATCTATCATACACGTCAAGAGCTTGCGTATACTCTATTCGACGACTTTAAACTTCAATCCCAACTTGCCAGAGCCAAAGCCTTGTTCGTACACTTGTCACCCAATGTAGGCCAAGGTTGCGCAGGTCTCAGGGCTCAGGGCAGCCAAAAGGTCCGGGCGATCATCTGTGCTACCCGAAACTAGGGGGTATAGAAACCATACGCGAGACAACCCTCAAGTTTCGATGTTCTCCTTTTGAATTATTCGATTGGAAGTGTTCCTTTGGAATTGTCCATTTGGAACTTTCCCTTTGGAATTTCCCCCTTCAATTCCCATAAGAATTCTCCCTTTGGCATTGTCCTATGGGACTTTTCCGTTTGAATTTCTCCCCGAAACCATTTTCCCCACTGGATTTGTCACTTTGGAATTTCTCCACTTTTTTTGTTTGGGTTCTCCCATTGGAAGTCTCCTGTTGAAATTTTGTCCTTTCGAGTTCTCCTATTGTTCTTCTTTTGGCATTGTCCATTGGACTTTTCCCTTTGGAATTCACCCTTAAAGTTTTCTCCACTGGAGTGTTGCCTTTTGTATTTTCCCTTTTTCTCCCATTGGATGTTTTGGTTTGGATTTTTTCTTCGACCATTTTCCCTGTGGAATGTCCCTGTGGCAGCTTCCCATTGGAAGTTTGCCATTGCAAGGCTCGCATTGGAGGTTTCCCTTTGGAATTGTCCCTTTGGATATTTTCCCATTGAAAAGGCTTACTTAAGCGCAAGATCAGCGATTGCCAACAAGTGCATTTTTATGCATTTCCTCCATTAGATTTGTCAAGTTTTTTTTATTAATATTTCAATATGTTTGGCCGTCAATATTTCAACACGTTAAGCCACTAAGATTTAAAGTTTGTTCAGCCACTACGAGTTGTTCAGCCCTTGGGATTCAAAATCGATTTGAAGCCCAAGAGAGTTAAGCAATTTAGACCATTGAGATGTTAAGACTTTAAGCCATGAACATGTTAGCACGTTAAGCCACACAGATTTGAAGATTGTGAGCCATTCATATTGTGCAGAGTTTAGTCCATTTAGATTTTCAGGTGTTCAGCCTTTTAACATCTTCACAGGTTAAGCAACTAAGACTTGAAGATGCTCAGCTATGCCGATTTTTTGATTTTGAGTAAGATGTTAAGCTAGTAAGACAACAACACGTAAAGCCCAGTAATCTGTCACCCCATTAAGATTCTAGGGTTTGAAGCCATTAAGAAGTGAAGATTTTACGCAATTACGATTTTAAGATTTTAAGCCATTAAGATGCTAAGACGTTAAGCCACACATATTTGAAGTTTTTAGTTGGGGGGTGCCCCCGAGCACCAACAGTTAAATAAAGCCATTTATACATAATACCTCAGCAAAAATGACCACCAGCAAGCCCAAATTCGTTTTGGGTAAGCACGCCCCACCAATTTTAGGTTGCGTATTTGTTGGTCTATATGATGACGCAGTGGAGAGTAGAGTGGTGTCTTTTCATGCCCAGGCCCAAATACGGTTCTGTCCCTACTGGTTCTAGTGCTGCGCTTTCGGGGTTGTCACTGGACTGTAGGCGCATTAGGATTTAGGAGACCTAGGAAAAGTTTAAAGCTGGTTCAGGAGTCGTAAACATAGACAGAGACATAGACATAGCATAAACATATATCGCAAATAACCTTGGCCTAGACAGCAACTATACTACCACTTTTCCGCCGTCGCTGCAAGTTGAATGCAAGTCGCTAACGCTAACACCAAGTTCTGACATCTTGATCTGACAGAGAGCGAAATCCAAAGCAGGCAGGAAGTGGCGCAGTCAGCGCGGAGCTGGCCGCTTCGCCCAGAAACACGTTGGAGCATCTTTTCTTTCAGCTTCTTCCGTTTGTGGGCCTGGTGGAGGAGCCCAAGGTCCTGAAAGACAGGTTCAGGGCCAGGGGAGCCACTGCCACGTTTGCCCTTGCGACCTACACAGCCGTTTGCAGGCCAGTCTGCTGGCTGGCAGCCCCCACCCTGCCTGGCCAGGCCAGCTGGCCCCTGGCCCAGCTGGCGCCAGCGCCGAGCTCGCCGAGCTGGCACTGACTCCGGCCGGCTCCCGCACTTCTAGCACAAGAAAAAGCACAAGAAAAAGCACAAAAAAAGCACCGCAAAACCCCAATTACCCTCCAGAGGGACCCCGCTACTACTTTTCATCACGGGAAACCACCAGCGGGAGCACACAAAAAAGCACCGCGAAACCCACAAGAAAAAGCACAAACAAAAGCACAATCGGGAGCACAAAAAAAAAGCACCACAAAACCCCAATTACCACCCGCCCGGACTCCGCTACTACTTTTCACCACGAGAAACCACCAGCGGGAGCACAAAAAAAAACACCACGGAACCCACAAGAAAAAGCACAAGGGACCACCACAAAACCCCAATTACCACCCGCCCGGCCTCCGCTACTAATTTTCATCACGGGAAACCACCAGCGGGAGCACAAAACATAGCACCACGGAACCCACAAGAAAAAGCACAAAGGACCACCGCAAAACTCCAATTGGAGCACAAAAAAAGCCCCGCAAAACTTGGCCGGCGGGCCGGTTTTTCAAAATTACTTTCCCTTCAGACCGCGAAATTCAAATTACTTGCCCCAGGACCCCCCCCCCCCCCAGGCCTCTCCGGGACACCTTAAAAATTGAAAAAATGCGTTAGTGCGTTAGTGCTCCCCCTCAAAAAAACCGTTAGTGCTCCCCGCGACACTCTTGGAACGAAAAAAGGAAGGAAGAAAGCACAGACAGAAGGTTGGGGAGAAGGGCAAACGGAGGGGAGGGGGTTGCTGTGGGCTGGATGTTTGCGTGAGAGGTGGGGGGTTTGGGTGAGGGCCGCAGGTAAGAAAGAGGCTTGGGGGGAGGGAGGGCTGGATGGGTGAGGGCAGCTTGATTGTCAGAGAAGGTTGGGAGCGGAGGCTGAGAGAAGGCCGGGAGGGGCTGTGATTCGGAAGGCTCTGGCTTACGCTGGGGGGAGGTTGACTGGGAGGGGGTGTTGTGGGAAGCAGCAGCGACCAAGCCAAACAGAAAGGAAGGACGGAAAGGTAATGTTGCAACAGCCACGCTAGCCGTCGTGTTGCGTGTGCCTATTTAACTTTCCCATTGTATCTGGGCGAACAAGTCATAGTGCAAATAGTCTTTGAATCACTTTATTTCAAGGTCCCCGGAGCTATCCCCCAAGATGCAGAACGAGTAATTTAGGTTTCAGACCTGCACGGGTATCTAATTTTAAAAAAGAGCAAAGTTGCTTGTTTTTTGTGGTGCTTTTTTTTGTGCTCCTATTTGTGCTCACTGATAGTGGTCCGGGGCCACCCCCAAGTTGTAAGCCATTCGAGTTGTTTCATTTAGGTTTTAAGTTTTTCAGCCATCAATCGCATTTCAGATTCTCAACCATCAAGATGTTTAACACGGTAAGCCACTAAGATTTCCTCTTCTTTGTTTAGCCATTAGGAGGTTCAGACTTTAATCTAGTCAGATTGAGGTGGGGGAGGTGGGGGAGGTGGGGGAGGTGGGGGAGGTGGGGGAGGTGGGGGAGGTGGGGGAGGTGGGGGAGGTGGGGGAGGTAGGGAACCGGCGAAAACAAAACGCTGCAACTTTTGGGGTCTTTCTTAGCACTCATATGGGTGTGAGTCAAAACTAAAACCACCAGGGGAAGGCCTGTGTTAGGCATGGGTTCCATTTGCCAGGTTCCATTTTGGGTACCCATTCTTGACCCACTGCCATATGGTACCACACCCTCCCAGCTGGTGGTTTCAGGCGAAATGAATTTTAGGTGGAACAACCGAAGTCCAGCAATCCGACGGAATACTGATGTCCAACAAAGGTCCTCTGAAAACAATCGCAGCCAGGTGTTCCTGTTGGTATGCTTTTGGCTGCCTAAGTTGAAAGTAAGGAGGGAATTAGTCGACGGCGCCGTAATGTGTGTTAAGTGTCCTAGCTTGCAATATATTTAAGGCTTCCTCGTTTGGCGCACTCTCGTCAGCAGGAAGGCAGAATAAACAGATGGGGAACTTGGGGACAGTTGGGTTTTTGGTTTTGGTATATTTCCAAATCCGTGGATAAAACGAGTCACTGTAGCTGGCTTGAGTTATTTGACCGGTTGGGGACTTTCAGGGGTAAAGTGGGGGATATTAGCTGGTATCTCTGTGGAATCTATTTAGCATTTTCAGGTCCTCCAAATTGCTATGACTTTTTAATTAGGGAACCGCCTCACAACTCTACGTCCTCCAGTAGTGCCCTTTCACCCTTTTTTGGTTGGGAGGGTTCCCCTACCAAGATAGACTACAGGAGAAAGTTGGTACTCTTATTCTAACCTCTCTACTCGAGGACCTAGAAGTGGTAGGGTTCCGTTAAAATTCACATGCACGTGGTTTGACAGGAGAGCACTGCGACGTGCAGTTCCATGTCGGCACAGCGCCCGGATCTCAAGCTGTTCTTCACTGAATTGGCGAATTCCCTTCGGGTCTCTTGACCCTCTCTTTGGTGTTCAGGCTGCTTAAGTCAGGGTGGTGGGATCAAGGGGTTTTTCCCCACTTCTGTGATACAAGGGAATCCCCCTTTATGTGAAAAGCATAGTCTTTGGGAAGCCCTTTCTGTTGTATCACAGAAGGTCATTCCCCACAGCCCTGGCTTAAGTGGATTCTAATGGCTGTAAGGCTAACTTCTTGAGTTCCACTTTGAGCTTTCTGGAAAGACCATTCGAGTGGGAAACACATCAACGTGTCTGGGATGAACACCCCACCCCAGCAACACGGAGATGCCAGACAAAAAGCACCAAGGACCCTCTTTGGTTGTTTTCCTTTTCTTCTTTTTCGCCGAAGGGGTTGGAACGATCTCCGTAACAGAGCTTAGGTGCCCTGTCTCAAAATGCTTTGGTTCCTTTCGCGGGCGACCTTGAAGATGGAACCATCATGTGGCGTGTTCAAAGTCAAAGTCCGTGGCGCAGGACGGGGAACCTTGAGCGGTTGGGTCCCGTAGTTGCCCCATGGAAATTGCCAGCGCATGCTGTGTGTGAGGCCGCACGCAGAGTGCATCGGGGCACATCGCATAGCGCGGGGACCCGGTGTCCTCGTTCCTGGTTTGTTTCTTTGCAAGGAAGGATGAATTAAATCAAGAACAGGGTCAACCGCTTCACTCGGGGTTGGGCCTTGCTTAGCCTTGAAGGCACCTATGCAACATACTTCCTGGTTCCTCCTACGGATGTTGATCCGGCCAGGTTTCGTGTGAAGAGCCGGGAGGATTTCTCGGGTTTGTTTGGGGACCTTGGCCACGGAATGAGATTCCAACTTGGGAGCTCCACGTGAACGTCGCTGGACGGCACGACGGCGCCGCCTTGACAAGCGATGAGTTGGTGGTGTCGCCCCTTTGGTCTACTTGTGCTCACGCAGCGCTTCCAATTCACAGAGGGTGCAGGTACATCGCACACTGACACCCATTTCAGGGCGTTTGAATCAACTGCGTTGACCCTCCCGGGTCCTTGCTTGCATAACAAAGGACACGATTTGCCGTGTTTGGGGCCTCAGGAGACAGGAGACCTTCGATTCTTGTAGAATGTGGCTGTTATGCTTGCAGACTCAACCCGGTGGGGTTTGCCGACGAAGGCTGGCGCTCCCCCACATCTGGAATCGAACGGACCAGCCCGCCCCAGCAACCGTATTTGCAGATGGGGGCTCCCCGCTTTCCAGTGGGTTGACTTCCGCTTGCTCAGCGCGGATGTCAAGAAGCCCTTTGACTTCTTAGACAGCTTCGTCAAATGCCAAGATTGGTCATGAGTTCCATGTTTTCCTCTTGGCTGATTTCAACATATTTTAACCGTCACCTTCGTGGCTCGCTGAGCCCTTGGTAGTGATTTGTTTTTTCTCGGGGAAGTATAAAGAGCCGTGTTGATCGGAATTCTTGCAATTGAACCCGGGCTCTTTGTACCTGGAGCTTTTGTGGGTCACTGAAACATGCATGGGCTTCCCGCAATCATGGTTTCTACCCCATATGGTCCTGGGAGATTTTCTCACTTTTGTGTGTTTCCTTGAGGACTTGGGAGGCTTTGTATCAGATCGATGGATGTAGGTATACTTTCTCTCTGTGGTTGATGATTGCCTGTAATTTCCCTTGAACATGTTCTTTAACATTAGCTCGAGTTTCCGTTTGGGAATTGATTCCCCTTCTTTTACGATGCATGTGTCACTTGAAACCAACCGCATCTGACCTTTCGAGTTTTCCGTTTTGGGTACTTCCGAATCCAATATGCTCAGTCCAAAGCCAACAGTTTCGCCTTTGTGTTTTTCCTAGTGAGATGTAGAAACCCTGGCACAGCTACAAGCCTGGGAGCCCATTCTGACCGAGTCACGAGGGTGGTCCACTTTTTGCATGAATCTCCATGCATTGCTGCCCGCAGGGATTCCAAGTAAGCATCATGTCCGTGTGGGCGTGGCTTCACGACCAGGTGTCTGGGTTGCTTGGTAAAAGGGTACCCTCAACAGAAGACATGCCCGAGCTTTCCCATGGTATCCCCATGTTGCACCTTTCAAACTATGAGCAGCCGTGCCTTTAGAGCCACCTTTTCAGATCTCAAAGCGAAGGGACAGTGTCCTTTTTGCCGCTCTTCCCCTTATCGGTTTTGCACATTCGTTGGAGTGACTCGCCGGGACAGCAGGTCATGTCAACCTAAGGTTTATAGTTGGGTCCGTATTAATAAAATTCTGGGCCACCGGACGCGCATTTTCACCCAATACCAAATTAAGAAGGGGCTAATTCAAAGGTCAATTGCAAACATGCAACAGCGCCCCCCCAAGTCCACCCTCGAAAGCACAACATTAATAAGCCACCCAAAGAATCACATTAATAAAATTCCCCGAAACGCGGAGGCAAGCCAAACAAGTTTTGTTGTAACAGGGGGCAAACCAGTCCGAAATGATTCAAACGTAAGCAGGCAGCGTGCAGAAGTTGATGGCACAGAGACACATGCAACAAGCGTGCAGCGTGGGGTACCCACACAAGCTCCCCACACCCGCATTAGTAAAAGGGATTCACATTAATAAGCACCCCAAAGCGACCCCTAGGACAAACTAGGCATTGGTTACTACGAGTACTACTACAAGTATTACAGGTACTACTATAAGTACTACAAGTACTAGAAGCAGTACGACAAGTAGTCTAGAAGCAATACTACAAGTATTTTGTTTCTGTACTTTGCCAAAAAAGAAAAGGAAGAAAGAACAGTTGAGCGGGGGGGACCCCGTTTACTAATATGAAGTCGACGTTAACTTGGATGAAAATGTATATTTCCTTTGTACTCTTCAGCAACATGTTCATTCCGCAGCCACATCCGAAGTGCCCGGGATCATTTGTTTCCCCCACTTTTTGTCCCCAACTTTTGGGAAACTCCGCTACCCTAGGTGCCTGCACCAAAAGTTTTAACCACGCCGTCCGCACGATTGACACCTTGTTGGGTTTTCACATTATGCCGTGGGAAGTGATGATGAAATTGTCAGCGGCACCTGTCTGTGGAAGGAGTTTCTGGACCAAAGGATTTGTAAAGAGAGTGCACCTGCCCTAACAGGCGCAGTTCCGAAATTTGTTGACAAACATGGGCAACAACATTGTGGTACAAGCAAACCTAAACGTAATGGTCCCGTGGCCAAAATTGGCCTCACCAAGGACACCGCTGCAACCCGAGGATGCTACTTGCCTCCCGAGAGTACAGCTGACGAGCTTCCGTAAAGTCAAAAGCCACCGTTCCATGCCCACGCGTATGGAGTAAGAGTAGGAGTTGACATGAAGGGTTTGCAGGACTGCAGAGTGTACAGGGGGAAACTGCATATCTATCTCGCTGTTTCAACCGTTTTGCACATGTGGGAACCCCTTCTTCTGGACACAGGGAGGGAAGCCCTGTGGAATCGTGCCCTACCCATGGGCTGTCCGAAGCTTGCCTCTTGCCTTCGTTGGAAGGAACATACTCAGAGTGCACGCTAAGTCTCCACTCGAATCCACCTTGTGACGATCCTTCCAGACCCTCAACCTTTTAAACACACCGCAAGCAAAAGGTATCCCAAACTCACACGGGCCCGGGTGTTCTCCAGCCAAAACCCCTTACTTCATGTTCCTGTGAAATTATTTTGCAAGAGAGGTGTCGTTTTGCGAGAACGGCAGCCACCTGGGTGCCACATCAATAGGCTGGCAACCCGAGGGTTCCTTTCAAAGAATGTCATTTCATGAGAAGAAGTCCTTAAAAACTAGTTGTTGCGGCACCTCAGAAAATATAAGCGATGCATGTCGACCAATGCATTGGAATGCCTTCAAGGGAAGTCTCAGAAACATTATATCAATACGTCAAACCTGACCAGAAAGAAAACATGACTCGGTGCGCCGCGCGCTGAAACTTGAGAGGTCCTTCACACTTAGGAGACCTTCTGCTTTTTCCTTCCAGTGAACTGTTTCAGCCAGACTCCTTGAGTAACGTTGTCTGGCCAGCCGCCCGCGCGCTCGGCGGCTGCGCAAGAGTGTCGCGCGCCGTCGGTCGCCCGGCGCGGGTGACCTCACCCCCGGATCGGATGACCGCATGACTCCAGTTTCCTGTGTTAGCCGCTGGTTGATGAACATCATTTATTGTCTGGGAGGCAGCCTGACCCTCCTTGCAGGCCCGTTGCGCGCGGGCCAAGGCGAAGGAGTTTGTGTGTTGGCGCTGAAAGACAAAGAAGCGCACAAAAAAGGCCAAAACAAACGTAACCCTTCGCAAAACAACGCAGAAACCAAGAACAGCTTTCCCAGAGAACGGCCGAAAAGCCGCCAAGCTCAGGTGCTGCGCCGGAATCCGGCCCTGGGGTTGGAGCAAAGCTCCGCGGCGGGGTGGCCTGGTTTGAGGGCTTACGCGGAATGAAGTTAGAGAGGCTGGCTTGTGCATCAAAGGTTGACGAAACTCCGCGGTTCGAGCGAAAGAGCCCCATACAGGCGCTGGAACATCACAACGACAAGTCAAACTTTTGCGAGGGGGTCCGAACGGGTTCCAGGAATTTGGAATGATGGAGGGGTTTTCAGACATTGGTTTGGTTCCCCTTTGGAAGGAGTCCAAGTTTTTGAGGATTTCATGTATCCCTCCCCTTAACAGGATGAGTTGCCAAATCAGACCATTTTGTTGGGGGGTTAGGGTCCCTGTCACTGTGTTTGTGTGTGTGACTGTGTTGCGCTACTGCGGAGCCAGGCGTGCGAAGCATTAGATGAGGGAACCTTCCTGGAATGGGCAATTGTCACGTCAATTTGTTTGTAGTTGCAAGGGCTGTCAAGGACACTAACAGGTGTCAGGAAACGCACCAGCTGTTGATCGTGGAGGGTCCTCGCGACCTTGCCACAGCTTGTCTCCCCACTTCACACTTGTGTCGTGTGCCTCAGTGCTTGTGTTTAGTGACTGGGACCTTGTCGTGGCGCAGACAGAGTCATTGTTGGCAATGTCTGATGTGCGCAACTGCTGTCTGGGGTCGAGGCTTAACTATTGACCAAGGGGTGGTTCAAACAAAACATACCCCTCAGGTTAGTGTGGCGCTTCCCAACCTCGAGGCAGAGGCCGTCAGGCGAGGGGCGTTGCCGAGCGAGGCGTTGGACGGTTGACTGAAACCGTTGTGCCAAGGGGCTACATAATTAGAATGGAGAACCCTACAGCCAAATCTGAGTCAGCCGTCTCACTAGTGCCCTGAGTTCCTGGACTTGCCTAATATCGTTTTAGTGGCAAACAAATAGTGTTCTTGTACTTTCAGGAAAAAAGGAAACACTAATTTTGTGGACCCGTGCATTCCGCCAGCGCGAACACTCCGTGACAGTCAGATTTCACGTGGTGCCTCAAAGGGCATCTTTAGGAGACATGGGTTGGCGGGGGGGGGGGGGGGCAAAAAGCACGGAACAAAAACGCCTCCGCTCCACATCGCTGGCACCATCCCCGGCACTTCCGTGCCAAGACTGTAACACGAACTGCTAAGCGTTTCCTGGGATGCGGCCACATCCCACCGGCGTGTGTGGCACCGATGACTCAGGGCTTTGCACCGTGGGCTGACCACGAAGCTGAGATAGCATCGATTCGGCCAGGAAACTGTGTACATCTTTCAGATCGATTTCAGCCCAGACAACATCCAAGGTGGAAATGTGAAGCTCCCACAGCGGCTGGAGAGCTAAGCCATCAGGCCAGGTTCGCTACCGCATCTGCGGCGATGGGTCCCCCACATTAACATCTCCCCACCTCAAAGCCCCCGTGTACCCAAGACGTTGCACGAGGATAAGCTGGACCTTGCTTGAGTGACACCAGAAACAAACTATGCGTAAGCATGCATATATATATATATATATATCAGAGAGTCGTCCGAAAGGTTCTTGTATTGAGCTATGAAGGGGAAGACCTTTTGGTCTTAACGTTGACCTCCGCGAAAAGTTGCACGAAGGCGGTCGCGGATGTTATTTTTTTGTTCGAAAGTTTCGTGCAAGGGTGGCTTGCTAACAGGAAGTTGGAATGATGAATTATGCGTATTAGCCGGCAGTGCGCGCAGAATGCCCGCAGACTAAGGGTCGCCGCAAGAATACGCCGCTGCCAAAGCAACCCCCAGCCAGCAGAAACCAGCTTGTGGGAGTATTGAAGCTTTCGGGTCAAGTTGAGTGCAACTTTCCAGCCGGATTTTCGTGAATGTTTGGCGTAAGATCCGTGAAAGCTTCGCGAAAGTCGACGGACCTCCCTGCCAGTTTCCGGACATGAGGCCAACGTGTGCTGCCGCACGGCTTATGAGCTGAGTTTACTTCGCGCGCTACTTTGGTATGGAAAAGTTGCGACTTTCAAGCTGGGGCTGCGGAAATTTACTTTGTGTACTACTTTCGTACTGAAAAGCGTTGACTTTCGAGGCGAGGCTGCGGAAGCTTACTTGTCGTACTACTTACGTATTGAAAAGCTGCGACTTCCGAGCTGGGGCTGCAAAGTGTCCTTCGTGTACTACCTTTGTGATCCGCGAAAGTTCTGTGATGAGGTCCGCGAAAGTTCTTTTTTTCTCGCGAAGATGGCGGTTTCCGGAACAAGGAATTTCAGACAACCGTCAATGTATAATACATATGTAACACATACCCGAACTTTCCAAAGCTACTGAAATTTCCGTACATGCAGAAAAACACGTCAATGTACGTTTTTGAGGAAACTTGACGGAAATCGGTTTCAGCAGGCTGTGAGCGTTTGTGGTGCACATGGATGAACATGAACACAGTTTGCGATTTACATGGATCCTCATACTTAATTCCGTTTCAGGTCATTCGTCTCCTTGCTGTGGGGCAACGTGTGGCAGCTTCCTTGCCGCTTTTGCGAGTTTGCAGTTTTCTCAGCCAAAATGCAGAAACCGGAAATGCACGGAAATCGGCGGGAAATGCACGGAAATCGGCGGGAAAAGTACGGAAATCTGCGGAAAAATACAGAAATCTGCGGAACATGTGCTTAGGGAAATGCGCACCCTTTGTCCTTGGTGAATTGCACACCTTCAAATGGTTTTTCTTGGCCCATGAGCATGACAATCTCCAGTGCCAGGGCCGGAGCTGAACGTGAGATTCTTGTAGAAAAAATAGTTGAATGCTTCTGTGTCTTGCGTTGAGCCTGCAAGAAAAGTACAGTTTTTGCTCAAATGTATGGAGTCGCAAAAAAATGCCCTTGGTTGGTCCAGGTATATAATACATATATAATACATATATAATACATATATAATACATATATAATACATATAATACATATATAATACATATATAATACATATATAATACATATATAATACATATGTAATATTATGTACTGTTTTGTCCCCATCCACTCGGGCACTGGGTCGCCCTTGTGCCCTGGGTTCCCTCTTAATCCGGTGAAGTCTGCCTCTCAGGGTACCTTTTGCGGCGGCGTCTGCTCTGAATAGAGCAGGGTTAGTCATTGGTCTTGACGGGTGGTTCTTAGATGTAAAACCACCACAGCAATGGACAAGGCAAAGGCCACAAAATTGTAAGTAAGGGGAGGGTCTTGAACTGCAACCAACCGTGCAGTTACGTACCGAAACGGCTCTCTGCAATTGTTTCACATTGCAATAGAGAGTACTGTCGCAACGCCAACCTGACGTTGCTTGAGTCGGAGAGGGCTCGGCAAGGAGCAGAAGCACCTTTTGGGCTTTGATGGCAGAAAGCCACCGGGTTCGGTTCGCTGGCTGCCACAGGTTCTGAGCGGATCGGGTTCCCGGCTTTTTGGGGAGGGGGCGAACGAATTGCAAGACAACTCTTTATGGTTTGCACACCCAAAGTCTGAGGTCCTACTCGAAATGGACATCAACGTACAAGCCATGTTGAAAGATGGGTTTGGAGGGTATGTGCAGTGGATGCCCTCATCTCGTTTAGATCCACTGACTTGTTGGGCCAGCTTCAAAGCATTGCCCAAGGATCTCCATTCCATTCGGAGAGAGCTGCTGTATATCTTTCACACACCTGTCGGGGTCAACAAAGCATCAAGTGGTCCATCGTGTTCTTGGGGAGGTATATGAAACATATCCCAACGGTTGCCCTCTCACCCACGGAGCCAAAGACTTCCCGAGTCAGGTCCCATGTTGCTTGGGGATACGAAAGTTGACTTCTGAATTTCTCCAGGCTGCCATGGATGTGCCGGGGCGGCATGGGGCATGGGGCAAAGGAAGGAGAGACCAAGAAGTTTGGAGATTTTCCCTTGGTTGTCCTTTGAAGTAGCCCAAGAAATGTACTCTCAAAAAAGCACACCCAAGTAGACGCCGGCTTAAGCGTCGCAGGCAAGTCCTGCGTGCCCATTACCTGGAGGCGGGGCTTTTCGGGATTCTCAGGGATCTGAGGAATCAGGTTGCCTTTGAACTGAATTCTCCTCCAAACATTGTGTTTAGGGTAGCTTCACCGGTGTGTGTATGTTTTTACTGTTCATTTTTTGTAGGGGGCTACCATGCCAAGGGTCGGAAAGGTAGACTGAAACAGACTCAGAACTGCTTTTCTGTGTATCCCAGATTGCCAAGCAAAGGGACGCCATGAGGAGCTTGAATCACATGGGGGTTTGCTGCAACTTGTTTTGCATGTGCTCTCGTGTATCTTGCTCTGCTTGCGCTGTATGCTAATTGGCTGCAGAACCTACGCAGTGCTTTCGGGGAAAAACATTCACTATCATTTGCAGCTCGACCGCCCCATACATGTAGAGGGTTCCGCCGGTGCTGTAGAAACCCACGTTTGTGTTGACAAAGAGACGGGACCCAAGTTTTGGAGGGTTTGTAAGGCGCCGACAGGTTCAACAAGTACTCCCTGCAAATCAACAAGAAGCCCGAAACAAGGGGGTCCCTCAAAACATCTTCAACTCGGCCTAAAGGTGACCATTTTTTGGAAGCAAAAGCATCTTTTGCCCAACTAAAGCGACCCTTTGGTCTAGGTCTCAGATAGTGAGACAAATGGCATGTGACACTGCAGAAACAGGACTTTGGTCCACTTTTGCCCAGAGTTCAGTACAGTCATGCCAGAGATTGGCCGACCAACGACCAGGTAGTCAGTATGCAGTACTTGGGTCTTCTGTTGATGAATATGGAACGCTGATTGACACTGGGGTAGACTTAGGATACATTTTACATTTTACCAGTGACTCAAAGTGCAGAAATCAATAAATGTGCATTCAACAGCTGCGCCGAACTCTAATCGTGAACAGGGATTGAACCATGGACTAAAAATGGGTCTGCCGTGGTCCATTTTTTGGGTCAAAAAATAAAATGCGGCCCGCGGCCCGGCCAGATTGAAGGGGAGGAGGCCAGCTGTGCCGGGCCTCGCGCAGGGCTGGCCGAGGCCGGTTTGGGCTGTGGGTTGAGGGTTCGTTACCCCAAAAAACCGACCCCCGGAGATTTTCTTAGGATACTTTTTTGCATTTTACCAGTAACTCAAAGTGAAGCAAACGGGAAAATATACATCCTCCATGCACACTCGGCCGAACTCTAATCCTGTACACTCCAGGTTAAACATGGAAAGTGCAAAGGGATGGCTAGAGGCATCTGCTTGTGGAGGACCCGCCTTTTGACCAGGGCCCCCGCCCCCCCTGCCCTTAGCAAGGACCTGAAGGGAAACGGAGGAACTTGGATTTGTTTCCGAAGAGTTCGCCAAAGTATCCGGAGTGTGTCTATGAGACAAGCTGATGTTTGCTTGGTTCAGGTACCCCTTGCTTTCGAAACCGGCAGATGGCTTTGAAAAAAATCTTGGTGATTTCAGGGCCGAGTTGATTGCCTCGGCTTCCCGGAAGGAGCCTGGCACTCTTGGAGAAACCAACTTGCTCTTGAATGTGACGGATGTTTCGGTGCTTGAAGGGAACTTCACAACCCCCGCCAGGTCTTTTCCGGGCTTCTCGATTCTCGGTGCCTCTTTCGTGTGACCTTCGGAGGCTGTTGATGTGTTGGGGAAAAGCCAAGAGCTGGCTCTGCTTTGCTTCCCCTGTCTCAGACGGGAAGGCTGCAGCATGCTTGGGGGTCCTGCAGGAGCAAGTTGAAGGGTTGATTACTCAACATGGGATCACGACCGGCATAGGGGTACCTGTGATGCACCGAGTTCGACCAAACGGGCGAGCACTCGGTTCTGCGGCTGGTTGGAAGGGACAGTTACGGGCCAAGGAACGTGAAGACTTTGGAGAAGTGAACAGATTCGTAGTTGCCACTTGAGAACAACTACCCCATGTCCTTTGGAGGAAACTGGAAACTCTGTTGGGACCATTGTCAGCAGCAGTTCTTTGGGGCGAAAACAGCTGTTTGGCTTTGACATCCCCAAGAACTTACCCTAGTAAGAAATTACATAGGATGGTTGCCGTGTCAAACGAAGCCCGCCTTTTTGCAAGCCACCCTTCCCATGGCTCGCGGACCTCTTTTTTTTGGGGGGGCAACCAGGAATCTTGATTTAGGGCGGCCCCTAAGTATTGTTTTTTTCAACGCCCAAGTACGACCCCCCTGCTAGGGTTGATCAGAGGCCACTTTTTAAACGAGACTCTGTAAGAACAACTTGCGGAGAATTCCACCTCCGCGGAAGGTGACGGGCGACCGCGCTAGCCTGGAGGCCGTCGGCGATGTTCGAGTCAGTTGTACTTCTTCTTCTTCTTCTTCTTCTTCTTCTTTTTTTGGGGGGTTCGGATTTGTGTCCACCAACCACTTTTGAGGGGGTTCCCCATGAAAATTCATGGCCATTTGTGTACCGGGCTTTGAGGTTGGCTCAGCTCGAATTAGATTGGCGCGCCCGGCCAGGCAGCGTTCGGAGCTTTGGATGCCAGCGGCTGGGCGCCTCTCAAGGCCATGAGCCTCGCAGGTTGCAGGAAGACCGGTGGAACCAAACTTCTAGGGGTTGGATTCCTTTTCCATTCTTTTAAACCATCGTTCTTCTCAAAAACCAGCTGTTTCCCTCTGGGTGTTGGGTGTTTGTTTGTTTTTTTGCAAAGAAGGATCCCTGGAAAGAATCCCTAGTGTGGGTCTTTGGTTCCTTTTGCCGTGCATTTGCTTGAGCCCAGGTAGTGTCTGGTTTTCCCAAATGCAGGCTCAAGCGGGATGTTCCGAGTGTCAGACCCTCCGCTTGGATAGCACTTTGGGTCACCAGAGAATTTGGGAGCTCCAACTGCTTCGCTCTTCGCTTGCAGAGTCCCCTCAAAACAAATTCCAGTGGCTTTGTCTTTTGAGGGGGGTACCCTTTTGCAGTAGGTTTTAGAAGGAAACCAAACATTTGGGGTACCCCTCAATGGCCGTTAGGGTTGCTTCTTGAGCCCTTGGAAAAATCGCTGAGACGGAGCCTTGGGCTCAATCTCTTGCATACTTTTGCTTAAGACTACGTCCCCTCTTGGTGTTAAAGGAAGGCTTTCAAAACCAACCAAGAAGCGGTACCCTCAAAACAGACATCCCCAACATGTTGACTATCAAACAGTTATGAACCCCCCCCAAAAGAAAAAACGCCTTAAGAGAGCCGAGAGCCGTTGTCGAAGCCCGACAAACTGTCATTTACAGTAGCAAAATCAGAACTGGGGTAGACTTAGGATACATTTTGCATTTTAACATATACATTCTACAACTGGGCCTAACTCTATTCATGATAAGGATCGGCAGAGTTTCCCACCCAACGGCGCGTACCCAGCGAGGCGGCGGTGAACACCTCCCACTTCGCGGATGTGACCTTGGAGCTGGGGGGCCTTCAGGCGACGACTTCTCGCGGATAGAAGCTCCAAGTGGCCCTGCACCTGCCCTAAAGGTCCCCCGGGCTTGGTGTGCAGAACCGAATTCGAGGGCCTCCGCACCACAGACACCAACATGGCGATGTGTTGAAACCCGGGCCCAAGTACCTGAGGATTTCAGGTTGTGAGGTACTGAACATGGCGTTCAAAGGCGCTATGGTCAAACCTCCATACTCGCAATGTCGTCAGGGGGATCAGCCCTTCAGAGGGATTTGTTGACCGCCATTATGAGGGCTCCTCCCAAGACACACCATCGGGTTTGCTTTAAAGAAGCATCATAGCCATGAGCACATGGGGATGAGCGTGGCAGAAACGAGTATGATTTCGAAGAGTTGGAGCTCTGGAACTGGTTGGTGGACATGCATCCCTAGGGCAAAGTGATGCCAGATGGCCAGGCAAGCCTTACCACAACGTTTGGGCCTCTCCTCCGAAACCATTTGGGCGCGGACTAAGGCCGAGAAAACATCGTATGTTCTGTGCACCCCCCTTCCCCCCCCCACCCCCCATTTTTGGGGCCAAGAGGTCCGGCTTTTTTTGTCCCTGACAAATGCCGGGGGTTGCTTGGTGTTCCATGATGTTCCTGGTTCATTGGAAGCCAAAGGACGATCAGCTGGCGCACCTCAGCCGTGTCTTGGGCAAGGGGCAAGGCTCACTTTTGCAGATTGGAATCTCAGACTCAAATGGCTTGCAAGCCTCCCAAGCAGGGTTTTTGCTTGTTTCATAAGGGGGGCTTGGGTGTCCATGATCCAGGGGAGCCGCTCGCTTTGGCTTGGAGCTCGCAAGTGGGCACTGCAGCAACGGCCAATATGTTGGCATAGCCAATCGCGGGGGAGGTGTGGTTTTGGGACCCCGGAGGTGCCATAGGAAGAGCTTTCTTCGGTGGTGGAAACAGTTTTTGCTTTTCTGCTTAAAGAGTCCAAGGGCCTTTCAGATCGAAGGGCCTCTGGCTCTTTCAAGATCCGGCATTACGTGGAGCCGAAGCCATGCTGGAGACGCTGCTGGCCAGATACCTGGGCAAGTTCCTGAAGGCAGCGCTTGACTTCGGCGTGCGGTGTGCTTGTGCACAATATCTCTCAGCTTGCCAGTGAGAGAAGACTTGGCGAATGTTACTCTGGGTTATACTTAGGATACACTTTTCATTTTCTCCAGTGACTCAAAGTGCAGCAAACAATAAGATATACATTCTATAACTGGGCGTAACTCTAATAGTTATGTGCTGGCCATGTTTTGGCCAGTGCCCTGATCATCTAACTCGCCCCACCTCCCGAAGAGAATGGAAAAGGAGGGCGCGCCCAGTTTTTTTTTGCCATCGGGTTTCCATCAGCGAGGGCTTCACGCCGGAGCACATCTCGGCGCACCTGCTGAAGGGTTCCGTGCGGCTCAAGGCGGGCTCCGTGTTGAGACCCCCAACGGACCATTAAGCACCGATATGGCTGTAGGTCAAAACCAATGGTACCATCTTGGGATAGCTGCACCACCCAGTTTAGTGTATTTTAGTGGGGATTGGATGTTCACTCGGGGTACGGTTGAGGCACAGCCAATCAGCTCGATGCGTGTTTCGATGAGGCGCACCATGATTTGTGACACGGGCATGGGGCCCTTCGTATTGCAATGTCGTTATTGCACCCCCCAAGAAAGGTCACATCCACTGAGCGGCTCTATGGACTTCTGACAGTTTCGTCGTTGCTTTGGGTTTAAGGCATAGGCAACGTGAGGATATCACTCCCCCGTGGTGCATTTCGCAAATCCGATCGTCTCCCGTTGAATTGTTGTCTCTGCAAAGATCTTGTTGGTTGTCAAGGGCCTCCATCGGGGCTGATAGTGACGAAGGTGGTTTGTGGGGTTGGGGAAGGTCAGTTTCTTCGGGGCGCCTTTCTGGGGGGGGGTTCTGACCAAGGGAAAATCTTGAGGATGGGAAGGGTGCAGCTAAAACACCGCAGTCAACTAAACTTGGACAAGGAGTCTACCCAAAACCTTGTCAAGAGGGTGGACAGATTTCTGTGTTTTGCTTGTTCTTGATGCATGCCGTTTCCACCAAAGGGTGTGTCCTTGTTTTTGGATGCACTTTTGAATTGCCATTGAAGGACGCCTAGAGGAAGCACTCATTTTGTAGGTTGCCGTATTTTGAGACAAACCCATCAAACAGATTCTTCTCGTTGCTCTTTGATCAGTTTTAGCGAGTGCAGAAATCTAAGGGCCAATCTATTCAACCCCAACAGCCACACGCCGGGGAAGGTGTGGGAAGATCTGTTTAAAGAACTCTTATACCACAACGAAGTAGCTAAGTAGCTCCACTACCAGGCCGAGATTTCACTTGGATTTCCCTGAGGAGGCTTTGTCCCCCGAAAAAAGGAAGAAACAAACAAACAAAAACAAGTTTTCTCCTTTTGGTTTCCCTTTAAACCCAGAGCAACAGTCCTTCTCGCGCCCCAAACCAAGAAGTCAACCCCTTCCCCCCGAGTCCCCGAGCCCAGCTCCGCGATTCGCGAGCGTCGGAGGAGGTGGACCTGGACCTTGCGGCGCTGACTGAGCTGCTGGCGGAGCACCTCCCCTGCGCCCTGCAGCTCCGGGCCGTGAGGCGAGCTCCGAGCTCTGGCGCGAGCTCCGGGGCTCCGGGGCGCGTGGGGGGCGGGGGGTTTTGCGGAGCCGGCGGCCGCAGCTTCGGGGCGAAAAAGGCCAAGGGAATGACATAGCTGAGGGAGGCGAGTTCAGCAGAGCGCGTGGCGCACTGCCATGACCTTGAGCCGCGAAAGAGGCTGCGCGAGAAACAGGCGCCAGCTCGGCTGGCTTTTTTGCAGTTTGCATGGAGCCACTGGACTCCTGCAGGCTGAGCAGAGAGTTGCAGAAGCCAATTTTCTGCGCGCAGTGCGGCCCCGCGAAAAACCGGCTTCCTTGAGACCTTGCGGCAGGCCAGCGCCACCGGCCACCCTCCTGAGCTGCGGGCGCTGGGCGGCAAAGAAAAGGGGGCGGTTTACTTGTGCAAACGCGGCCTCGGCAACAGTCCGTCGGATAATTCCACAGTTGGCTCCTGCCTGCTGTCACCGTCCAGGACAAGGCCGCTTCCCCGCCACTTGAAAGCCGAGATCGTGGCAGACTTGGAGCACCAGCGCAAGAAGGTGACGGACGGGCAGAGCAAAGCCAGCGGCGGCCTTCTGCCCGAGGGAGTCTTGCCGGGCAAGGGCTACAGACTTCAACTTCGATGTTGTCTCCACCACTGACGCCGCCATGAAGCCAGCCACGGTCAATTCGCAGGTCTGGCACTCCGGGCCCTGAGCGCCGAGCTCGCAGCAAAGCTGGAAAAGCTTTGCGGCTTGTTGGCAGCCTGGGGGCTGAAAGACCACACGCAGGCCCCGCCGAAAAGCGGACGCCGGCTTGGGCCCTGCCAGCTAGCCCGCGCAGACACGAAGATGGCCGCTGCCGAGCAGGATCATTTCTTTTTTGGGGCCCCGAAAAAGCATGGGCGCCAGAAAGCCGTAGAGCGGGGGTCGCGGGGCGAGGTTTCAGTTGTGGGGGATGATTCTGGGCTGCAGTAGCCATGTTGGAAGGGTTTTCCCCAGGCTCAGAAGTGTTCAACTCCTGAGTTGCAGCTCTTCTTCTCTTGAGCTCACGCTTTCGCGCTCGTGTTAAACGGAATACTCATGGAAACGTCCAACCAATTGAGGCTCACACCCCATTTTGGAAGACATCAAAAAGGATGCAGCATCCTGTGCGCTTTTCCTGGCTGATTGAAAGAAATATGGCTGGAAACTGGGGACTGCGTCTTGGGTGAATTCTACTCTGCGCATAGGGCTCCCCCGCGGTTTGCTCATGTCGCTACGCACAGAACGTGCGTTACACCCTCTCGGAAGGTGTGTTTTTTCCGAGAAACAGAAGCCGTTCATGTGGTGGCTGGATGATATTTAGACGAAGGAAGCGATAGCGTGGGGCGCCAAAGGTCAGAAGCTTAAGCCTTGGCATAACACGGAACCCAAAACCAGCGGTGCGATTCCCAAGAGGAGATAGCCTTGGGTTGCCCAAATCGGTTGGAGCCAGGTTTCAGGCAGGGTTCAAAGGGATATCACGTCTGGACAAATTTGTCTCGGGGGCTTAAGCAAAAGGGTTGATCTGTGGAGTAAGAGTTGGGGTTGGGGTCGAGGGACGCCCGCCGCGCGACGCCGCGCGACGCCTGACGCGCTGCGCGTCTTCGCGTCTTCGCGTCGCGAGGTGCCGGGCCGTTGCGCTGAAAGTGCCCTGGAAGCGGCTGCGGCACAAGCCGGTGGTGGTGGAGCGGGTCGTCAGCGAGTCGGCTCGAACTTCAACCAACTGGGGGGCACTGGGTGTGTTTTTTGAGGAAAAGGGCCATTTTGCGGGGTTTGATTGGTGCCCTTTTTTGAATGGATTGCACCGGTTCAGACAGGTTTGCCATCTATTGCACAACAGGTCATCTATGTGTTCCACCAACTTAGGCGGTAGCTATCAGGTACGCTCCAGCGAAGCTGGATGACAGCAGAACAACGCGCGCGCAGCAACTGGCACAGAGCAACTTGCCCAAGGCAACTTGCACAGAGCAACTTGCCCAAGGCAACTTGCACAGAGCAGCTTGCGTAGAGCGACTTGCGCCTTGCACAGAGCGTTTGAGGAAATGAGGACGCTCCATTTGCCGAATCAGTTGTGTTACAAGACGATGTGCTTAACCATGAGAAACAGTCTTCTCGGCCCTGGGTCAAGCCATGTTGTTCGCATACTGGGCAGTGCATCCAGCAGTTACTGTAGTTGTTGTGCTTTAGCAAGTCCAAGTAAACCAGCCACAAAAGGCAGTGTCATTTACAAGGCGTCCCCACTTTGTATTTGCTTGGGGCAGCGCTTTTTGAGCTGCAGGAATCCCTGACGAATCTGCCAGAGAGCCCGAAGTGTCCTTACAGATTCCAAAATCGATACGGCTAAGATTCAGCCAGCCCCTTGTTGGAGTTTTTCAGGAAATTGTGGAAGCTGAGAAGATGGGCACAGCCGCAGCAAAGACAGGGCATATTTCCAGCCGGTGTCGGTTGCAGGGGTGGTCCTTTGCCCAGGTAGGGTTGGTCCCTTTGCAACCATGATGCGTGGTTATAAAGTTTATAACCTGTTCATAGGTGTCCTTTTTGGTTGTTTTGGTAGAAAAATAGATGGCCCTGGTTTACCTGGTGGCTTAATCATCTACCAGGGCCATCTATTTGCCCTAAAAGGACACCTATGAACCTGCTTGCTAAGCAGCTTGCTGAGCCAATGGCCAGAAGCAACCTCGCCAGGAGCTTTCGGACGTGTTGGTGCAGGCACAGGTGCTTCCGGAGGAGTTGCGCGCACCGCAGGACCGACCTCTAGCCTCTCAATGGGCGAAGGAACCGTTGAACTGATAAGGAAAAACACCTGGATGGCTCGTCCTTTTGGGGGGTATCCTCTTTTTCGTTGTTTTAAAGGGGCCCCAAAAGGAGAGCTTGTTGCGGTCCCCTAAACACGTTTTTTCCCCCAGCCTCCCTGTGATTAAACAAGGCAACCATTGAGTGATCTTCGGCTTCGCATCGCGCATCGCGCATCGCTTGCCTTGGAAACTATCTAAAAAGGGAACCTGAACAGAATTGCGTGTGAATCCTGGATACGCCTGGGAAGCTTTACCATGTTACAATGTTCCCCTTGAAGCTATTCAAAGGAGGGGTTCCTATTTGGCAAGCGCTGAGTTGACAGTCTTGTGAAGGAGAGCTGTACATCATCCGAAAAGAGCCGCTAGTGGTAGCTTCATTTCTCCGTGCTTCACGGAACATATGTCGTGATTGCTATTGGGTTGGATCAACATGTTTTCTCATGTTTGTTTGGAAATCAAGGGGTTTCCGAATTGAACCCACAAACAGTGAAACATGTTTTTGCAGAGGGGTCGTTACAACAACCAAGATGTATGTTTATGTTTGAGAGGTGGTACATGATTTCTACCCCGTGTGGCTGGTCGGCTTTTTGGAAGCTCGGCCTTTCCTCTAAGAACCGATGTGCCCCTAGGCAAGACGAAGTGCCCTTGCGGCTGGCAAGCTTGTCGAATTTTCAAACGCACAAAGAAAACCATCCCTTGCTTATCTTTGGTTGGTAAACCAACAAGTGTTTGTGGTTCAAGAGGAAGCATCCCTTCCTCTTGTTTACCTTTGGTAGAAACCGGCAAAGCCATGTACTTTTTCGCGGGCTCCTGCGAAACGTGACAAGCCCATATGTTTTGCACATGCAGGGGATGTGGGATCTATTTGACATGCTGAGGTTCACTAAGTGCGGCCAGAGTCAACCGTGCTCTCTTTTCTTCCGTTTTTTTTCCTTTGGGGGGGGGGGTGTTGAAAGCTGTGAGACAATCAGTGACAGTCTCTGGCTCCGGGGGTCCAGGTCAGCACCCACGTCAGGACTTGCGCAGAGGGCAGTCAAACCAGCCGCAGGAGGAAGTCAACATTGAGGAGGCCAGGAGAATTGAATCCTCGGAAAGTTTACCTCCGTCTTTCTTGAGGGTACCCGAAAGGGCTTTAGCTTGAAAGGGCAGCCAAAAGGAAAGAACAGATTTTGGGATCCGGAGCCCTAGTTTGAGACAACGGTGTGCAGCAGGGAATAAAAAAAAATAACCCCTATAATCATGCCCTATGGTTTCCCCACGCAAATCCCTAGGTTCATCCCAAACCCTGGGTCATTCCCCACTGAGCACCAGCAAGACAATGCCACCGAGCAAGTGCATCGATCGGAGCCTGGTCTTACTCTACTCACTTCCTGAGTTCATGAACTTTAAACTTTTTGGGACGACCATTTTAGAGGTAAATCTAAAGTTTGGATTTTTTTTGGGCCATCCACTCAGCAAGTGAGTCTAATCCGAGCTCCAAAGCTTTCCCCAGACACCACACCAACTCCCCCCCCCACCCCAAGCATTAAGGCCCTCGGCGGGGAACAGCATGAGACGCTAGGAACACCTGTATTGCGATACCCTTTGCCCCCGGCTTGAGGGCTCCGACATGAGAAAAGATGCGGATTTTTGACGGGAATCCACCAGCGAATTGATGAGCTTGAGAATTCAGTGACCCCAACCAGCTCTGAAAATGAGGGTCACATGTTTGGTTTCCTTGCGGCTTTTCACGCCAGGGGGTTCCCCCACTGCAGACTGCCGCACCCAACTGTTGCGATTTCCTTCGATAGGCGGAGGATGAGAAGAAGGTGGAAGCGCAGCTGAAGGTCGGTCTTAAGGAGGCCTGCAGCGGCTTCCATTTGCTCGAGAAGATGTTGTCTTTCATTTTCCCCAGTTGGTTTTAAAGGGACTCTATCACTACTGGAAGTATGTGATTTTTTTTCAGGAGACTTAAGCAAATGGAAGGGGGTCCATGGTCCATGGCGCAGAACAGGTTTCGGAATCCTCAAAAGCGATTGTTTGGAGCCCTTGATCTCATATCATTTTGGGGTGGACCATGCCCTAGTGACCTTACTACTTGGGTCCGGAAAGCATGTCCGACCTGTCTACCTTGGCCCAAATGTGTGGCGAACCCCGCAGCTGAGTTCGGAATCTGGAAATTCTGGGGAGGACATGACATGCCAGGCATATCTTGCGCCTGAAACCTTCGAACCTTGGGGCCGTGCGGTTGCAAGCAATCCCTCTGAATGTAGGCCACGTAAAGCCGGCTCCCTCTTGAAGAAGTGGCTTGGCTAAACCAATTCTGGGTGTTGCCCCCGCCCCCCCGCCCAAATATTTGAGCTCCTCCAGGACTATGTTGAACTTCGAGGTTAAGTGTTTTGGGGGTCCAAATCCTACAAACAGACACCCGCAAAATATGAAGCAGACTCTTTTTCAGGCGATTTCGATGTAAACCTCCCCTGGTGGTTGGGCCAAGTGGTTTTAACCAGGTTCAAGCATCCGCCATGGGTTCTGACGTTCTCAGGTGGTGGGGGATGGGCTGCAAGTGCTGCTGAACGGCCTCCAAGTGGAACTCTTCTGCGAGGCGTTCCATTGGATGCGTCAGTCGTTCAGCCAGTCAGCCAGTCGGTCGGTGGGTTCTTCAAATTCCTTTGTGGAGGTCCCTTTAAACCCAACGTTGAGCTAGGACCCAGTTTTAGGGGGCTGGAGCTGCACATTTGCAACTAGCTGGCGCAGGGGTCCACTTTTTTTAGGTTCCGGAGTTGAACTGTAGGATTCGCAGGTAGACAACAATCCGGCAGGTGGGTTTGGCAATCCGGCTCAGGAATGGCAAAGTGGTCGAGCCTGGGCATCGCTTGAAGGCATCCTTGAGGAACAGTTGCCCTAGCGGGCCTAGGTTTGAACCCAGACATTCCCTCAATTTCCTCCCCCTGTTTTTGGACGTCATATCCAGTTGAATCCACGTAAATTGATATGAATTGGTGAAATCTGGTGACTGTCCAACCAGACCTAGTTGGTTTTCTTTTGGCTGAAAACCAAGAGGGGGGTCCAACCGAAAAAGACACACCCGCCGCGGCCTGGGGGCCTGATTGAATAGGCCAGTGTGTCTAGCCATCGTTCATTGAAAGTACTAGCCGTTTTCCATTGGTTTTAAGTTTCAGCAATAAATGGATGCCCTTGCGCCTAGAGCCCTGAGCACGTTTGTCGCTTCTTTGGGACAGCCCGGACCTACGGAGCCTCTGTTTCCCACCTCAAACAGGGCTTTGGTCCAGAAGCCTTGCAGTGGAGATCCCAGGACCTAATGGAGGGTCGCTAGGTTTCCCAGTGGTGCCCTTTTACCAACTCTTTTGGGGGAGGGTTCCCCTACTAAAATAAACTACAGAAAAAAAAGGGTACCCGTTTTTCTATCCTCTCTACTGGAGGACGTAGGGATTGCCCTGGGTGGGACCCCCCAAATGGGTTGCTTTCCTTTTGTCCTTTGAAGCCGTACAGGAAGGCGAGATCTCGCCTTTGCGGCTCTCCGTTGAGGTCGGGGTCGGCGTTTTTTTTGTTGAAGAGGGGGGTCGGGGGGGGGGGGGGGCGGGCGGGCGGGCGGGCGGGCGGTGGCTGGTTGCCCGATCAACATGAATTTCGGGGGTTGATCAAGGGGTCGTTTCAACTCTCATTTTTTTTGAAAAGCCGGCTGTTCCTTGGTTGGAAAGGAGGATCCTTGAAAGAACGGCTTGGGTTAGACCAAACTGTAGGATTCCAGCTTGGGTCTTGTTTAGAGAAAACGTCCCAGGGGGAGACGTGAGGGGAGGGGGCGTTGGGATCCTGTGACCAAGTGTCGCCAAATCAGAGACTAATGAGGGTGAGCCTTTTTCTTTTCTAAAGGAAATGAAGCAACCACTAAAGAGCCCTATTTCCGAGACACTGGCAATGTTGGCCCTGATGTTTATCCTGACGGACCGACCGAAAACCGTGCCCGCAAATGATACTGCACGCACTATGCCTCCCAGAAGGAGTCAGGAGTAGGGGCTTGTACGAGCCATGGTTGGGGAACCTTGTGCTGTTTGCAAAACCAGGGTACGACCTGCTCAAAGTAGCACGGTTGTGGAGAGAAGGGCTTTAGAACCGCTCCTTGAAAGTGAGAACTTCGTCTTGCGGATGGGCATCCCACTTTGGTCTCCGCCGGATCGATAGGCGGTCCACACCTTCCCGTGCACCGTGGCGGGCGAGAAGATCGACAAGCCCCAGGAATCTGACCGAGGGGGGAGGTTTTCCTGAATCAACCCTCAAAAGGGGGGTTGTCAAAAAACAAGCAAACTCAAATGGGAACCCTGGTGACTGGACTACTTTGAAGGCTGGCCAAAAGGTGTCCCAGCTTTGTGGAAGAGGCGGTTTCCTTGTTTGGGAACAATCAAAGGCACAAGCGCTTCCGGGAAAATCTGGTTCTAGTGGTCAAAACTCATAGATACACATGAGGCAAAGCACATGTTGCCTACAGCAACCAGCCCAGAAAGGCACAGGCCGCAGTTGGTGACCCGGTCCTGAACACTTGCGTGCTGCTCATGGAATGTTGACTGTGGCGGACGAAGGCATAGCCGTAAAGGTGAGCTTATGGTCAACTTCGGAGGAAGACGACAGAATGCTGGGGCAGTGAATGGCTGCAGCTGAGAAGGGCGGCAGGGCGGCCTGGTCACAGGGAAGAGTCCTTTTCAAAAGCTGGACTCTATTGTTCAACACGCGACTCGTTGTTGTGATTCACCCAAGACCTTGCTGGTAGTTCAACTCCTCTTTGCAAGATTTGCGCATGTGCCGCGATAGACCCATGTCTGCCGTATCTGACTGGTGTTTTTCGGGGTTTGATTTTGTGGGGTGGGAATCTCACAGAAGCCGACCCCACCAGAGGACTCCGGCAGAAAGCGGCTTTTCGGAAGGTGAGTCGTGCACCGCGCAGATGTCTCGCTCCAGAAAACATGCGCTTTGAACTTTTGGGGAAGATCATTCTAGTGGCCAACAACAAGTTTGGACTTGTTGGGCCAATCCACTCAGGGGTTAGTATTTCTCTTTGGCTCTTTAAGGGGGGCTGCACAAGTTCGCAGCCAGCGGTGCCCCCCATTTTATAGGACACCTATCGCTTTGCGCAAAAGGTCTGGCCGGCTGACATCCCGAAGCCAATTCTCTCATCCAAAACCCTCCCCGGACATCCTTCTCGCCAACCAATCAACAAAACGAAGTGCAACAATTAGATTAGATTGCACAAAAAGTACTAACACTTTCACTCGTCCTTGCTGGTGTCAATCAGACTAACCAGAAAAGCGGGCCCTGCAACCGTCGACCGTTCAACTCAAGGTTTTACGCGGTCATGAAGGGCACAAAGAATCCCACCCCCACCTCTGTTGCCCCCGTCTTAAAGGGGGTCTCTTTGCAATCGTTTGCTCAAAAACGGGATCAAAGGGCACACCCTGTTCTTCAGCCATGGCCCTCTCCAGCGCTGTTTTTGTGGTTTTTGGTTTTGGTTTTTGGTTGTTCTCCAAAAAAGGGGGAGCTTGTCGACCTTGCGAGCAGGAGGGCTGGAGGGTTGCGAGCATTCATTCCCGCACCATCAAAAGAGGTGACCGCTCTTGTGATTCCTGTCATAATAGCCATCAGACCTATGGACACATTCTTCTCACACCAGGTGTTGGGCTGTGACTCTTAGCATTGTTATGTCCACGGGGTCTTTTGGCCGGGGGGCGTTTCTGGTTTCCTTTGGGCAAGGATGTCTACGAGTTCTGCGACCCTTGTGCTCGGCTGCTCAGACTGGCCCAGACCTCAACGAGAGGAAGAGATCCAGAGCCATAGGTGTCCTTTTTGGTGGATTTGGTTTAAACATAGAGAGAGCCATAGGTGTTCCCCTTGGTGTCCATTTAAAACCCACACCAACAAGGGCATAGGTGTCCTCTTTGGTTGTTTTGGTTGAAAGATAGGTTGGGCGATTCCTGGTTTTCCTGGTGGTTCAATCAACTGCCACGGAAACCCATCTATTTTCGCAAAAAGGACACCTATGTCAAGAGCTGATGTCGACCGTGGCTACAGAGTTGAACCACTGGCCTGGCCAGGGGAACGACCCCGAAGAGTGAGACGTGCAGGGAACGAGTTGCCAACAGGTACGTTGCCAGGCAAACTATTGCGAGCTCACTTATGATCCAGCTCCATTTTTATTTTATTGTATTTTTTTTTTTGGGGGGGGGGGGAATAGAACTGCCCAGATCTTCCCCCCGCCCGGTACATATTCGAGGCTAGCCTTATCTTGCCTCTCACAAAATCGACCCAACGGTCTTGCGGGAAGCTTCCCGCAAGGGATGGTTCAGTTCGGGGTCATTCCCTTGGCAACTTGGGGTGCTTCTTCGGGAAACGGACACCAAAGGACATAGGAAAGAACGCCGCAGGAAGCCTAACGGAACCAAAGGAACCGAATGGAACCAAGGAAATAGAAGACCATGAACGGCAGCCAAAGGAACGAACGGAGCCCTGGTTTCGGCACGAGGTGCAGGTCGAAGGGCTGCGCCTGGAGACCGTCGACAGAGGCGGACGTGCCGGTGAGGTTCTCTCGGTATTCTTTCCGCCATGGGAGAAGCAACTTTATATTATTTATATATATATATGTGATATTTGTTTTCCTCCCCTGCACACTGTGACAGCCCCGCAAGTGTGGCTGTAGGACTTGTCCCCCAGCGCAAGGTATAGACTTCAGGCCTCACTTGCCCCAGTCTCGAGATAGCAGCGAACTCAAGAAACATGAAGCCCCCCCCCACGCCCCCATTTTGAGCGCGCAGAAAAACACAGTACTTTGTAAATGAATGTTGGCCAGTCTTTTTTGATGGGGGTTCGCTTCAACATCCACTACTAAAGGGATTGTGCAGAAACAGGCGACGGCTGAACCCCCCAAGTATTGTATCGTGATGTCCGGGTGAAATGAATCTGCAGAGAGGCGGACGCTGTGGAGAGGAAATTGTGTGTTGCTGTTGAAAGGTCGATTAGTCGATCTTTGGATGCAAATCAGCACTCGGGGTTTCCAGCTACAGTGCGCCTCTCAGTGCGTGCTTTTCAGCCGGATGTCAGTTTGTCGCGCCAGGGGCCCTCGTGGATCTTGGAGCAATCCGCGTGCAGATCGAGCAGAGGCGCCCTGCTCACATAAAAAAAAGTCACATACGCCGATGTTCTTTTTTAAGCTCGCAAAGCTAGAGGCCCGCTTCGGCTCTGAACTTGATTGCTCCTTGCGAGCCAATGTCCTGGCACTAGTTGCCTAGTGATGCTTTGGAACAACTGATCTTGGCGGTTCCCAGCCATCCCGTTAGGTTGTTAGCTTCTCAGTTGGTTTGGCTTCCATTCAAGCCACTACAAGTTAGACACGTTTAGCAGATCTGACCACGGAGAGCCCAGTTGGGGTGTCTTTGGGCAGAAGGCGTTTCTTGTGGAGGCGCTGGTGCGGATTCATCCCGCAGCACCGCGCGCGCCGGGTCTGCCCCTTCAGCAGCGCCTTGGGATGGGCGGAAGGGGGATCAGGCAACTCCCAGGCTTGGGGGCTTGATGAGCCTTCTTCGGGCCTTATCCCCCATCTACAAGTCTATTCCTTTGCCTCCTGTGTGTGTTTTGGTTACATTTCGGTTGGGTTCTTTGGTGCGTCTTTGTCCTTCGCCTCTGGACTTCGTATTGGGGTTTTGAGCTAATTGGGGCGGTGAAACAGAACATATTGGGGGGGGGGCGGAAAGGGAGTGTTCGCGCTCCAACTGCGGGGGTTCCAAAAACCGGGGGTACCTCTTATGATGCTTGACATGCGTTTCCTGCAGAGCTTGCCGCCGAACAGGGGTGACTCGCTGTTTGGCAAACAAAAAAGGCTGCCCCTTTTTTGTGGTGGCGTTTGCCAAATGGTTTCCTTTGAAACCCAGCCGGAAATGAGGGTTCTATATATTTCACCCAGACATGTGCGAAAAGGCACGAGACAAACACACACACACACACAGATGCACTCACACAATTTCATGGTTAGTGCAATGATGGTCAGCAAAAGCAGTTCTCATCAGCACGGATGCCCTAGTACCGATTGGACAAATGAATCAAGCAAACTCTATGTAAACATGCGAACCGATTTCCTCTTATCGGTATTGTAACCCACATATTTCCATGAAGTGATCCGAGCCTCGAATTGCGACGCTGGCATGCACCCTCCCATCGATCAACCAGGGGTTTATGAATCCTGGAATCCTGGGTTCTCATTGCGGGAATACCGGACACCCTGTCCGTGGTTTCACGTTCTCCATAGGTCAGATAGGGATCAACAGGGGTTTGGGAATGAACCGGTCGTTCGCTCATTCCCGGCCCTTCGAACCGATTTTTACGGGACTCGTCAAATCAACTTCCGAATCCGAAGTAAAGCTTTGCGCAAAACCATTGCCAGACTTAGCTCACCTTGTTAGCCTTTTGCCTTTTTGGGTTCCTTCCTTGTTCCTTTCAACCAGCAAGGTGAAGGTAATGGCGGGTAGTGCCAACGCGAGCATTCCAGGCCGTCCGTTGCCGTGTTCCGCCATGTTCGCCCTTTGTCTTGCAGGGAAGACGCCAGGTTTCTGGACTCATCGACGTGAGGTCCCACTGCCTTGACTTGTGATGATTCAGGTGCTCTGTGGAGCAAGCGTGCCCATGATATCCAGCCATTCACAAGTGCGTGTATGGGCCCAACAGGACCTGCACCAAGGGCTATGCTCTTTCACCCTTTCTGTGGAGGCTCGGCGTTTGGTTCGTTCCTGTGGCCATTGGTCCTTTTCCAGGGAGAAGTTCTTCGCTCTGCATTATCAGCACCTGCCCCATTGCAGCACGGGAGATGGTTGGCAAGGCTGAAGCTCGGAGGTGTCCTGATCGTCTTCGTTCACCTTGTTGAAGCTGCCATGCGCATCGGGCTTCACTTTGGCGGTCTCTTTGTCCGAGCAAGGCCGTCTTGCCCAGTCGCGCATCGGCCACTGCAATTTGCTTGTATTCCTCGGGCACTTTTCTTGAGCCTTGCGTCATGCCGCTGCTTTTCGGGTGAACCCACTTGGGTCCTGACAACTGTCGGGGCACATGTCGTTATCAGGGGCTACGACCTCAAGAACTTTTTGCGCAGCGTCTAAATCGGGTCAGTATAATTCGGTGATTCTTTTTGCCCAATGGTTTCCTTTGGCTTTCCTCAACAGTGATGGGTAGCTCCGAAAAAGGTGCCGAGCTACGAGCTCACTATGAGGAAGGCCCTTTACTCAGGGATCCGGTTTTGCAGGTATTGGACGTCTCGTAAAGTTTGCTGACTTATGATCCTTCACCAGAAGGCAACCATCCCTGAACACCTTCTCGCCCTGGAAGCAACCAAGCCCTCTGAGGGACGTGCCAGTTTGCAGTGAGCACAGGTGAAACAACGGTTTCCATCCGCCTGGACAACGTGACGTTGGATCTTCCCCTGCCTGCAGTGAAGGCGGTCTGCTCTGCGCCTTGGCCTTTAGATCGGCGAGTCACGCGTCCAACCCAAGACGTGTGTGGTGTTTTGGGTGTACCTCCTGGTTTTGGAAGGGAAACCAGGAAGGAAAACAACGATTTTGGTGGGTCACTCAAAATGGGGTGGGACATGTTCTTTTTCCTATGGGTTGCTCCCAGAGATTAACCGCGCCATGTGGGTTCCCCTTTGCCGAGGGTCAAATGCATGGCCGCAGGAAAAGGCCCCCAAATCGGCATATTAGGCCTTGGAACCCTGAGCAAGCAAAATCGAGCCATTTCTGTTGTTGATGTTTTGGTTCCCTTGTGGAACCCTTGAGACACAGCGATACAGGGCGGGCTCTTGATTTGATAGCACGACCGCGACTCAAAACGAACATGATCTGGAAAAGGCTTTCTCGCCAAACAGAATGGCGTTTGTCTTCTAAACAAGAGATTTGCGCACTCATGTGTGCATGTTACCACACTAATGATAGCAAACCCTTGGGGTAAAATCCGGGCCCCATGATGAAGGTAGATGTTTGGTGAAGAGGTTATCGGGTCGGAGTGCCCTTCCCGCTTGGGAACATCGGGGGTCTGCAACAGGGTTACTTGGCACCTCGCACCAAACAAAACCTGATGGCCAATCCAAAGCACAACAATCAAGCAGAGGAATTTCTGGAAGTATCCAAAACACACACACAGACACAGTATGGTAGACGTCACCCTTGTTCAAGCAGAGGTGCCATACCGGTGCAAAGCCACACTCGCAAGGTTGCAGCAGCTTTTGGGTTGGAACTAAAACGTCACGGTGTCAGGCACCTGCAGCCAGTGGGGATTTTCTCGCAAGTTGACTTGTACCCTTCGATTCTTTGTGGGCGCTAAACGCAAAAAGCCAGCCAGGACGACTAGATAAATGGAATTGGGGGACCCCCCGTGGTAGGGGGACAAAAAGGCTTTTTTCAGAGCCCCAGATGCTGAGGGTGGCGCTTTGATTTTGTGAAGGACCCCAATGGTCAACTTGTGTTTTTCCAGAGAAACCTGCTCAAAGGCTGACCTAAACATCGTAAAACCTCGGTGAGTTGCGATAAATTTGAACTTTCCAAGTTGTTGCCCGCTTGATTCACCCTTTTTAGCAATTGAGTTGTTGACCTCCGGGGTTTCCTTTTGGATTCCCTGTAAAACTATCAGGGGCACACACACACACACAGACACAGAGTATGTTGCTGACGCCCACGGGACGGACGGCACGAACCAAAAATCGAACAGGCTTTGCTGAGCTTGCTGAAAGGAGGCATGCCTAGAAAGGAGGAGCTTCAGGCGCGAGCGAGTCGCGGTTTCGCTTCTTGGAGAGGTTCTAGGTCCCCAGTAGTGCCCTTTTATCCTTTTGTGGGGGGAGGGTTCCCCTACTAAAATAGACAGAAAAAAGTTGGCACCCTTATTCTAACCTCTCTACTGGAGGACCGCGGGTTGTTTTTTCTCGCCACTCTTGCGGCCAGGGAAGAAAAGGGACATATTTGCTACGACGACCAGCTTGTTCCAAGGGAAGCCATGTTTGAACAGTGGTGGGTTTTCAGCAGGTTTGAACAAGGGGTTCCAACCCTCTACTAGGAAATTCAAAAATGCAACGAGAATAGTTACCTTTGCCAGGGCTGCCCCCTGTATGGTACACAGACCCACGTGAAATCTGATTCCCAGGCCCTTGACCCTTTTTGTTCGAGAGTCAAGAGACCCGCGACACCCCCACCCCCGTTTGCTTTTTTTTTTGCCAGAGTCATTCCCACCCCGTCAGTTAATTGCACGCGAGCTTCGGTCAACATTTTCCTGTAGCCCATGGTTCATTTAGGTGGGACGGGGATGAGCTTCGCATTTCCATTAAACAACAAAACAACAACTGGGGACTCATGGGAGTCCATGTTCGGCCTTGTGATTGCTTTCCCATGCGGCACATGTTGGTGTTCATACCATCTGGGAAGAAGTTACATTTGCTTTTGGTGTGGGCTGACCTTGTCCAAAGGAAAAGCCAGTATAAGGGTAATCTGCTTGAGGTTGGACACACATGGGTGCCAAACCCCGTTTTGGTTGATGAAGTGAAGCCAAAGCGAAACCACCGATTTTGAGAGTTCAGTCATAAGGCAAAAACAGACATTTGTATCTCTATTTAGATCTTCAAGCTGCTTGGCAAGTTGGTTGGAACCACTGTTATTTTGGGTTAGTCTCCTTACAACCATGGTCATAACCTACCAAATGGGTGTGCCCTTTTTGAGGGTACCTTTTTTGGCCGGCTGTCTTAAAATCGAATCCATTTTGGAATTGTTTTTTTAAGCACACCCAAGTAGCTTGAGAACCCAGCAAGCAACTAAGTAGGGATCATAACCATGGTTTTCAAGGAGGGGTTCATGTCACGAGCGGGCTCTCCTCAGGGCCTCTCTTGAGATGACCATCTGGTGGCTTCCTTAGGGCATCCCAAGTTTCGGGTGACTGGGTCATTCCCACTGGCATCAATGTTCCATTGCAGGGGGTGGTCATTCTTGAGGGGCTGTGAGCAAAAAACAAAACATGCCTTTCATGAATGAATAGTTACTCAGAGCCCTCAAGAGGGGCTGGGAAGGGTGGAGTGAATATGGGAGTGTCTCAAATCGTATGTTCCGACGAAGCTCGCGCACCGACTTCGGGACGCCTCGACCGCAGGCCCCGGCTTCGGCGCCGCCGGCGCCGCCGTCGGGCGCCGATCTGTGCACCTGGACGGCGGCGCAGCCGGGCCGTGGCGCCGCCACAGGCGGGGGGAAGCGGAGGGAAAGGGAACGGCCGGACTCCCGGGGTTTTGGTTTCGGTTTGGGGTCCCTGAACTGGGAATGCCCGGGTTTGGGGAGGGGAGGGGGGAGGTGTTGGGTTTTGGGGTAGCCTTAGGATAGATTTTACATTTTACCAGTGGCTCAAAGTGAAGCAAGCAATGAAATAAGCATTCTATAACTGGGCCTAACTCCAATCGTGTTAACGGAAACCCGAGGCGTTGGTGTATATATATATATAGGGGTCGGGGGGGCTCCTCCTCCCCTCCTCCCCCTCGTTTTGGTTGAGGGTAGACATAGCCTGCTTGAAGCGGATTACCAGTAGACAAGATCTCAGACCTTCAGTGGGTTTTGTCGTTTGTTTTTGGGGGGGGTACCCCTGTTGGTTGGTTGTACAAGGGAAACCAACACACCACCTTTCTTGTGGGGGGAATGATTTCCCCTAAAACAAGAGAGAACCATTTGTGTTTTCAGAAGGGGCGTCCCTTCATCAAAATTGCACAGTGCTGAGAGGCCGGACAACTCTTTGGCAGCATGCCAACTGGATCTAAGCTGTTTGTGCGCAAGCTGGCCACCTGAGACAATCCTTCCCGGAGAAGGAACCGCAGGAGCCAAGAACGCCAGTCTCCTATTGGCTAGTTTGGAGCCCCGCAGGGCATAAGAATAGCAATGGGCAGGGGAACAACGAGCCGCGCATGCATAAATCACAAGCACTGGGCTGCAGCTTCACAGTACTTTACGCATAGCGTAGCTGGCAAAAGGCCCTCACTTGCACAGCGCAGCGCCCGCCAACTCCAGCCACGGCCAGAACGTCGCATTCGCATGCACGGCACGTGCTTTGCAGCGCTGCAAACCACCATTTGCAGCTAGAAAGATCGGTGCTTCTGTTTTCCCACGGACGGTGGTGGAGGTACTCTGTAGTAAGGCAGTATTCTACTGTTCAAAGGGTTGGGTTACAGGAAACTCTACAGCAAAACCGCTTATATAGGGTGTCTTGGGGCCATTTCCTGTAGACTTTCCTGTAACCAAACCCTTTGACTGTTGGTTTGTCAGGGCCGGGCCTTGTCGAGCGGGGACCAATCTTCAGGATCTCTGAGTAGTCCAAGCCAGCGCGAGCTGGATGTCCTTGCGACTGCCATCACGCGCCGGTGGGCACTGGCGCCCTTTCATACGTTGCTGTGGGTCAAAACCAATGGTACCATTTTGGGGTAGGTGCACCACCCATTTTAGGCTTCCTATTTTAGTGGTTGGATTGGGATGTTCACTGGGGGCTAGCCGCTTTGGCTTTTGAGCCATAGCCACGCGACTTCCAAGGGACGCAGCTATGACGTGCTGCAGAGGCGTGCTTTATCCGTGGTCGGCAGAAGCTCCACGCTCCATTCAGTTGAAGCCTTGAAGTTAAGGATGAGGCTTCGACCGTGGGCTTGCCCACTTGGTTATCTCACTGCTTCGCCGTGGAAGAAGCAACACACACCATGAGTGTTTGTTTTCTTCGAACAACATCCTCCTAGACGGCTTCGCCTGCTTCATTTCGTCGCAGCTCTTGGAAGCTCCAAGCCGAGCTTCCAAGCACGACAGCCCGGGCTTTTCAAACACCCATACAACAAGTGAACGGTTGCCAGGTTTGTGTGGGTTGCCAAGTGTGGGGTCCTGCGGATTTGGGATTCCATGATCATTTGCCAAGTCAGGGAGGTTTGGTGCCTGGTAGCTTCTTGAATTTTTCTGCCATAGGCAGCTAATAAAGGGGCCCCAAGAGTGTTCTTTGATTCTCTCTATCGGGGCAAACAAATCCCAGCCCGGTAGTTACAAGTTGCTTTCCGCAGAAGGAAAGCAACAGGGATGGATGCTTTTGTTTGTTTTCCAGACCCCCTATTGGAATATGTTGGGTTATATGAACAGAAATCGGAATTGCTAGGAAACCCGCCAAAAGCCAATCGTGTTTCGCTTGCCACAAGGTCAAAGACTCAAGCCCGTAGGCATCCTCTTCAGGTTAGTGTCGTTAGACAAAGATGGTTTTCACTGGTTTAGATGGGTTTTACTCCAGAGAAACCAGGGAAACCCAGCGATTCTTTTCAAAACGGTCGGGAAACCCGGCATTTTTTCCATAAAACGGTCTAACTTCTGGACAAAACCGCGCCGCCTTTCCGGGTCCTGTTTGGGTCCTGTTTGGGTAGGCTTGGAGTGGCGGGAGCAAGCGGTGGGCCGCAAGACGGCCACGCTGCTGAGCCTCAACCTCACCTTGGCCCAGTGCCGGGCCGGAAGCTCAGCCCCCGTGATGTCTTTAACCATAGCTTCACTACGTACTTGGCGAGTTGTTTGCGTGTTTTGTGTTTGGGTGGGTCTTTTTTGCTTTTGGTTTTGTTTTTTCACTGTTCTTGGCAGGTTTTGTTTTGTTGTCCTTTCTTTGTGTGTGTTTAGGTTGTTGTGTCCCACTCAGGAAAGAAAGTCTCCAACCAAGCAAAACACATGGCCCCATTCTGTTCGGGATCCTTCTCTTCAGCAAAAAGTGAACAGCAACTAGAAGGAACGGTTTCCTTCAGAAGCATCCGGGTGGGGTGTCCCCGTGTCCACGAGGAGGTGGCCCAAGGGGGCTGAGCCGAGGTGTCGCTGTTCTTGGGAACCAGCTCAGCGGCCTTGGAGGCGCGAGAACAGGAAAGTTTCCACCCCTCCATTTTGCCTGTGAATCACCCTGTTTACTTGTTTGGTTTTCGCATATGTCATATATATATATATATATGTATATATGTATATATATATAAATAAATGTACATACATACATATATATATATAAATGTATGGTCCAATTTGATCACCCCGATTTTGGAGTCCGAGTCCCCAAAAATTGACCTTGCATTGCCAGATGCTCTCGGCCAGTGAGACCTTTGTGTGACGCCGATGGAAGAACAAGGGTACCGTGGTTCAAACTTGGAAGCGAGGGAGTTGGGCTGTCTGAATTCCATGTAGGCTGGCACGGACAGATTGTCAAACGTCCGAGCCCCTTGGATTTGGGGCAAGAGAGCTCATGGGGCGCAGGTTCCGGTTTGGGTCAGGGACACCAACACCAACACCAAACCCCCCAGCTGGTTAAGAAGGCGTAAATGGGCTGTACAAAGGCAATCCTGAATCCTTGCCTTAGGTTACGAAAGGGGGCCCCTTTGAAGTGGTTATACCAAGGGATGATGGAAAATCGGATTGGTCAACACTCCATGCTGAAGAGCCCAGTATATCCGCCTCAACTCCAAAGGGCCAAAGGCTTGAGGGGTCTTGGTTTTTGGGTCAGGGATTCAAAGAAGAAACCGACCAGGCGACGGATTTCATGTTCACCCTGGATATGGTGTCCTCCCTGGACGCCTTCAGGCCTTGCGGATGGAGCTGGGTTTGGTCGGCTGTTTCCCCAAAGAACCTTCTAGAACCGGGGGTTCAGATCCAAATCCAAACCTGCACCTGCCCTTTTGTGTCGGTGTTGCCGCTTTTGCTTGTGCCCACAAGCTGTCCATAGGGACTGCAAACCAACCAGCCAACCAACCAATCCAAACCACAGACTAAGGGTAGCCTGACGTGCTTGCACCGGCGAACTAGGTGGTGCCTTATGAAAACTCATGGCCATGGGCCATGACCTTTTCCACCCGTTTGTGGAAGGGGTTACTTTGGTGAGCCTGGGACCTTTTGGCCGCGCCAGGTGGAGTAAGCTTGCTGGTGCGAGAGATGCAGGAAATGAGAAAGCGATAAACCATCCAACTGGTGGTTTCCTTTAAGGGGATCCCCGAGTTCATTATATTTCTCGTTTCCTATTCGAGCACCAAACTAAGTGCGTGGCGCGAGAGGCGCCGCTGTCTTGCGGAGCTGGGCCTCGAGGAGGACGAAGAGTTCCGAGGACCGGGCATCTCCGGGCATCTCCGGGCGCCGGAGAGAAGCGCCGGAACAAAAAAAAAAAAACAACCAAAAAAAAAAGAGGACAAGCAACTGCTTCTTGCATTGAACACGTAGTAAACAGTGTTTCCCGCCTGCTTCGCTGAGTCGTCAAGTCTTTCTCCCAGAAAAGTGTGTATTCGCTCAGTCAAGTCTTTCTCCAAGCAAAGTATGAGTATCTGCTGAGTCGTCAAGTCTCTCCAGGAGAAGTAATTATGGCTCAACTGTGCGGCGCTTCTGACAAACTATATTGAACACGTAGGTTCTTCGTGGTGAATGAATTCAACAATACGCGCTTGCGCATTTGACGCCGCGGCATTTGCAGGTCGAGGACTGTGTCCCCCTAAGGGGGTTGGGCCGTGTTCAAGGGCCGGGGTTTGATAGTGGGAAAACACAAGAAATGGGACCAACTCTTTTGCGGACCCAGGATTTGATTGTCTCAACAGTCGAACTGCGGCCTGCTTCCCATAGCATGCCGTATCATAGGACATGCGTCCGGTTTCCCAAAATGACGCCACGGCCAACAGCAAAGGTTTCATCTCACAGGGGGTTCAACCGTATGAGCAAAGAATTCGGTCCCGTTCATTCTGGCAGAGTGAACCTTCATCCAACAGAGCAATGGGACCTTTCCTAAATCCAGACCAGCCAAAAGCTTTGTGGTCCCTTTCTGGCAGGAAAGTGGTCAAAGACCTATAGTAGCCTTCCGTCGAGAGGTATCATTAGTGGGAACTCGTTCTGTCGATACAAGTTCCCAGCCATGCGGTTAGGTGTTTAGGTTCTTAGTGTTTAGTCAAAATGTCCATTTTAACCCACTAGAAGCCAGGGGGTCGAATTGAGGGGGGGGGTTTTCTGCATTGGGCCCGGGATGCAATCCCGCGATCCGTTCGCGTATCCCACCGGAACAGCCGAGACAAAGAGCCGACCTTCAGCGTCCTTTTGCCGACCCAGAGCTGGGGGTTTCGTCCCACCGTTCGGCCCGGAAGGCCCCGAATGTTTTTTTGCCGACCCGGCGGGTCTGAACCGGCAGGAGCGGCGCAAGCCCTTCAGCGGCTCTTCGGGATCTACTTGGGCTCTGCCCGCCTCACGTGGACGGAAGGCGGGGCGAGCGCTTTGCTCAGCGGCGAAAGCGGCGAGGTGCCAACGGCAAAACACGGTTTCTTTGCTCACGGGCTTGCCTCCAAACGAGCAGCAGGCCAAAAAGCAATATATGAAAAGGGTTGATTGAGGGGCTCTCCTAGCGAGACCTCGCGAAAGCTAGAACGCAGGTCGCGAAAGCCTGCGAAAGCTTGTGGCCAAATTGCTTGAAGAAGAGCCCGCCGCGAAAGCGTTGCGAAAGTGTATGTTAGCAGATTTCGGGCTTGTGTGGGTGGGCTGTGCCGGTCGTTGTGGACAGCACCAAATCCATTTTGAGCTCAGCCGAAATCGAAAATGCAGCCGAATTGTGAAAGCTCTGCGAAAGCTGAAAGGATTCATTCCCACATTCTGTTTGTTTCAAGCTCCTTTGTTATTCCAGATAGATGACCCGGTTGAGCAAAACCGCGAAAGCTCCTCGAAAGCCTTAAAGAGCACATGCCCGCACAAAGTGAAACGTGTGGCCGCGAAAGCATCGCGGGATTCTTTTCAAAAGTGGTTTCTTAGTAGAGGGTGTTTTTTACCCGGTTTTCGGCGCTGCTCAAATGGGGAACCCCCCAAGAAGACATGTGTGTTTTCCCTTTGGTTTTGGGTGTGTTATCATGATGGTCAGTTTCTTGGCCTCGCTTCCCCGGTTTGTGGCCTGAAAAGACTTGGGGACGACTGTTTTAGAGTTTGACTTTTTTGACCAAATAACTCAGGAAGTGAGACTGAACCGTTGCTCGTGTGTGTTCTATCTGTTTTTTTTGGGGGGGGACCGGGATTCCCCGGAGGGGATGGCCTCATTCTTACCCCCATGTTTTGTGAGGAACCCTCAGGATGGTCAGCCTCCTTTGCTCGGGATTTGAGACGGTCAGCAACTACCACAAGCAACATAAATGCCTGCAAATTGCTGATTTCACGAAATGGCAACTCCATGTTGATGACTGCATGAAAATTTGGTCCTGCTTTCTGCGAAACCAATTTGTAAAGAGACCTTCAAGACGGGGTGCCTTCACGTTTAAAGGGGATGAGAGGCAACAGAGGTGCCAAGAAAGAGGTCCACGAATAGGATGTTTTTCCCAAGCGGGAGATGTCAAAAGGCAATCTCCGCAAGGAAGCTTGCCCCAATTTCGGCGACCCTTGCCCAAGGTGCCGTTTGCCCTTTGCCACATGCTAAACCATGGTTGTGCCATGACCATGTGACCAGGGAAGAAGGTCACTCGTTGGGCACCTTGACACTCACCGACTGCGGAGTTCTGGGACCCTCTTCAAGGCACTGCACAAAAAAGAACCGGCCCCTGGCCGTCAAACGGTCAGGGGCCCATCCAATGGTGCAAATCCCATAGTGTACCTAAGGAGGTGGGCTGTAAGTTGTAACTAACCCTTAAATATCCCATTTGGCCGTGGGTCAAAACCGTTTTGGTACCATTTTGGGGTAGGTGCACCGCCCATTTTAGTGGTTGGATTGGGATGTTGACTGGGGGTACGGGCCTTGGATTTTGACCCATGGCCATTTTCCTCCACAGTTCTTAGGGTCACGAAAACGCAGCTGAAGCCTGACCTGCTACCCCTCATCCATCAAGGCCCCCGGTGGCAAACCCTCCAAAAACCGGGCCTATGATTTTATGGCTGTTGGGTAACGGATTTTTGAACTTTAACTTTTGGGGAAACAGTAGATTTTCCATTCAACCCACAAACAGTTGTTCACTCTTTTGCATGCTGCAGAGGGATCGTTACAGCAATTGTTCCTCAGGCACTCCCACGACACTTCTCGCGCTGAGCGGCGCTCCCAGCGTCACCTTCCGGTGGAAGGTGGGCGGGAGTGGGCTGGAGTTGCGCGCAGAAGTGGGTTGGTGCCTCTAGCTTTGAATACGGACGTCCCAAGATGGCTGTTTTCATTTGGTGGTTCATTAAAACCACTCCCCTAAAAAGGGTACCCGCAAAAATAAACATGTGTTTGTTTTCATGAAAACGGGAAGCACGGCTTCATTTGTTTGAGGTCTTTATGCACATATAGGTCGATGTAACAGACACGCACACAACACAAGCATTCAAGCTAGTAAGAAATAGTTCAGCAAGCAAACAAAGCAGAGCAACACAAAGCAAAGCAAAGCAAAGCTATGCAAAGCAACGCAAAGCAAGCAAACTCGAAAGTAAACAAGCACACAAACCGACAAAGAAACAACTCATCAGAAGATGTTTATTTAATGATGTATATACCCATTGAGGTTGGGTGTGTGTCGGTGTGCGCTTATATGCTTCAGATACATGCATGTATATATATATATATATATACGTACATTCCAGTATCTTACATTACATTACATTACATTACATTACATCATGTGACAGTACAGCACTACTTGCGATAGAGACTGTCGCAGTTGTGTGTGTGTGTGGCACCCAGAAAAAACTTTGGGCCTGCCACATGACGGGCAGCCCTCGGTTTCAATCACCCTTTGAGCATCCCACCCGTTTGAAACTTGGCTCGTCAAGTGGCTGAGGTTTCAGTGACTGGCTCTGTACGTTTGAGTTGCTGTGACGGGGCAGGGGGGGTTGCTGCAGAGAAGCCGGGTCGAGAACGAAGCCGGCATAGGTGATGGACATCTGATTCGAGTTGCAAGCCAACCGCAGAAAACAGTGCCTGCGTATGCACTTGCACTTTTTGCATTGTATGGGAATTCATTGCACACGAGACCGTAACAGAAGGGCACATGCAAAGTATAGTACAGTACAGTACGGCACATTGCAATGTATTACCTTACCTTACATTACATTACATTACATTACATTACATTACATACTACACATGTATGTTATATACGTGTTGTTGTGTATATACATACATGTATGGCTTTATGCCATGCATGTGCAACCAGCACGCACTACAAAGGCAGTATACATACATGCGCTGGGCCAGGCTGTCACTCGGAAACGGCCGTGTTGGCTTACCCTTTGGCCCCATCGAGGGCCCCTCCGTCGCGAGGACGTGTTCGGGGTTAGCGAGAGCTCCCAGCCGATCGAAGGCGCGGGCCGGGGTTGAGGGAAGCTTTGCTGGATGAGCCAACCACTCGGTGGTTCAACCAGCCATTCGGTTCCTTAGTTTTGTTTTGCGTTTTAGGTTTCCGAATTGAACCCACTCAAAGTTGAAAGCTTTTCGCAAGGCATTTGAAAACGAAGGGGCGCCCAGACCACTCCAGCCTTGTAAAGGCGGGAAGCTTAAATGCCTATGATTTTCCCGAACACGTGCGGCTGAGGTTGCATCCACAATGTCCAGATCCTGGTGGATGTGAATGCCTTCACTCGCCTAGTCGAAATCGCCGGGAGCTCGGGCAAATAATTGCTCTGGCATATTCCGGGGACCTTCTGTGTTCGCCTTTGCTGATTTCAATCATCACCATTTGTACCTGCTTTGGAGTAGCTAGAATCAGAAATCATGTTAAAGAGAATCCTTGCCCCTTGAGGCTGCACCCATTTTGAAATTGGAGGGGAAAACAGAAAGAAGCCGGCCGTGTCTGAGGGTGCCATGTTCCCAAGTGTATTCGAGTCCATCACCATTTGGAGGGCACTTGTTTTGAGGTAGCTAAAATGAGAAATCATGTTAAAGAGAAGCCTCTTCAGTCATTGACTGCATCTGGCTGTGTGAAGCCAGCGACCCTTTGTGTGCGTGTGTTTGTCAGTGTGTGTGTGTGTGTTGAAATTGGTGTGTGTTTGTGTTTTTTTTCTTACGGTGCCCACAAAATCATGTGTTTCCTTTTGGTTCTCTTTCAAACTAGGGCCAACAATGGTACCCTCAAAAGCGAAAGACCCAAGAAACCTTGATTTGTCCAGCTAGATTGCATGTTTTAAATATACAAGCGATAAATTGATTTGGCTGAGATTTTGAGAGCTGAAGCACTAGTGGCAAAGTGGATTGACTTTAGCACGCCTCGGTGTCAGTTCTTGCCGCCCTTCTAAAGGGCGTCCCCTGCGAGTCTCAAACAGACAAGTGTTTTATCCAGAGGCTCGGCCTGCCCTTGCGCTAAGTACAATGAGCTCACCAGGTAGCCATGAAGTGTTGCTTGGGTGATTCCTTGTATCGAATCGGTGAATTGTTGCTTGGCCAGATCTCAGTCCCTTCAAGAAGGTTCCCTTCCCAGTGCCTTGGAAGAACACCGGAACCAGGTACATGACATGAGACGCCAAAAGGAGGTACCTTTTGGCATTCCTGACTGGACATTAGTTTGGGGAGGAACTTATGGCATTCCCCCCCAACTTGGGATATGAGCTTGTTGCTGTTTCGCTCTTGGGCAGTGCGAAAGGGATGCATGTTGGCCATGTCGACACGTTTTATTTTACCCGCTGATTTGGAGGCTTCCCCTTGTGAACCAGGTGATTTTGGGATGATACATATATATATATATATATATATCAACGGGTTTGCCTGTGCCGATCCCAGGCTTTACCCAGGGCAAATGTGATTTTGGGCTGTATCTGTGAGCATGTCTGAGGGTTTTTTTTATGTTTTGCTTTTGGGGCATGTAAACTACAGTTTAGCTCGGTAATTGGGAATTGAGAGCGTGTCTTCCTAACCTGGCCTCAGTTGTTTGAGGAACAACTTGGATGGTGGTTTGGATTGGTGATTTGGGGATTTGCACCCCGGGTTCTTGCAGAGGGCAAATGGGAAACCACACCTTTTACACCAGGCTCCAAACCGCCAATTCGAGGGAAGCCGAGAGGCTGCTTGACGGCTACCCGGATTTGACCGGCTAAGAAGGCGAGTCGTATCCTACTGACCAGGTGCGGTTGGGCAACCGGGCCAATTCGTTGCCAGGAAGCTTGGCCCGGCAGAACTCTTTCGGGGAAGCGATGTGGGCAGACAGAGTTGCCAAGTGTGGCACGGAAGGATCTTTGGTCGGTTGATACGATTTGGCCCTGCGAACCGCGCATTGGTTGGCTTCATGGGATCGGCCTTGTCTCCAGGTCAAGGACATCGCTCTGCCCTTCGCGGAGTTGTTGGAGCCACCACCCTTCGCCACCTCCTGGTGCCGAATGCAGCTCCATCAGCTGCAGCTGGAGCTGCCCGCGAAAGAGGCGACCGAAAAAACACCAGGGACCTTCCGGTGGGAGGTGGGATTGCAGGTCGGTTCACTTGGCTGCCAATGGACGGGGGAGGGCTCCCAAAAAAAGGATCCTACAACAGATGACTCTCCCAACATGTGCCGAGGGAAACGGGTCCGGAAAGTCTCTTTCAGATTCCTTGTTTGCGTTTGAAAGGGCAATTGTTGAGTCATTGAAACCAACAAGCTGTTTGCCCGGTTCGTTTATTGCCATGTGTGTTTCATCACTAGGTTCGAATGGATTTCGACTGGTTGGAAAGTGTCCTATTGAACACAAGGAAGCCATGGGATTCCATTGTGGCCTTCTGATGGATCTAAGAGCCCTTATTTGGATTTGTGGTTTGGGTTGGTGGTTTGAATTGGTGATGCAACCACCAAACCATAATCCAAACCACCAAATGAGACTGGTCTTACTTATTACAAAGGAGAGCCAACAGGACGTGGCAAGGTGGCTCAAACAGCCCGTAGAAGGATTGTGCCTTTTTTTGGGGTGGGTTCTTTCAGGCTTTGACAGATGTGTTTGTAGCATCATGGATCAGCTTCTCAATTGGCCGTCCAATTCTAAGTTGTCGATTTCTATATGTCTCTTTTTTGGTTTAAACATCACTTTCTTGGCCCGTGAAAGCTGAGTGTCCCTTGGTGGGCGATGTTTTTTGCGGGCTGAATTCCGGGAGGCGGGCGCGGCGGGCGGCGGCTCGCCGCTTCCAAAGATCAAAGTGGCCCTGCCCTCGCTGCTGGTGACCAGCCTGGGTGGTTTGGGAGAGCTCTTCACGTCCCTGGAGAGTCTGCCCAGGCGCCGGTTGGTTTGGGCCAAAGTGATGTATGAGTCAAAATTAAACCACCAGAAAACCGCACGTTTGAGTGCTTGTTTCCATTTACCAGGGTTCCATTCTGGGGACGTATTTTTGACCCACTGCCATGTTGTTCCTTTTTCTCACTCCTTGGATTCTGTTTTGGACTTAGTCACTTTTTGGTTTGGACCATATTTTAGCGGCACTCAAAGAGTTCGGACTCTTTTGGCCAGAAAGTGATTTTTTCTTAAGCAACATCAAGGACAAAACGGCGGGTGCTTAAAAAGGGGGGACTGGATACCAGGATTGGTTGACACCCATTTGCTGAAGGTTTCAACCATGATTGTTCAGACAACCTGTTTCTGCTTGACTGTTGTGCTTCTACAAATGTCCACGACCTCCCTAAGGATTTCGCCAGAGGCCGAAACGGCTGGCCGAAAACGTTGCCCACGCGCACGTGCTCTCTGCATTGGGTTTTGGGGGTTGAGCACATGAGCTCCATGAATGCTTGGTACATGATGAATGCACAGTCCCCTCCTCCAAACAGTTGAAGTATCTGAAAAAGCCGTCAGTCCTGATGGTTTGGAGCTGGCTTCGGTCCATGTTCATTCCTTTTGGCTGCCTTTTTCCTTTGCCTTGTTCGTTGCTGTGGCAAAGCATTCCGTCTGAATTTCCAACTGGCCGCCCATTGAAAGCCTTTTGTGGCAAACTGGGCATGTGGCGCTGAATGGTTAGGCGTCTTCAGTGAGTTTCACGGGGTCCATGAGTCTAGGGGTGCCTGCATAATTCTTTCCAGGGATCCTTCTTTCTGGAAAACCTCCAGAAATGTGGGGAAAACCGCTGGTTTTCGAAAAGAACAATGGTTGACAAGAATGGGGACACAACCACTAGAATGACAGCCGTCGCAGGCACGCCTGGCAAAGTACACGAGATGAGGACCAGTCGACAGGAGCGAATGCCATAGCCCGAACGAGAGAGAGGGGCTGCCGAGAGACCTCCCAGAGCGGTGCACGTGCCGATTTTAGGGACGACCCTACATGAGCATACCAAGTAAGGCCGGAAACAGTGTCATTGTCAACGTTGCCCGACTGAAGCCCGAGTGTGGGGCATTTTGTGCAATTGTCATTTGACTCAAATGGGTTTGCCTGCCGTGGAGGACCTCTCTCTATAAGTGGTTGGTTTTGTTTGTAGCTGTCGAATTTCCGGGAAATGGTTACCACTGATGGGTAGCATTGAACCGCGCACCTCACGGGCAGCTTGAAGCTTGCACTGGCGCTCCGTGCACACCACTTTTGGGGTTCAACCAAAATACGTGAGCATTTCAAGGGGTCATCTCGAGAGCATTGTTGGCCTTGGATGAATAAACCTCACGGACTTCATGGGGGGAGCGTTTCCTCAAAGGTGGAGTCCTCCTTTGGGGTTTGCGATTCAACCAGGGTTTATGAATCCGGGGTTCAACATGGGTGGGTTTCCCTTCAAACCAGAGACTCCAAAAGCAGACTGCACTTTGAATTTAAGCAAATTTATGAAGCCACTAGGACTTCAATGGACCCGGCTGGGCGCTTTCCAGGAGATCTGGAAGTTGTCGAGCCAGAGCAGCTTGGCTGCGTAGGGCAGCACTCGCAGTCAAGCTTTCAGCAGTCTGTGGTGCATTTGGGAGGGAAGGATTCAGATTTTATTTTGCACAAAGCAAAAGTGGCTCAGAAAAAGACCGTGACACACCCATTTAGAATATTTAGATGATGAAGCTCCGCAATTGGGCAATACTGCGTATCTTCCTTTCATTTATTTAATGGTCCCAGGGATGTGAGTTTCTCAAGCAAGAGGCTTCTTGTACGGAGGAAAATCAACGGGCGGATCCCAAGCACCTGGATCCCAAGTATCTCGATCGGTAGCTTTTAAGGATGGCGAAGGGAAACACAAAGGGGAACCCCACCATCAGACCCAGAGACCCTGCCGCACCATGGCAAGTCCTAGTTGCAATATGTAGGGCATCCACGAATCCCTGCCCTTTTTTTTTTCGGGGATCTTAGATGTGGCTGTCGACATACAATAACCCCACACCAAAGTGTGGTTCCCTACAAAGGAACCTGAAGAAAACCACAATTTGTGGGGAAGCCCCCACCAGGTTTGGGGTTCCAAAACCTGACACCCGGGCACCGCAACTAGGTCCCTCAGTAGTGCCCTTTTACCGTTTCTTTTTTGGGGAGGGTTCCCCTACTAACTAAAATAGACCACAGTGTGACCACAGAAGAAAGTTGGTACCCTTATTCCAACCTCTCCACTGGAGGACCTAGGCCATGTTTGGGGTTCCAAACCCTGAAAACCGGGCACCGCAACCACCGAAAGATGCGACGTGTCGAGAGGCCCTGCGCCTGTGGGCGGCAGCTGGGGCGCCACTGCTTCGGCGCCGGCCTCGCGCCCCTGCGCGGCCTTGGCTCGCAACGCGCCTGGCGCGCCAGGCGAGGGGCGCGGCGATGCGGCGACTGCCCGCGTTGGGGTGAAGGGACACGTGGGGGTTGATCAATAGGTCCGTGATACATGGGAGGACCATTGGGGGAAACCACTATCAATTATGGATGTTTGCCAGCAAATGGGAAAAGTTCCTTCCCCATGGTCATTCGGGGGCCAGGAATTCTGATCAACCCCCACATGACCCCCGCACCAATTTGGGGCTTCGAGTGGCTTGTCGGTTTTTCAGCCATGGCATACTGGTTCACGTGGCAAGGGGCTGCAGGGGTTTGGACCCGGCCTCATAGATAAAACTCCGCCCCGAACAAGATGAATCATGGTGTGAAGAATCCAGTGGACAAAAACCTGAGTCTTTGGGCTCAAAAGGGAAGCCCCCCCCCGTGCAATTGGATCTAAAGGAAGACTAAAGGATGACACAACACATATTGTTAGTCGATTTCGCAACCATGGCTTCATCGTTTGGCTGGTACATAAAACATGTGTTTCCCGTGTTCAGTCTTACGACCCATCCCTTCAGTTGGGTGGTGAAGCCACAATTTTGGGCAGTTCCCATGTTTTAAGAGACGCCTCGTGGTTCGGGGGGACCAGGTGAGTTGATGCGACCGAATATTCAAAGAGCAACCCCTTTTCCGACTGCAGACCCCACCACTTGGAGGAGCACAGTTTTCAAAATGCACGGCCCAATATGACAACCCAAGTTCTTTTTGTCAGCTGCGTTTCTGTCAGATCGCCAGGCAAGTCGAGCGGGGCGAGCTGGTACCCATCGGCTACGACGAGTTTGCGGAGCCAAACAAACCAAACGAGGGGAGTCCAGAGCCGGTTGCACCAGGGGTCCTTTTTTCCCCCCTTTTTGTGGCTTTAAACATCGTAGAATCGAGCTTTTTGAAGCCAAGGGAAGATACCCCTTAACATCCAAACCAGCAAACCAAACCACCAATTTTGGGTATTGTGAAGCAACATCCCCCATGAGTCATGTTAAGTATTTGTTGAGATCTGTTCGAGATGTGATTGGCAAAGCTTTTCTTTTGAATCTTCTCTCTAAATCCCATGCCCAAGAAAATGTCTGCCTGACGAAACATCTGGCACCAGTTTCTTGGCCCCAAAGGTGTGCTCGTGTTCCCATCCCCCGTCCCCCCAAGTACATCTGCCGAATCTTATAGAAGTGAAACGAGCTCATAGATGGGCCCTTTACATGGTTATCTTCAAGTTACAACCTATGTTTGAATGCCAGCAAATTAGCTGATTTGTGCTCCCCTCCAAGGGATCCCCTTTGCCCTTTTTCGGGAAGCATCTTTCACTTTGTTTACAAAAGCGCCAAAAGGACGCAACCATTTTGGGGCTCCCATTCCTCATCTATGCCCCCCAGTAGTGCCCTTTTACCTTTTTTTTGGCGAGGGTTCCCCTACTAAAATAGACAAACCAGAAAAAAGTTGGTACCCTTATTCTAACCTCTCCACTGGAGGACCTAGGCCCGAGGGTCTCCGTCCCACACCCCGAGTTGCTTCAGGGGTCTCAAAAGAAGTGATTTTGGAGCCCCACAACCCGTCAGGGACCCTCTTTTGAAGGTTTTTGGAGCTGTAGAATTGCCTCAGGAGATGCTCCGCACCCACCTCTCGGCCTGTGCGCTGCAGGCGGTTCTTGAAGCCGCAGAGCCCGCAGACGCCGAAGGCCCGCAGACCAGTGGCTGCCCTAAGTCGTGGTTGTGGGAAATGGGGTTGTGGGAAACCCCATTTTCTGTGAGAAGGAGTTGGACCGCCTTTCCAGGGAAGCAGTCCTAAGGATAGTTGGTGGTATCGCAGAAAGGCTTATTTTTCACAACCAAACCCAAAATAGTGCAAATACACCTTTCTTAGTCAACCACAAAACTGAGTACAATAAAGTCACATTAACGTGGTTGCTTGGTTCCCTCATATTTGTAGAGGAGTGTCGACCCCGGATTACACTTAGGTGAAGGTAAATGGCAGACCTCCCTTCATCATCCACAAGAGCAGTTGTGCCATCCACTGTCCACCCTTTGTTGATTATTAGGGGAGTTCTCCCTGGATGTGTTTTAGTTGGATGTGTTTTAGTCATATGCGCAGATTGCTAGGGTTGTCAAATGGGGAAACGGTGGGCAAATGATGTCCATCAAAGGGTCAACAAAGTTAAACTCACGCATGTTCTGGGCTGTTTGGCAGTTGAAGGGTGTGGTACCTGTCTGGTCCGGAACTAAGGTCCGCACTCTTTCCTGGGGTAGCCGTTGGATACATTTTACATTTTACCAGTGACTCAAAGTGAAGCACACAATAAAATATACATTCTAAAACTGGGCCTAACTCTAATCATGTTTCCAGCACTTCAGGAAGCGGAGTTTCTGGCAGACTGACGTCCTCTCTCGCCCACTTCCATTCTTGGGAAAATAATACGGAGGGAAGGAGTATCAATGTAAAGCCCATAGGTGTCCTTTTCGGTTGATTTGGTTGAAAAATGGAGGGCCCTGGTTTACCTGGTGGTTCAATCAACTACCAGGACCATCTATTTTCCCAAAAAGGACACCTATGGTAAAGCCTTTTAAATAGGGCGCTTGTTTTGTCATGTTGTTTGCTCTGGGGCTTGGTATCTGGGTTGTCCGGAGAAATAGTAGTGAGGTTCAAGAATAGACTGTGAGCCGGAAACATATGCCATCCGGCTCTTTCGGTAGATGTGTTGCAGTCGCCAGGGGGCTTCTTCCAAGCTGAGCAAGTTTCAGCTCAAGCGGGATCGCCGAGCGGACGCTCAGCAGGCAGAGAACCGCCGGAGGGTGGGCAGGTTTCGAGTCGCGTGCTCACCCGAGCATTTGCTGTGGACCCATGTGAGCCTCTGGTGATTGGAGTATGCAATATGAACCCTTCAAAAGAGGAGCGTTTTGTCCTGCCGACAGGGAAGGCCAAGCATGCGATTGCAGGCCCTCGCCAACAGTACCGGTAGTTCTTCCTGAGGACTTGTGCATGCTTGCGTTTCTTGCCATATCATCAAAAAATGAGGTGACTTCAGGCAGTCTGCCGGCAGCTTCAAGTCTTTCATTCGATTCAACGAGGCTATTTAGTTTGCAGAGCCGCAATGTCAGGAAGTCGTGGGGAAAGAGCTCTAATCGCCAGTGCCAGCGTTCTGGTTCTACCAGGTCAATACTCGATTTGTTGTGAATGTATCTTTCCCAGTTCAGCGCAGTCGTTGCTCTGATGCCATCCATCCCGCTTCCAGCGCTCTGTTTGTTGCATCGTCGCAGGATGTCGCCCATGTTGCGCAACTTAGCACGCGTGGCTCAATTGCGACAACGTGCTGCGTGAATCGGAGCAGCTCTGCCAAGTCGCCCTGAGCGGAATTTGGCTTCTGCCCAGGGGCGTGGCTGTCAAGGGGAAGGGTGGGGAGGGGCGGGGAGAGGTGGGGAGGGGGAGGCGAGGGGTGCAGGGAGGGAGGGGGTGAAGAGAGGCGAAGAGGGCTGTCCTTGAAGAGATCAAGGGTTGTTCCCCAGCCCCACCGAGGCCAGGATATGCCTAAAGCCAAAGGCCCAGGCAGAGCCCTGAGGGATCAATTGAACGGTAAGTGGAAATCAGGGGATTCATGCGAGGGTGTTTTTGTCTTTGCTTCTTGCGAGGCAAGCGGAAGTCTCGAGGCTGGCTATCAGGCGCCGATGAGTCGCCGTCGGTTCAGGCCCTTTCTGTTCCAGGTCCCCCAGCAATTGGTGCCCTTTCTCACCCCTTCTTTGGTTGGGAGGGTTCCCCTACTAAACTAGACAGAGAAAGAGGGCACCCTTATTCTAACCTCTCAAATCTGGAGGACCTAGTGCTTCTGGGAAGACGTTTTGGTTGCAGACCTGGGAACTGACAACGGCTTTGGCCTGCAGAATAACCCGTTTCGGTGTGATTCTGCCGGCTTCCGGGGGGGTGTCTCCAAAAGGGTGGCGTATTGCTGTCAACCTTCTCCTGACTTCCTGAGTTCATGAACTTTATTTTTTTTGGGTTTGGACCATTTTAGTGGTAAATATAAAGTTTAGACTTTTCTGGGCCATCCACTCAGCCAGGGAGTATCCACTCTTCAAAAGCATGTGGCTCAAAGCCATGTCACACTGGCCTTCTGCTTCCCTTTTAAGTCATTTTAGTCCCAAGGGCCGGGGAAGCTGCGAGCGAGCGAACGAGCTCGCACGGATGGTCCGAACAATTTGCGGCCAGCTGCTTATTGAGCCCGGAGCAATGTTTAGCTGGCATTCAGGGAGTTGCTACAGCACAAGCCAACAATCTTGAATGAGGAAATGGCACAGGTTCTCGAGGCACAGGTTCGTTTAAAGGGTTGTGCGCCACAATTCAAACCGAATTGGATACGTGAAGATTAGCATTGGAGACACTCCAAAACACAAAAGGCGAGACCCTGCTGGTTCTTTAACCGATCGACCCCAGTTACGCTTGGCGTTTCTTGGTCTGACTCCAAATGGGGGAACTTCTTTTTTTGTTTTAAACGGGAACAGGGAACTCGACAGCCACTTGGAGAGGATTTCCTCAATTTTTTTTCTGGTTTCATACCTGCAGCCTTTGGCGAACATGGTTCGGGGAACTGTCAATAACATTACTCGGTCTCCCAGTAGTGCCCTTTTATCCTCTTTCAGGGGAGGGTTCCCCTCCCTTATTCTAACCTCTCTACGGGAGGACCTAGACTAGGTCTTTACAGCCATTTGTGATACAAGGAATATGACTTATTTTTCGCTCGACGGAGTACTGTAGGTGCATGGAACTCAAAATGGGCGGGGTCCCTAAATAGCGGGCCCCTTCCAAAGAGGTGGGTTTTTGGGGTTGCATGTCAACCAAGCTCATGGGTGCGGTCATACAAATATCAAAATAGGGAATATGTTTTTTGGTTACGCGGAGGTCGTATTCCCGACAGCACCCCCCTGGAACCTTTTTAGGGAGCACTAGGACTCGGGGAGCTTCACGGAGAAGTGCAAGTCGCCAGTTCCGCATAGCTCCGCTGCAGGCTTCAAGAGCAGCACGAAGTCAGGCCGGGGGCGTTCGACGCACCTGGTCGTTGCCATGCGAGCGATGCGTCAGTTTAGGGCGGCCGAAAATCTAAGATGTCTCCAAAGGGGGCCCTGCGTAAAATGGGTGTGAACTTAATTTTACAACAGGGGAACCTTTGGTGCACGTTGTTTAGGTTGAGATACATGGGCCATTCTGAATATCTTAGGGTAATCGGCCATTATTCTTATTTTTGTTTCAAAGGGATACCGAACCTTGAAAACCGTGAAGCCATTTTGGGGGGTCCGATTCCTGAAAACAGGCGTCACCCATTTTAGTAGCTTGCGGCTCTCTTCAGCTCTGATTTGAGACCAATGCCAAAAGCGCGCTCGCCAGGCTCCTCAGTCAGCCAAAGAGAGCCTTGGCGTGAACTGGTTGGACACCTTGGCCGGAAAATGGCCAAATGCGCCGATGGCAGTCAACGCAAGGAAGCTTTCTTGCCTCTTTTGAACCATAGAGCCCTTGGGGGAGATTCACGGATAGGATTGACGGTCCATTTCGCTTGGTTCTCCGACCTGGTTTCACGCTTACAATCAAGGCGACAGCAACCTTACCCTGTACAACCAGCAGAATGGGGATCAACCCCTCCCAACTATGAATGGGTTCAGAACGACAGGGTTTCCTCATTGCCTACCAAGAAGAAGCCTTACGTGCCCGAAAGATTACACGAGAAGGTCCCTTTTAGTGGAAAGTGGTCCAAGGGAACCCCCAGTCTGGTTCGATGTTAATGGGAGGATACCTTTACTTGGGGTTCCCAGCCATCCCCTTTGGTTTTTCCCGAAAGCATGGCGAAGGGTTCTTCCGCTGGGTTCACTTGAGTTGTTCTCATGAGAGTCATTACAAGGTGTCATTGCAAGGAATCATCATCATGAAAGTCATTGCAAGGAGTCATTGCAAGGAGTCATTGCAAGGAGTCATTGCAAGGAGTCATGCAAGGAGTCATTGCAAGGAGTCATTGCAAGGAGTCATTGCAAGGAGTCATTGCAAGGAGTCATTGCAAGGAGTCATTGCAAGGAGTCATTGCAAGGAGTCATTGCAAGGAGTCATTGCAAGGAGTCATTGCAAGGAGTCATTGCAAGGAGTCATTGCAAGGAGTCATTGCAAGGAGTCATTGCAAGGAGTCATGCAAGGAGTCATTGCAAGGAGTCATTGCAAGGAATGCAAATTGCACTTGACTTGCACTTGCAACTTGCACTTGACTCCTTGCACTTGCAACTTGCACTTGACTCCATGCACTTGCAACTTGCACTTGACTCCATGCACTTGGCTCCTTGCACTCCTTGCATTTGCAACTTGCACTTAACTCCGTGCACTTGCGACTTGCACTTGACTCCATGCACTTGGCTCCTTGCAACTTGCAATGGCTCTCATGACACCTTGCAATGACTCCTTGCAATGACTCCTTGCAATGACTCCTTGCAATGACTCCTTGACTCCTTGCATGACTCCTTGCTCCTTGCAATGACTCCTTGCAATGACTCCTTGCAATGACTCCTTGAAACAAGCAAGGAGTCAAGTGCAAGTTGCAAGTGCAAGGAGTCAAGTGCAATTGACTTGCGAGGAGTTAAAATCTCTTCTTAGGGCGGCGGGGTAGTGCCGACGACACTACACGAAAATCGACCCTCTGCGGGGATCGGCGTGGTCGAGGTGCAAAAACCCATGGTTTTTTCCGATTTCCAACATGCCCGCGCGACCCTCTGCGGGGATCGGCGTGGTCGAGGTGCAAAAACCCATGGTTTTTTGCGTGCCCGCGCGACCCTCTGCGGGGATCGGCGTGGTCGAGGTGCAAAAACCCATGGTTTTTTGCGATTTCTGCTGCTCGCGCGACCCTCTGCGGGGATCGGCGTGGTCGAGGTGCAAAAACCAATGTTTTTTTTTGCGATTTCTGCGGTGCTCGCGCAACCCTCTGCGGGGATCGGCGTGGTCGAGGTGCAAAAACCCATGGTTTTTTGCGATTTCTGCGGTGCCCGCGCAACCCTCTGCGGGGATCGGCGTGGTCGAGGTGCAAAAACTCGAGGTTTTTTGGATTTCTGCGGTGCTCGCGCAACCCTCTGCGGGAATCGGCGTGGTCGAGGTGCAAAAACTCGAGGTTTTTTGCGACTTTTGTTGTTCGAACTGGTCCTCGGGAGTTGTCTCGTGGTTCGCGCGCCTGCTCCCGGAACCGGCGGGTCGCGGGTTCGATTCCTCCCTGGTCCGCGGGCGGGCGTCGCAAGATGCAACTTGCATTTTAAAGCAACTTGCGCAGAGCAACTTGCGCAGAGCAAGTTGCACAGAGCAACTTGCGCAGACCAACTTGCACCGACCAGTTTGCGCAGAGCGCCTTGCCTAGAGCAACTTGCGCAGAGCAACTTACGCAGAGCAACTTGCACAGAGCAACTTGCACAGAGCAGCTTGCACAGAGCAACTTGCAGGGAGCGCAATTTGCACAGAGCAACTTGCAGGGAGCCACTTGCAGGGACCAACTTGCCGGAGCAACTTGCGCGGAGCAACTTGCGCAGAGCAACTTGCACAGTGCAACTTGCGTAGAGCAACTTGCGCAGACCAACTTGCACCGACCAGTTTGCGCAGAGCACCTTGCCTGGTGCTGTCTCGCGCTTGCTTCACAAATGCTTCGTGTAGGGATGCAGCGTTGGGCCGACCTCGCTTGCGATGTTCTGCTTTCGGGCCAACCGTGGTCTAGTTTAGCTTCTTAGTTAATTTAAGTGGTTGGGTTCCGACTTTACCCCACAAGTTCAACAGCTTTAGCAGATCTGAAAAACGGACAGCCCAGTCAATCCTTGCTTCCTGATTTGGCCAGGAATTCTAATAGGGAACCACGTCTAAATGGCTGGTGGACATGAATCCCAACCTAAATGATGTGCGCCAAAGCGGCTATGGGTCAAAGCCCCGTACACGTGAACATCAACATAGCTGGCAAATGGATGTTCCACCCCAAAATGGCTCGCCATAGGTCATGCCCCATGGCCAAGTGGCTTGGGAGAGGTTGCTCCGTTCACTCGAGGCCACCGAGGCCGCGACTGAGTGGGCCACTCTTCATGAGGCGCCGAAGAAACTGCCGGCGCACGGGCCGTTGCCATAGATGTCTATTCCATTTACCAGGGCAATCTTTTTTCTCCAGCAGGTGGGATCCTGTTGTAGCTAGTATGCGGTTTTTGATCCAGTAATTTGGAGCGCACTCCTTTTTGGGGGAGTTTCAAAGGTAGTGTGCCCTCCTGTCTGGGAAAGCTTTTAACTTGCCTTGCTGCCTTTGTGGTGGTGGCTGGACCCAAAGGGGTGGAGTTCAGAACTTGATGATGAGATCTGGTCAGCCAAACTGGTCGTTGATGTCTTGCCTCCGAGGGCTCTCTATATTTCCCTTGTTGGTGTCTTGAACCATTTCCCTTTCGGCCCATAGGTAGGTGAGGGATCTGGGGTGTTATATTTTATGGCAGATTAGACATGAAAGAGTATCCGAAAACAATTGTTTTCCTTTGTAGCTCTTCTTTCTAGGGGAATATCGGTGGACTCCAAACATGGGTGGCGTCGTTTTGGTTTCCCTTTACCCCCCCCCCCCCCAACAAAAAAAAGGAAAAATCAAACACCATGCACAAAACAAAGGTGCCAACCCAAAAAAAACGCCACGTGTCAATTTCAGAGTCCATCCTAAACTTGGTGGCTCCCAGCCATCCCCTTAGCCTGTTAGCCGTTTAGCCTTCTAGTGTTTAGTGGTAATTTCCATGTAACCCACCAAAAGTTAGTCACTTCTTGCGGGGGATCTGAAGATGGGCAGCCCAGTAAAATAGCGCTCAGTCGCCCAAGCTGTTTTGCTATCGCATGGATGGGCTCCGGCTCCAGGGCCTCCAGCGGTTGCGGCGCCAGCGTGAGGAGGCGTCGCTTCGGCTGAGGGCCCTGCATGAGGCCCAGGCGGAGGCGGGCGGTTTGGGGTGGGGGGTGGGGGGTGGGGGGGGGGTTTTGGGGGTGGGGTGGCGCTTTGACTCAGGGAGGTCTAGAAGTGATTGAGTTTTAGGGTGTTCTGAGCATGACTTCCCTGGCAGCTGTTTCCTTTTGAAATGATATGTCACTCGCTGAGTTCCGTTTCGGACTTTAGTCACTTTCGGGGGTTTTAGTGGCACACCAACCGTTTGGACCTTGCTTGGCAAGTCCCAGGAAGTGAGCTGAGGAAACCAGGGGAGGTGTCCTGTGGTTTCCCAAGTTGGTGCCCTGGAACTCTCTGGAGGTGTCCCGCAAGGGCGGAGCAAGATTGGAGGAAGCCGGCAATTTGAGGGGCCCCCCAAAAGGGCTACGGTTCCTGTTTTTGCTTTGAAAACTACCCCCAAGGAGCGTAGCCTCAAAAAACGAGATCGACACGCCTTGTTGAGACAGGTGCAAGTTGGGGTTTGGATGTCTTGGAGGTGCGCCATACACTTGACTGAACTTGAAGCTTTATGATCGTTTTGGTAGGCAACAGGGCTGTTCCTGAAGCCACAGAGGAACTCGGGTTTTCAGGGAACCCTTGTTCCAAAACGGTAACCTTTGAGTTTGTTTAATCAAAAAATAGGTGTGTTGAAACAAAAGGAAGAAGGGGCTTTACTTGGTGTCCCTTAAAACCCAGCAACCTTCATAAGCTGGGGGGGGGGTTATCAAAAGGTCCTCTACACGGGATGAGCACCAGGGAAACCACCAAAGACGATGACTTCCCGCGCTAAACGGGAGAAGTTACCCATTTGGTGGACGAACGGAAGATATTGACCGGTTCACTGGCCTGAGGCGAGCCCCAAACCCCTGGTTTCCGAAATAAGGATTTCTCAAATCTGTTGGGTGTTATTCGGCGCACCGGGGCGCCAAGTGTGGCCAGGTGTGCGAGATTCCGACGCCCGTAAAAAGCTTGAAAGCACATATATTTGCATCAGGTTCTCAAAATCCAGCCGTTTCTGCTTATGTGACCCTAAAATGCTTACTACCGCACTCGTTTGAGAAAATATGGCCCTTCTCTGTCTCTCATTAAGACTGGCCTCACACTCCCAACAACCAGCCGTTTCTGCTTAGTTGGCCTTGAAAAGCTTGAAAACACAGATGTGAGACAATCCGGCCCTTCTCTGTCTCTCGTTAAGTCACATCAAGCTGTCAAAAACCAGCCGTTTCTGCTTAATTGGCATTCAAACGCTTGAAATACACTCGTTTGAGAAAATCCGGCCCTTCTCTGTCTCTCATTCAGACTGGCCTCAAATTCTCAAAAACCAGCCGTTTCTGCTTAGTTGGCCTTGAAAAGCTTGAAAACACAGACGATTGAGAAAATCCGGCCCTTCTTTGTCTCTCATTAGGACTGGTCTCAAGTTGTCAAAAACCGGCCGGTTCTGCTTAATTGCCCTTAGCAAGCTTGAAACACACACGATTGAAAAAAAGGTTCAACAATACACCTGGCTCGACCCCCCTCCAATTTTACACTTTTTTAGGAGGCGAGGAAGGCGCCGAAATACGAGGTGCGATTATTATAATTTGTCCAGCTATTTATGCTTCTGGGAGAGGATTTCTTTGAACTGGTACCAATTAAAGGGGTTCCTGATTCCCTGCCAGCACCGCCACCACAAGAAACCAGATTGATAAGGCATGCCCATGTTGCTTTGCACCAAACCCTCCCAGAGTTGGAGCGTGTGCCAGGCTGGGTTTTCCTATTGGTTTCCTTTGAAGGGAAACGAGTTTTAGGCGTCTCCCTTTATTTCAGCCGACAAAGAATCGTGTGATCTCTTGATTTTCCCTAAAGGGATCCCTTTTCTCATGAACCTATACTAAGCCAGCACAATGCCACCCCAACACAGCTGCAAGAAAGACTATGGGTGTGTGGGTGGGTGTGGTTGGGTGATAGGGCCACTTCGGCTGTCTGAATCTTCGGCGACAGGAAGCCCGGCGTATCGAAGCCCGCACCGCGAGCCTCGAGGAGATTTGGGACACTTCGGGGAGAGCACGTCGCGGATTCATGGGCTCATAGGTCACAGGCTGTTAACAAGCCGGGAGGCGACAAGGCCTTGGCCGCCGCATTTTGTTCCTCGGCTGTTCTGCAATGTGTTATCTCTGGCTTATGCTTGGCAGTGAACGTAGGACGGCATGGTTTTTATAGATAGATTGTCAAACACCCAATGTGTGTTGCATAGTTGCAGTTCAATTGCTCGAACATGTGAATCAACAAACTGCAGCCAACGCACGGCAGAAACCTGATACCTCCAAACAAAGCTATGTATTGTCTAGCAATGATTGCCACCATTTGTCTATACAGTGAGTCCCCACTATGAAGGAAGCGGGTCGTTTGCGCGCTTCCCTTGTCACAGAGACTCTTCTAGCAAATTCATGTTTGCTGTGATTGACATGGTGGTTCTCCAGACGCTTTTTGCCAGCATTTGCAACCAACATTGGCCATGCATCAACCTGTGTGCACTGGCATGTTTGTCCGTGTGCGTGCAAGCCTTTCACTACGACGGCAACATCCCCCTGCTCCCCCAGCCCTGCTCGCAACTACGACTCGACTCATCGCAGCCTGAAACAACAAACAGCAAGAAGAACACCAAAAGTACACGGTGTTTTACCAGCCGGTTTCCACTAGTAGCATAGTTGTTAACCTGTTAACCTCCTAGAGAAAGCTGGAAGGGGATGGATACCGTTTTTTCAACACCCCCTCTTTGGCACCTAGGTTCCACTCTGTTTGTCATCCCCTTGTTGTGTGGTGGCTTCGCGACCCGCACAAAATGAAATTAACCGACCAACAAGAAGCGGTTCCAGTTGGCTGAACTGGTACTTGCTTGCTTGCTTGCTTGCTTGCTTGCTTGCTTGCTTGCTTGCTTGCTTGCTTGCTTGCTTGGTTTGCTTGCTTGCTTCCTTGCTTGCCTCCTTGCTTGTCTTGCTGCCCCCAGTTCTGTTCCCACAGCGTTGGAGCTGCTTGGTTCCGAAGCTCACAAGTTGGCACCGGTTCTCGAAGGTCACGCCCAAAAATGCCATTATCGTTAGAGCGACCGGATCTGGTGAGGCCTTGGATGGCGCGGTTGCAAAGCATGAGGCAAAGCAAGTCACCGGAGACAAGCATGCCACTTGTTTTCTTTTTTTCTTTTTGTTACTTTTCCTTCGGCGTGGCATGAGGCAACTCAAACGGTTGACCTTTGGTCCAACTGAAGTTTTGGTCCCAAAAAGGTTCGCCTTTTGATCCACGTGTGCAATGGGGGAATCAAGTTCAACTCTGTGGTCGGACATGAGGCAGTCAGGATCCATGTTATCCCAAAACTGCATTGCTCTTGGTGTGTTCCTTCGGATTCATTTTTTTCCTCAGGGTTCCTTGGGTTTCCCAAGTGTTTTTTGAGGTTCCTTTTTGGGTTTCGAAAGGTTTCTTTCAGAATTTGCCTTTTCCTGTTGCAGCGGGTCCAACTTGACTTCCTCCATTAAAGCAGGTCGAATTCTAAACCCCGCTTCTTGGCGTGTTGAGCCGGGCAGGGGACGACGTGTATCAAGACGTACTGCGGGTGGACGGAATCCGTTTGCACCACTTTGAAACCATGGGAAACCATTGTTTGTTGGCAGAATCATTCCAGGGTTTCTTAGGTGGTGCGAAATGGATCTCGTCCACCCACAGTAGGGTTCCTTTTGGATTTGCTGCATCAAGCGAAGCAACTAGGTCCCCAGTAGTGCCCTTCTTCCCCTTTGTTGCGAGCAGGTTCCCTGCTGAAATAGACTACAGACAAAAATCGGGTACCCTTATTCTAACCTCTCAAATCTGGAGGACCTAGGCGAGAAACCCAATGGAAGCCAGAAACCCAACGAGTCCAGGAGGAGATCACTTTGAAGATCGCCCTGGAGCGGGGCAAGCAGGCGGAGCTCTCCGCCAAGGCGCAAGCTACCTCGTCGCCTCGCGAAAAATAATTTCTCGAGTCGCGCGAGCCCGGCAAGCTTCGTGGTCAATCGCGGAAAAGTTGGCGCACAGAAACCACCAATCCTGGCGTGCACAAGTGGTTTGTTGTGTGTTTCTTTGGTTGAAGTTGTCAAGCTGTACCCTCCCCATTCTCTTCACCGAGCCTTCTCTTCAAAAAGGGCCAAACCCTTGAAAAATGGGTGGTTTCTATAGAGAACGATGGCTGAAGATAGTGTAGATCAATAGGACAATTTGGCGCACCACAGAAACCGCCAATCCTATCGTGCACAGTATGTGGCTACCGATGTGTGTTGTGTGTTTCTTTGGTTGAACACCTACCTTAAACTTGCTTGGAGTGGTGGAGTGGGTTCTCTTCAAATATCCACATGCACGTTGTCTTGGCGGGCAAGTTGTTCTTCAAAAGGCCTGACTCTAGGCGTTGGTTTGGGTTGATTTCTCTTCAGCCACGGTGGTTCATATGTCAAGAGCGCGGGTTGCCCTGAAAGCCAGGAACAAATGTCTATGACGACCCACCCAAAGTGGACCACAATTTGGTTCAGAGCCAAAACACGCAACTTTGCATTGTTTCAATTTGAGCATTCCTAGCATGTGCGGACCACCACCAGCAAACCCACACACACACAGACACACACACACACAGACACACACACACACACACAGACACACACAGACACACACAGACACGCACAGACACGCACACACACACACAGACACACAGACATACACACACACAGAGACACACACACACACAGACACACACACACACACACACACAGACGCACACACACACACACAGACACACACACACACACAGACACACACACACACACACACAGACACACACACACACACACACACACACACACACACACACACACACACACACACACACACACACACACACACACACACACACACACACACACACACACACACACACACACACACACACACACACACACACACACACACACACACACACACACACACACACACACACACACACACACACACACACACACACACACACACACACACACACACACACAGACACACACACAGACACACACACAGACACACACACACAGACACACACACACAGACACACACACACAGACACACACACACACAGACACACACAGACACACACACACAGACACACACACACAGACACACTCACACACAGACACACACACACACACACACAGACACACACGCAGACACACACACACAGACACACGCAGACACACGCAGACACACACAGACACACACACAGACACACACACAGACACACACACACAGGTAACATGCCAACTGGGCAAATGGGCCGCAACCCAATTTGGGCCCAGGATTTACGTTCTGTTCGTTTGGATCCCTCGTCTTCTATGTTACCGATATAAGCCTGTGAGGCAGTAACCCCCCCCACCCTGCACCATTGGTAAGCTCCATACCTCCAGAACTGTTCACCTAGGAAAAAGCATGTGGTGGATCACTGGGTGGTCCTTTGAAGTTCAGTCCCACCTAGTTGGACAAATGTATGTTTGCCCTGTCCGGATTCCTCTTGAAGGAATTGCAAACGATGACATACAGAACACCCCCCAACTCAATGTCTGGCTCAGTGACCCCTCACTTTGGGAAAAGGCAACTTTCGGGGTGTGTTGTTTGGGTCGTAGGGAAACAACCAACCCCTTCCCCACCCAGGAAAGGCTAATAGAATCTTCTTAAACTGGGACCTGCGAACCATTCTGGTGAGAGGTGGGCCCTCATGATTAGCCCAGCCCTGTGTATGTGTCAAACCAAATTCCCCCAACACAACATGACACACGCACACCTTCCATTTGCGTTTCAGAAGCTGGCTTATTTTCACCTCTTGGTTTTAAAGTTGGAATCGATGTCACTACTGGACTGTTTTTTTTCCGGTGGACGAAAACGGCAAGTGGAGGCAAAAGGTTGACCTTTGGTCCATTTTAAGTCGCTGTGCTAGTAGCCTTTTGATCCACTACATGTGCACTGAGCAGTTGGAAGACGCCCTTCAAGTTGCATACCGCGTCCTGGAATGTGCTTGGGAACAGGAAGCAGAGGGCTCGGCAGATCATTTCCCATCGTTTGCAGGCGAACAAGCCATTGGAAGAACACCCGTTTGCCAGCTGCCCGGATTTTTGCGGCGAAGCTTTTTGCTTTTTGACGACGCCCCATGTTTGACTAGGTCCCGCAGCTAGGTGCCCTTTCTCACCCACTTTTTTGGGGGAGGGTTCCCCTAAAATAGACGTCCTAAATTCCTAAAAAAAGTTGGTGCCCTTATTCTAACCTCTCAAATCTGAAGGACCTAGACTCACTTCCCGAGTTCCGTTTCGGACTTTGGTCACTTTTTGGGGTTGGTTGCCATATTAGTGGTAAAGAGGTGAATTTGACCACTCGCAACCCACTCGCTGAAACCCGTGAGAAGCAGAGCCAGGCGGAGGAGCAGCGCCAGGTGCTGGCCCAGCTGCTGCGCGCCCGGCGGGCGGAGCAGATGAAGGCGGCGCGGCGGCCCAGTGGACTTTTTTTGGGGCTCCTGGTGGGAGGCTTTTTTCCGGGAATGGGGGGAGGGGGGAGGGGGGAGGGGGAGGGGGGGAGGCGGAGGTGGTTTCAAGGGTTCAAGGGACACCTAGTCATTTGTTTTGGTCTCGGTATCCCCTTTAGGAGCGGGGCGGGGAGGGACGTGTTGGTTTCTGGGGTAGACTTGGGATACATTTTACATTTTACCAGTGATAAAGCAACGAATGACATATGCATTCTAGAACTGGGCATAACTCTAATCATGGTTTCTTGTGGAAAGCTTTTTGCCAGGAATGGGGGGGGGGGAGGAGGGGGAACGGTTCCCTTTCTCACCAACTTTCTGGGGGAGGGTTCCCCTACTAAAATAAACGTCCTGAAAAAAGTTGGTACCCTTATTCTAACGTCTCTACTGGAGGACCTAGTTGTGGGAAAAGTGAGTCGCCATTCAAAGAATGGAACGCCCCCATCCATCAATCTGTCTCCTCCATGTTTTTCCCAGCTGAAAGCTATGAACTCTTTGCCCAAACAAGCGGTCAAGGAGGCAGCGATGGTCATTTAATGACTTTTTTTGATTGCCCTTACCTTCTATTGGTTTAAGACTTTGTTGCAATTTTATCCTGTTAGTTTAAAGGGAATCTATCACTGCTGCATGTTGTTTTGTTGCTCTTTCTGGGGACTTATATATTGAAATGGAGGTTACCGTTTCACAACCCCAACTCATAGCAAGCCAACAGGCCACAGAGATGCCTGCCAAGATGCCAGCAACATTTTAGGCTGGGTTGTTCCCCCCTTTTCGCACGCCAGGGATTCCACAGGCACCCCCCAAGAACACGCTCAAAATTAAACAGGAGGGGTTACGCAGATTTTTGCCCATGCTTCCACTTACCAGGGTTCCATTTTGGTACCGTTTTTTTTGTGAGCCACAGCCAAATAAGCACAAGGAATGCCAAACACGTGCGGGTTCTAGGACGGTCTCTCAGCCTGAGGCGAAGCCATGATCGCCAAGCTTCACTTCGGGCTGAAGTCTGAAGTCGCCCTTGGATCACTGGGAAGCTCCGTGGCAGAGATGGGGCTGCGGTGAAAAAAGGGTACCCTTATTCCAACCTCTCTAGTGGAGGAGCTAGCCTTTCCTCAGGGGCAAGCACCTAGAGGTGGAAACAAGCTGGCCAATGATGACGGTTCCTTAACTTCTGGTTGGTGAAGTACAGCAAGTGAAGGAGTCCACTATGATTTCCTTGGCTTGGCTGCAAGCGGTCTTAAGGGCTGGCTTTTGAATTTCGTTGTGAAGATCCCAGGAAGCGGTGCTCGCCCTTCGACATCACCGACGACTTCAAGGAATTTCAGGCCAGGAGCATCATGGCATACTGACATGTGCAAGAGCGTAGGTGAAAGGCGGCACAACTTCGGGAACGCTTGGTGACATCTGGAGCATCTGTGTTCTTCAAACAATGATCATCATAGAAAACACGATTCCTTGCTTGAGAGATGGGATTCCCAGTGTCAGTTGTTTTTTGGCGAGGTGCGGTTCCCCAAGAACCCTCAACAACGCGAGTCACCAAATGCTCTGAATCAATAACTGGTTCAAAAATCCTGGGTCAACATGATGGTTTTAATCAATGAACAGTATATTCTGGAAACACCCACTCCTACGCGTCATCCAGGGGCTTTTAAATCATACCCCCCCTTTGCAATAGTCCGAAACCATGCCCCTGGAAAGGGTAAGGGGAGGGGTAACAGGGAAAGAGGTAAGGAGCATTTCTTCTGTCTAACACGCCGTCTGCTGTCGGCGGATTTGGCTAGGTCCCCCAGTAGTGCCCTTCTACCCTTTTCGGGGAGGATTCCCCTACTAAAATAGACTACAGAAAGAAGTTGGTATCCTTATTCTAACCTCTCCACTGGAGGACCTAGTTGTGGAAAAAGTGAGTCTCCATTCAAACAATGGAACCCTCATGAATCTGTCTCCTCCATGTTTTTCCGTGAAAGCTATGAACTCTTTGCCCAAATAAGCGGTCAAGGGAGGGTTGGGAAGGTTCCGCATCTTTTTGGTTTGTACATTTCATTGACCAAAAAAAAATCAGACAACAAATCGAGGGAGGGTTGGGTTTCTTTCTTTTGCGAGGCCATGATCACTTCCGCCGAATCCTCCTCCATCGAGACGGCCTTCAAGGATCGAAGTGAATGAGGCTGCTTTAGTGTCCCACGAGAAGCTGCCATGGGTTTTCTGGGGGTCTCTTCCAAAATTGGAGCAAACAATATGGACCAATACCAATACCAATAAATTGAATATTTTCTGGGTTGATATTTCAAGGTATGGGTTAAATCATATGGACCGACATCTGAACATGATTTTGTGGCGTAGTCCGGAGCTGTGCCGCGTTTTGAGTCCCCCCAAAAATGGCCTTTTGAAAGATCGGGCTTCTCGATTGCGGGATGTGGGTTCTGCATTGGAGGCGTGAGCCTCAGGGCGCCCGAAACTCGTCGCCGACCGTTTCAGTACTTAGAGGCCGCTGTAGTCAGGGGGTACTGCCTGAAGGTGGGGAAGTTGGGATGAAAACTATTTTGGTCGAACCAAAAGTCAATTTGAAATCGGGCGCTGCTCAAGTTAGTGGGTGTTTAAAGGGAGATCAAGAGGAAGTCTACCATGTCGGATCCGAATCATCATTTAGGACGCCCACATGAGTCGCGATAAATATGATTAACCATGTGCGGATTCGATCCCGTATTTCTGATGCCGGCCTGCGCGGCAGGCGGAGGCTGCAACGGAGCAGCAAAAAGTCCGTGCGCGCGACAAAAGAGTTTGAGGTCGATGACAGGGTTGTTGTCAATATGGAGCTCCAAAGAGGTGTGCAAAAAGGGCCGACATGCGTGACCTCAGGTTCCTTTCCATGTTTGACCTGAGAAGCCAGCTGTCCGAGATGCTTAGTTGTTCTTTCTTGAACCCTTGGTTCAACAGTGTAGAGCGGCAAAGGGGCCATCAAGAGACGGCTTTCTCCTATATGGGTATGGGTCGAAATTGAACCACCAGGGCACCGCAGGTTGTTGTCCATGTTTCCATTTACAAGGGTTCCATTTTGGGTACCTATTTTTGATCCACAGCCATATGTTTGGTGCGGGGCTACTCAACAAAAAGGGGTGTCACTCTTTGCACTGGTCACTGGGTGCCGCAAGTCCTTGAATTCGGATTCACGGTGTGCCGATCTTGTTTGCGTTCCTTTCTTCCAAGGTGACACTCTGCGCAAGCGTCCGGAAACATAGCTGAGCTGGGGGGTGAAGATTCAAACAAGATTTTATGGGCTGCATGATGCATGACATCAATTCAGTCAGTACATGTAGTTTGTGCAGCAGCAGACCGCGTCGTGCTTTGTGATTTGTGCAGCTGCCAAGGTGCTGGGCGACCCTCAAAATGATCAAACCCATGTGGGACATTGGTACTTGGGTACTCAAGCTGCGTAAGTAGTCATAACCGTGGTGATCAAGGGGACTAACCCCCAGTCCCAGTTGTAAGTTATAACTATACCACGGTTTTTTCAGCCAGGCACTAAGTTGGACGCCCAAGAAGGGGACTCGTACCAAAGAAACCTTTGGGCCGGCGGGGCGAATTCACCCGCAGGTTCCAGCGCACCGGTGCATGCTGGCGAGTATAGAGGAGCGAGTTCCAGGTTCAGCGGGTCGAACACCATGACCTAGCTCAGTTGACTCCCCTTTTTCCCCTATTTTTTTGGAACCGTAAGCTCTAAAGTGTTTTGTCGTTTTTTTTTTTGGGGGGGGGAATTCACCCAGAAATGGTCGCTCAAAAGGGGTTCTACGTTTCTGCCAGGTGATTGGGCAAGTGGGACCAATAGGGTCCTTTGAACGACCCCAAGGTCTTGGGACAAGTTTGTATGCCACATGGGCATCCGCCGTTTGCCTATGAGATTCCAATGCCTGGGTCCCTGGGTGCAACAGGTAAACTTGCATACTCCGTTTGAGTTTCCAAGATTTCAGGGCTGCCTGCCGCGGATCGACCGCTTGTGACATAGTTTTTTAAACACACCCTCGAAAGCAAAAGGCGATTGCCCAAAAATCTCAGAGTTTGCTTGTGTCCTTTTGCATCCCCAGCGTCACCACACACTTTCTTTATCACAGCACTCGGGATGCTGAGGGTGTCGCCTACAAGAAAATTATGATTCACACATAATGACGATGCTGACACGGCACATTTGAGTTCCACAAAGAGGATGATGATGATGATGATGATGATGATGATGATGATGATGATGATGATGATGATGATGATGATGACAACGATGACGATGGTGACGACGGTGCTAGTGACAATGATGACGACCCACCTTCCCGTGCGCCTCTCCGTTTGGAACAGGAATCGGCGGATGTTCTTTCCTTTTGTGGGGCTGATACGGCTTTGGCTCAAAAAAATCGGTACCAAAGTCAACCCTGATAAAGTGGAAACATGGACCAAAACCTGCGTAACCCCTCCTGTTTCATTTTGAGCCACACCCATATAAACCTTTATAGCAGGTTTGTAGAACCAAACATGAATGGGGTTCGGGCGCTGAATGGGAAGTCCTTTATATAATTCTCCAGGGCCCGATTTCTAGCCTTGGGGGTCATTGCAGCGTTGGAGCTTTCTGGCAGAGTCCATGTGGGTGGCTCGTCTTTTTTTGTGGGTACCCCCGCCTTTTGGTTGGTTTTAAGGGGAAACCAAAAGGAAGACACTTATTGATTTGGGATGGGATACGTTGCTTCACTTAAAGCAAAAATGCGTCCCCCGAAGCGACGCGCGCCATGCGAGCCACGAGGACGGCCACTACTTCGCCGCCGCCTTGCGTTGGCCCTGCGGCGCGGCAGGCGGCGCGGCGTCAGACGAGCGCGGCGGATTTGGTGAAACCCACCGGCCAAGAGATACATACGGGATGATCCCGTGTTCCCCCCCTCCCCGGCAAAAAACACAAATCGTGTGAAAATAACATAAATATAATAAACGCGTTGGAAAAAGAAAACACGGCTGAGAGTGTCTTATTTTGGGGAACCCCGTTTGGTTGGTCAAAAAACAGGAAACCAAAGGGCACCGACCTTTTTGGAGGTCCCTACCTTGAGACAAAACCCGCATAGTGCTGCGGATGGACAATCTCAAGTACCAGGTAGTAGGTAATTTATCACTTCAGGGGATTCCTGGTGAAGCAGGTGGTTTTTGGTTGTATCCTTGGAAGCCTGATTCATTTCTTCGCTGTTCTGGGCAAGTTTTTTTTTTTTGTGTGTGTGCATCTTTAGTAGGGGGCTTCCAACAACAAACGTGTTGAGCAAAACCGAAACAAAGGTTGTGAAGGGGATTCCTCCTTGACTTCTTCCGGCGGAATCCAAAGCTCCCAGCCCCTTGCCGAGGCCAGGCAGTCAGCATGCCCCCGGGTCTCAGCGAGGAGGCGGACTCAAATCCATTCCGCGACTCGGGGTGGAACGGCCGGCGCCTGAAAAACTTGTTGCAGAAGAGTTTCGTGGCTGGGAGCGCAAAATGGCACAGAACTTGGATTTGTGCCAAAGGGACGCCAAGGGATGGATGAATCGAACGATCTCGTAGTGTGATCAGACTACCTGTTTAGCCCGTACCCATCTCTTGATTCATACGGGCGCCCCTACGAAGCAAGGGAACGAGTTAAGGAACCGCTATGATTTACAGCCATTTGCTACGGAGTTTGTGGTGGATGCTCAAAGCTCCCCGAAACTGATAGCTGAGTGTTTGCCTCCTTCGCGCTGAATTCTTTGGCTTCTTAGGTTGTTGTTTTTTTTTTTAGGGGGGTTGTTGGTCCTTTGGTGTTGCACCGGTTGTGAAGGGCGCTCTGCCAGAAAAACGGTCCGCCGAGTGCGCCATTCCAGCGGTTCGTGAAGGGGTAAAAATCGAATGATTGGGTTTTGGGGTGATTTGTTGGCGGAGACGGCTTGGAATTCTAGTATCATGGACCCTGCAACCCTCCAAAGACCCCTCCTCCAGCCTGTTTGGCCTTGTTCAGCCTTAAGTTAAGGAAGCTTTTTCGAGCATCTATTTGGGGAGCATTGCTTTTGAGGCCTCCAGTCCAACACGGAGCAACTCTCAGAATTTGGGGAAAACGGAAGGCCACGGAGCTAGATCAGGGTGGCCTTGTTTGGCTGTGGTGATAGGACCTGGTTGTGGTCAGGTAATGGACCTGGTTGTGGTAGAGTCTCGCACGACCCAAACAAGATGCAGGCGGAAGAATGCGCGCTTAGAAGGCAAGATGGATGCTGATTGCGTTGAGAAGGCAAGCAAACTCCGAAGTGTTGGACACGAGTTGCTTGGACACCACGTTCTCTGGGCAAATTTTGTAATGAGGTCACTCGTGGGGTTTGCAACGTCACCTATGATAAAGGGGTCTTTCTTGCGGACCCCTCATGTTCGGTTGGCGAATTATATGTTTTCCAGATGTTCTGTAGTGTCTAGGGGAGCTTATTTCCGGGAATGGGGGGTGGTGGTGGTTTGAAGGGACACCTAGGGAAACCACCCGTTTGTATTGGTTTAGTCATCCAAAAGAGAATTCTGCGAAACCCTCGGGGCTGTTCACTTTACAAATTTAACCAACATCTCGCGAGTTTATGGACTTCAGCCTCTTTGCGGCAGGCCCTTCATTTCGGGATAGACACGATTTGTTTGACTCGTTTGGGCCACCGCAGTGCAAAAAATTCCAGGTCCGGGCCGCGGATTTGTTTTTTCCACGTGGCTCCTTCGTGCTGCGAAGCCGAAGGCCATGATGCTGCTGCTGCGCCTGCGCTACGGTGCGGAGGAGATCGAGGCGAGCGGGCATGGGATTTGTGTCGTACCATCCTGCGGCCCGTCATCTTTCAAGAAAAAATAGGCCGGACTATTTGTTTGTTGCGTGTGAATTGTACCCCAGATGTGGGCACAGAGGGTGGTGGGAGGTGGGTTCGATTCGTCCCATTCCTGTGATCCTTGGTGGGGAATGCGTCATTGTGAAGCCAAGACCATGGCTGACATGAAAACGTGCTTTCAAAGTGGTGGAACCCCAAGAGAGGCATAAAGAGTCGCATTGTTCCCTTTGGCTCCCAAATTCAACTAACCCCAAAGGACTACTGTGGGTGGACGAAATCCTGCACCACCTAAGAACCCCTGGAATGATTCGATTCCCCTGTAATTCCCCTGTAAACCACTCCTAGGTCTGTTGGAACACCCGCCGCGAAGGATCTGGGTTCGTTGGGGCCCGGGTGGGCTTGACAGATCTACGTCCCCCAGCGAGGTGCCAACTTGTACCGTTTCTTTTGTAGGGGAGGGTTCCGTTACTAAAGTAGACTACAGAAACAAGTTGGTACCCTTATTCTAACCTCTCTATCTGGAGGACCTAGTTGGGCTCCAGCTTCAGGTTCGACTGGGTTCCACCAAGGAAAACGGCGCGTCCGTGTGCTTCATTGGCGTCAGGGGCAAGCACATCCAGCATCAATGTCGCACATGATTGAAACCCACAGATTTCCCCATAGCCAGAGACCTTGGGCTTCAAATCTGATGAGTGTTCGCTGGTTTCAAAGGTATCACAGTCTGGTTCTCAAACACACATTTGGGGTTTGGCAGTTCGCTACCAACACATGAAAGTGCACAGGCTCCATGTTCAAAAGGACCGTAGTGTGCAAACCTTCACTCTAGGGGAGAGGTTGTCTCTCCCTGTTTCTGCGGTTGCACGTCCAGCTTCCGGTATCCTTGTTCTGTTCCTAGGTGCTTCCACTTGACATCAGCCAGATCTGCAGTGGGAAGGGGCCAAGCATCGCTTCCCAAGCTCGGAGGCTCCGATGTAGGGCATGGACAAAACGAATTCGCAACAGCTCTGCTGTCTGCACCCAGCTCAACTGCGAAGTGCAGGTTGCATCCAAAGCCCAGGATCGGAGGCCACAGATGGCCGTTGACTGACCTGCTTGCTTCAGAAACGGATCCTTCCCAGAGGTTTTAGCCCATTGTTTGACTCACTTCCTGAGTTCATGAACTTTAAACTTTTTGGGTTTGGACCATTTTAGTGGAAAGTATAAAGTTTGAACTTTTTTTGGGCCATCCACTCAGCCAGTGAGTTGAAGAGAAGGATCCCTTGAACAGAATGGGAAAGGCGGATTCGGGCGGATACCCCGTTTCCGTCGGGGCAAAAGACCGCCCAAAGACGGGTAGCTCCTCTTTGAAGCGGATGCCTTCATTTTCTGCATTCCAGTACTTCAACGTTTTAAAGCAACCTGAGCTTGCGCTTTCTTTGCGCTGGCAGGCTGACTACATTCTGGAGGCGCTTGAGTGCCGTGCAGATGTGTGCAGATGCTGAACGTCCCAACAACGCACATACCCCTAGGTGTATGCCCCTGCTCAAAATAGGATGGTTGAAAAGCACGTTGAATCAACCCCTAGCATATTGGGTACAAAAAGCGTAGCCATATTTACAAGGAGATGTCAGGAATAACATCCGCCCAGGCAAAAGCACATGGCTCCCAAGGCTTGCCTTTCCTGACTTCCAGCGAAATGCTGCAAATAATATTCCTTTCCTCACCAGTTCTGTGGCCTTTTCTTTGAAGCTCCCCACAAATTATCAACACTGCAAGGCTCTCTCTTTTTGTACCAGGGTCACTAGTAACTAGGCAACAGGGTCTTTGTGTTCCTGCCAGGCTCTTTTGTGTGCATTTGTTTAGATCACAGCCATCCCATGTCTGGCACGTGATGTCTGAGCCACAATTCACAAGCAAAACTTTCAGGGGACTGGAATTTGAGGGCTCCCAAGCCAATGTTCTCACCATCCACACCCTCCCATGCCCGGGGGGAAAGCAAGCGTGTGCGATACGAGGATGGCAACCCGCCGATTGTGTTCGGGATGCTAATTAAATTGATGATAATGTTGGACTTGCCCACAGGAAACCAACACGGGACGGATGACTTCGTGTTTTATTCCAGACCCTCAAAGTATTCGTCACCCAGTACCCGCTTTCTGTGTCATTAGGTTTCAATTGTCCAAACCCCCATGTTGGAACCACCCTCATAGAAATCATCAAGACATTCTGCAGGACATTCGCATACCCACCCAAAAAGTCAAGGATTTCAGCTGCATGGTTGGAAAAAAAAGAACCTCTCCCGCCAGCTCCCGTTTGTTCGGCGGGGTATTTTCGGTCGGTTTCCCTTAATTCCCCCCAGGAATTGGTGGGAAACTCCGAGTTCCCAAAACAAATCCGGTCGGTTTCTTCGAGACCCGGACTCCGCACTCCCAGGTCCGGCACTTTGCGGAGCTCTTGGATTGGCCTGAGGTGCGCAAGCGCTGCGAGGCGCCGACGCCTCGCGAGCTGTGTGAAGTGTGGGTTGTTTCTTTGGGGTTCTGAAGAAAAAACGGACCGCACAGGACCGAATTGACCCACCAAATGGTGGTGTGTGTGGGGAATGGCCCCGCAACCACCGCAAGTTTCAGGTTGGTGAAATGTTATGATGCACCCAGAGAGTTCCGATTGTGGGGTTGTTTGAAGGAAAATCCAAAGGAAGCCCGCCCAAAATTGGGGGCTCCCTCAAAATATGAGACACCTACGGGGGAGAAAATTGAAATACAAGGCCCAACCATTAATTAGAAGGGTGTGTGTGTGTGTGGGGTATTTCAAAACCATATTTAGCCATGATCATAATGTAACAATGCGTGGAATGCTGTGTGTAATATATGCTTGTGTGTGAGAGAGATTGTTTAGCACGTCATATCACTTAAAGCATCTTTGGCCCTCAAAGAGGGCCCTTTTAAAGTCCAAAGCCTCATGCAGGTCCTGATACCTCTGCGTTGGATCTGTTGCTTCAGGAAAACCAAATTCCTGGTGTTTGTTGTCTTGTTGGAGGAAGGGAAAGGACACGTTCACGTGCTTTTGTTCAAACAGAACCCCCCACCTCTTATTCCCCACCCGACAGGAAGGGGCTGTTAGATTTTATGTCGGAATCCGCGTTTGCGATGGTTCTACACCACGCCCCCACCAAAATACAGCTCGCCGATCGGTTCCGTTAACAAAAGCCAAGCCCCTTCCAAAAAGAAACCCGACGGGGGACTAAACGAAGTTGCTTGTTCACAGCCCAAAGAACCACAAAAGCATCGCCCTTTCCGAGCCTCGGGGTACACTCAAAACACGAAGGCACCAACATGAAATGTGAACCCAACTGTGCGCCGGGCGGGACATTAAGCAAAACCAGACTGGCGAGCTGCTCTGGCGGGATACTGGCGGGCTCCACTGGATAATACTGGCGAGCCGCTCCGGCTTGATACTGGCCGGATACTCGGCTGGATCCGCCGGCAAGGGATACTCAGCGGGATACTGGCGGGATCCACTGGCGAGCTACTCTGGAGGGATACTCGGCGGGGACACTCAGATTTATTGGCGAGGGGATACTCGGCGGGATCCGCTCTGGCAGGATACTCACGCCCTTGTTTGCCAACTGTTCTGTGGTGGCCAGCTCCGAAGGGGCTGAACTGGGCTTCGCTGGCTGCGTAGGGAATCTGCAGAATCCCTGAGCGGGTGGAATAACTTTGACACCTCGTTGCCTCCATGTTCGTTGTTTTAGATGGTTTTAGCCGTTTTAGCATCATTTTTGGGTATATTCAATCTTTTGTGTTTGGTCCGTTTCGCTATGATGCTGGCCTTCAAAGGGGTCCAACTATTGGGAGGCTGATTTTGAGGAACGGAAATTTAAGTAAATGGCACGCTAGGAACGGAAACTACCCCTTTTGATCTATCCCACCTGTGCTCGTCCCGTCGTTCTTTTCACGCCCAGCTCAAGGGGCGCAATTTGAACCCCGGTGCTGTTGATGTGTTGCAAGTGTCAAAGGGCCAGAAGGCATCCCCAATCCAAACCCAAATCTGGAAGCTGAAAAAGCGCCGCAAGGGTGGGCCGCATCCGCACTCCAAGCCCAAATTGGGAAGCTGAAAAAAGGCGGCATGGGTGGGCCAAACCCAAATTTGGACGCTGAAAGGCGAGAAAAAAAAGCTGGGCCCGGGGTTTCAACGGTTGCCCTTTACTCTCGCGTTTTCCTCGCGGTTCCGGCGGGTCACTGCGAGGCGTATTTGGAGTCCTTGCTGAACGGGTCCAAGGACTCGGGGTTCAGAGAAACTGGACAGACAGTTTGGACCGTCGGAACGTCATGGTGGGCGACTTTTTGAGGCTACTTTTTGGTGGTTTACAAGGTAAACCAGAAGGAACACCCCTTGTTTGCTTTTTTAATGGGGGAGGTCCTTTAAAAAAGGACACACACACACATGTAAGCCAAAAGTCTGGACTCCGGTATTCTTTGCTCGTTCGCCATGTTTCGACCCCGCAAACATCACGTGATATCAAGAGGGTTTTTCCCGCATGATCCAGTTTTGGCCATCCAGACAGGGCAACTGCAAGAATAGGGCACCATCCCGGAAAAGGATTGCAGCAACAAAAGGGCACAGGTGGTCTCTGTGTAGGGACCCTTTTGGGATGGTAGGTTGGATCAACGGAATGGGGGTGTCTCCAGATGAGACATGTCAGATTTCCCCTTGGCTTCCCATCACACCAACCCAAACCCATCGGTGAAAGCAGTAATCGCGAGGCCAACGAAGCGCTACTAAGTTTTCCAGTAGTGCCCTTGTACCATTTTTTTTGGGGAGGGTTCCCCGACTAAAATAGACTACAGAAAAAAGGTTGGTACCCCTTATTCTAACCTCTCAAATCTGGAGGACCTAGTTGCTGAATTATGAGACTCCACCCCGATTCAGGCGCCTTCGCCTGGGCAGTTTTCTATGGGTCAGATCTATGAGCCCCCGACCAACTTATACCTAGAACATCGTAAGCGGCCAAAAAAACAGCCTTTTCAAAAAAAGGCGCCTTTTTGGTTCTTCGGCGTTTTCCTGTTTGGCATCGGCGTTTTTGTAAATGGCGCAGTAAACATCGGCGTTTTCTAAAGATGTTTGTGTTTCTCCATTTTCGGGCCACCAAAGGCTACAAAGGGTCTTGACATCTTTGGAGGTATCCCATTGCAAACCATTTCAATGATGCTCTTGAAATCTTGGAGGCATCCCGTTGCAATCCATTTCAGGGCTCTTCAGGCTACCAGAGACTGGCTACAAAGGTCTTGAAATCGTTGGCATCCCTTTGCAATCCATTTCGGGATCTTCAGGCCACCAACTGAAATCTTTAGCATCCCGTTCCAATCCATTTTAGGGATCTTCAGGCCACCACAGGTTACAAAGGTCTTGAAACATGTGGCATCCCAAGGCAACCATTCTCACCGCCGCCTTGGCAAGTTTGCTCAAGGAGGTGCTGCCCCAGTTTTGTTCAGTTTTGGCGCCCTAGCGCGCCCTGCTGCAGGCGGTTTTTTCCTCACTGCCCTTCACATCGCGCATCGCAGCTCAGGCTTTGGCCAGGCGCATGGTGGCTTCTCATGAATGCTATCAAGCTCCGGGTGCGCCCGCCAGAACTTACGAACAAACATGCGACAGTATCTGAGATTTCGCAGGTTGGTGAGCTACCTCTACATGTGGATCAGCCTTGTGGCGGTCGTGCTGGGGTGCCCTCATTTTGATTGGGGCAGAAAGTTTGAAATGTCACTAGTTGATGAACGATGCCAGCCGCAGGTACTTGCGTTGCAACAAGCTCTCCGATAAGACCAAGCAAGCCGAGGCCTACTTCCCGCTCAGGTTTTTGATGTTGTTTCGATTGTCGCGCAGGCGCGGGATCCTTTAGCTGACGCACGTGGTGCACAGGCTCGGTTACTTGTGCTTCCGTTCCTTGGTTTGCCACTTGCCCACCGTTCCCGCCTGCAGGCGAAGACAGTCGTGGCCCAGTGCCCTTTGCCTGGGCGAGCTGGGGCAACGGCTTGTGGGATCATGTTCGCCCCGGATCAAAAAACCCTCCGAGGGAAATCCTTCACGTTTTGGGAAACATCCCCTTATTCACTACGATTGTTATTATGAGCAGTGCAAAGCGACTCCTGTTTTGCTCATCCTCAGTTTCAGGTTTGGGGAGGAATTGCTCAGGATGATAGAAGGGCAGTAGTTGCGCCACAACAAGCATTTCGTGCTGCTTCAACAGCGCCATTTTGGCTGTCCACTGTGGCTTTTAAAGGTGCGGCGAGGCCATGGCTGCTGAGGAGGAATCAGCAGCATCGTTGAACGGGTTGAAAAAGGCATGGAATCAGAACGGCCGCGTACGAGACCTTGTCCTCAAATGCGGCGGGCTAGTGATGTGGGACAAAGAGAACGTCGGCCTGGTAAACTTCCCCCTCATAGCTAACCACGCGGACTTGATGATTGAGGTCATCCGGATTTGGGGGCCGCAGCATGAAAAGGCAAAGACAGTGCCCATTGAGAAACTGAAGAAAGAGGTGGGGTCTAGGGTTGCCCGAGAATATCTTTTGCCGAAGCAAACGTCAAATTGCCCTAGAAGTCGAACTTGGTGCAAGGCTACAGCAACGTCATGGTTGTTCTTGGCAACTGGGTTCAAAAGATTTCGAAGGTCAGTTGGCTTCCCTTTAATTTCCCGTTGCACCAAACCCAAAGGGTAGCCTCAAAACAGAGTTTTTACACGCACATGCTCGCATTGCCTTGCAGATCCTACGGCTCCGAACCAAGCTGAACCTCCCGGCGGACATGCGAAGAACCCACACCGATGCCCATGGCATCCGAAGCATGCTGTCCCTGGCCATCAGAAGGCACGATGGAGGAAGACGACGTGCGCCTAGTCTAGGAGCTGTAACAAGTTTTCTTGCCACAGGAGGGAACCGAACAAATCACTTTTCTAGCAACACAACTGACGCTAGCTCTAGAGTTTCCGCCCGCTTGGAGTGCAAGCGCGTTTGTCTTCAGTTCTCGGTCGGCAAACTACCGGCCGAAATGCTTCACACAGAAGCAACCCTCTCGTTCAACAGCATGAAACGGGATAAACCACAAATAAGCTGGGGAGTTAAACAAATTGGCCAACTGTTTCTTGGTGGTTGGACTTTGTTTCCCCTTTTCAGAACCCAACAAGGGGCACCCTCTAAAAGGCACAATGTTTTCCAAAAGGTCAAGTGACTGGCCTCTGAAAATGGGTCTTTGGTTGCCGAGGACCCACATGTTTCGCGGGTCTTTGCAGAGATGGCCCTTCATTGGACCCCGACCACATGCCGCTCGCGCGACTTTGATGAGGATGAGGCCGAGGCTGACCGCGCGGCTGAAGCGGAATTGCCTCAGCACGAGGAACATGTTGCTGCTGAGGAAGATGAGTACCCTCTTGTTGAGTCTGAAGATGAAGATGGCGAGAACCCGGCCCCCGCCAAAATTCAGAACAACCAAGTTCTTCCTGACGTTGCTGACTGTGACAGTGAGAAGAACCCCAACAACTCTGAGAAGGCTCAAGGGGCGCAAGTTGAGCCCAAGGGCAACCTTCAGCCAGTGATTCGTTCCAAGGGCAAAGGCGGTTTTGAGGAGAACCCTGCCATTGACTATAACGCAGAACTCGCAGCAGTTGAGAAGCTTGGAATAACGCAGTGTCTTTTTTAACCACAGTGACAAATTAAGTTCTTTTCGCCCGTTTTCACGCGGTTTCATCGCGGCAGTTTGCGCCGCTTGCCCAGGAGAGCGATAGCCTTTCGGGTGCAAGTTCTTCGAGGAGCCCAGGTAGCTGTGGCCCCAACAATAAGTTCCAAGCTAAGTTTGTCCAAATGAGTCTTATTTCTGAGTTGGCTTCCAACCTACTTTTCACTTGTGTAAACCCTGCTTAAGGCTACAATCAACATCCCTGCGAAGCCCCTTCAGACCCGTCCTTAGCCGACACCCTGCCGATGGAAGTCTCACCCCTCAAAGCGGAGTTGCAAAAGTGGGCCATCAGCAAGGACTCCCGCGACCAGCCCCCAGAAGCCACACCCGGCGCGCCCAGTGGCTCCAAGACGATTCCGTTCTTGACGGCTCCTACTTTGACTTGGGGTGACCAGTGCAAACCCCAGGATGATGTTCCGAAAGCTGATCAAGTTGCTACCGCCACAGCTGACCAAGAAGCTGCAGCTGCAACACAAGTTGTTGGGGGGCCCTCAAACTTGTCAGCCCCGGAAGTGGCCACTTCAAATGGAGAAGATACCCTCATCCATGAACCGGAGACCGAAAAAGGTGCTGATTGCCCTGGCAGCTCAAGTGCGAGCCCTACGGAAAACCAGGAGGTTGTGGAGTTGCTTGGGTATAAGGCTTGGTGGTCTAAATACAAAGCCCGATGTGAACAAGATAAGGCCTGGTGTTGAGCATCATACTGGAAACACTTGATGGCCAAACTGTTCCTACTTCTGGTTTCCACAAAAGCCAAAACCCGCATCAAAGCTATTGGGGTTTTCTAGGGGCCAAACCAACAACTACATTCTTGTTTTCGATGGCCAAAATTGTTTGACAGCTTTGAGGGTTGTCCAAAGGGGAAGAACTGTGGCAATCTGCCATGTTATCGTCTTGTCCCACTCCAGCTGTTTGACCCCTGCAAGACAACTACTTCGCGTGCGGACCAACTTGAGTTCAAGAAGTCTTTGAAAGCGAAGAAGGGGGAAAACAAAGACAGTGATGAGTTTGAACGGGAAGGCGAGGAAGAAACCAACACACCAAAGAACAGGCGGGGAAGGAAACCCAAAGCAAAGGCGGCCAACAAATCCAAGCCGAAGGGGAAAGCCAAGGCGAAAGCCAAGGGGAAGGCTAGCCCCGTGGAAGACAGGCAAGAGGACAGCGCAGAACCCAAGCCAAAGGCGAAAGCCAAGTCGAAAGCCAACAGGAGTTCCAGCCCCGTGGAAGACAAAGGAGAGGACAGCGCAGAACCCAAGCCAAAAACGAAAGCCAAGTCGAAAGCCAACAGGAGCTCCAGCCCCGTGGAAGACAAAGGAGAGGACAGCGCAGCCGAGCCAGAGGCAACCAGCAAAGCCAAGCCAAAGGGGAAGGCCAAGGCGAAAGCCATGACGGGGAAGGCCAGAGTCAAGGAGGGCAAGGAAGAGGAGAGTGCAGCTGAGCCAGAGGCGACCAGCAAAGCCAAGCCAAAGGGGAAAGCAAAGGGGAAGCCTAGCCCCAAGCCAGGACAGAGCGCTGCAAGCCCCAAGAAGATTGCGGGAGCAAAGGCCAAG